TGGGTCGGTTTAGGCTATTTCTTTTAGGCGCCTAGAAATGAGACTAACCCAGATCCTCCATTTGGTTGGGTCGGTTTAGGCTATTTCTTTTAGGCGCCTAGAAATGAGACTAACCCAGATCCTGCATTTGGTTGGATCGGTTTAGGCTATTTCTTTTAGGCGCCTAGAAATGAGACTAACCCAGATCCTGCATTTGGGTCGGTTTAGGCTATTTCTTTTAGGCGCCTAGAAATGAGACTAACCCAGATCCTGCATTTGGTTGGATCGGTTTAGGCTATTTCTTTTAGGCGCCTAGAAATGAGACTAACCCAGATCCTGCATTTGGGTCGGTTTAGGCGATTTCTTTTAGGCGCCTAGAAATGAGACTAACCCAGATCCTGCATTTGGGTCGGTTTAGGCTATTTCTTTTAGGCGCCTAGAAATGAGACTAACCCAGATCCTCCATTTGGTTGGGTCGGTTTAGGCTATTTCTTTTAGGCGCCTAGAAATGAGACTAACCCAGATCCTGCATTTGGTTGGATCGGTTTAGGCTATTTCTTTTAGGCGCCTAGAAATGAGACTAACCCAGATCCTGCATTTGGTTGGATCGGTTTAGGCTATTTCTTTTAGGCGCCTAGAAATGAGACTAACCCAGATCCTGCATTTGGGTTGGTTTAGGCTATTTCTTTTAGGCGCCTAGAAATGAGACTAACCCAGATCCTGCATTTGGTTGGATCGGTTTAGGCTATTTCTTTTAGGCGCCTAGAAATGAGACTAACCCAGATCCTGCATTTGGGTTGGTTTAGGCTATTTCTTTTAGGCGCCTAGAAATGAGACTAACCCAGATCCTGCATTTGGTTGGATCGGTTTAGGCTATTTCTTTTAGGCGCCTAGAAATGAGACTAACCCAGATCCTGCATTTGGGTCGGTTTAGGCGATTTCTTTTAGGCGCCTAGAAATGAGACTAACCCAGATCCTGCATTTGGGTTGGTTTAGGCTATTTCTTTTAGGCGCCTAGAAATGAGACTAACCCAGATCCTGCATTTGGTTGGATCGGTTTAGGCTATTTCTTTTAGGCGCCTAGAAATGAGACTAACCCAGATCCTGCATTTGGGTCGGTTTAGGCGATTTCTTTTAGGCGCCTAGAAATGAGACTAACCCAGATCCTGCATTTGGGTCGGTTTAGGCTATTTCTTTTAGGCGCCTAGAAATGAGACTAACCCAGATCCTCCATTTGGTTGGGTCGGTTTAGGCTATTTCTTTTAGGCGCCTAGAAATGAGACTAACCCAGATCCTGCATTTGGTTGGATCGGTTTAGGCTATTTCTTTTAGGCGCCTAGAAATGAGACTAACCCAGATCCTGCATTTGGGTCGGTTTAGGCTATTTCTTTTAGGCGCCTAGAAATGAGACTAACCCAGATCCTGCATTTGGTTGGATCGGTTTAGGCTATTTCTTTTAGGCGCCTAGAAATGAGACTAACCCAGATCCTGCATTTGGGTCGGTTTAGGCGATTTCTTTTAGGCGCCTAGAAATGAGACTAACCCAGATCCTGCATTTGGGTCGGTTTAGGCTATTTCTTTTAGGCGCCTAGAAATGAGACTAACCCAGATCCTCCATTTGGTTGGGTCGGTTTAGGCTATTTCTTTTAGGCGCCTAGAAATGAGACTAACCCAGATCCTGCATTTGGTTGGATCGGTTTAGGCTATTTCTTTTAGGCGCCTAGAAATGAGACTAACCCAGATCCTGCATTTGGTTGGATCGGTTTAGGCTATTTCTTTTAGGCGCCTAGAAATGAGACTAACCCAGATCCTGCATTTGGGTTGGTTTAGGCTATTTCTTTTAGGCGCCTAGAAATGAGACTAACCCAGATCCTGCATTTGGTTGGATCGGTTTAGGCTATTTCTTTTAGGCGCCTAGAAATGAGACTAACCCAGATCCTGCATTTGGGTTGGTTTAGGCTATTTCTTTTAGGCGCCTAGAAATGAGACTAACCCAGATCCTGCATTTGGTTGGATCGGTTTAGGCTATTTCTTTTAGGCGCCTAGAAATGAGACTAACCCAGATCCTGCATTTGGGTCGGTTTAGGCGATTTCTTTTAGGCGCCTAGAAATGAGACTAACCCAGATCCTGCATTTGGGTCGGTTTAGGCTATTTCTTTTAGGCGCCTAGAAATGAGACTAACCCAGATCCTCATTTGGTTGGGTCGGTTTAGGCTATTTCTTTTAGGCGCCTAGAAATGAGACTAACCCAGATCCTGCATTTGGTTGGATCGGTTTAGGCTATTTCTTTTAGGCGCCTAGAAATGAGACTAACCCAGATCCTGCATTTGGTTGGATCGGTTTAGGCTATTTCTTTTAGGCGCCTAGAAATGAGACTAACCCAGATCCTGCATTTGGGTCGGTTTAGGCTATTTCTTTTAGGCGCCTAGAAATGAGACTAACCCAGATCCTGCATTTGGGTCGGTTTAGGCTATTTCTTTTAGGCGCCTAGAAATGAGACTAACCCAGATCCTGCATTTGGTTGGGTCGGTTTAGGCTATTTCTTTTAGGCGCCTAGAAATGAGACTAACCCAGATCCTGCATTTGGTTGGATCGGTTTAGGCTATTTCTTTTAGGCGCCTAGAAATGAGACTAACCCAGATCCTGCATTTGGTTGGATCGGTTTAGGCTATTTCTTTTAGGCGCCTAGAAATGAGACTAACCCAGATCCTGCATTTGGTTGGATCGGTTTAGGCTATTTCTTTTAGGCGCCTAGAAATGAGACTAACCCAGATCCTGCATTTGGTTGGATCGGTTTAGGCTATTTCTTTTAGGCGCCTAGAAATGAGACTAACCCAGATCCTGCATTTGGTTGGTCGGTTTAGGCTATTTCTTTTAGGCGCCTAGAAATGAGACTAACCCAGATCCTGCATTTGTTGGTCGGTTTAGGCTATTTCTTTTAGGCGCCTAGAAATGAGACTAACCCAGATCCTGCATTTGGGTCGGTTTAGGCTATTTCTTTTAGGCGCCTAGAAATGAGACTAACCCAGATCCTCCATTTGGTTGGGTCGGTTTAGGCTATTTCTTTTAGGCGCCTAGAAATGAGACTAACCCAGATCCTGCATTTGGTTGGATCGGTTTAGGCTATTTCTTTTAGGCGCCTAGAAATGAGACTAACCCAGATCCTGCATTTGGGTCGGTTTAGGCTATTTCTTTTAGGCGCCTAGAAATGAGACTAACCCAGATCCTGCATTTGGTTGGATCGGTTTAGGCTATTTCTTTTAGGCGCCTAGAAATGAGACTAACCCAGATCCTGCATTTGGGTCGGTTTAGGCGATTTCTTTTAGGCGCCTAGAAATGAGACTAACCCAGATCCTGCATTTGGGTCGGTTTAGGCTATTTCTTTTAGGCGCCTAGAAATGAGACTAACCCAGATCGGTTTAGGCTATTTCTTTTAGGCGCCTAGAAATGAGACTAACCCAGATCCTGCATTTGGGTCGGTTTAGGCTATTTCTTTTAGGCGCCTAGAAATGAGACTAACCCAGATCCTGCATTTGGGTCGGTTTAGGCTATTTCTTTTAGGCGCCTAGAAATGAGACTAACCCAGATCCTCCATTTGGTTGGGTCGGTTTAGGCTATTTCTTTTAGGCGCCTAGAAATGAGACTAACCCAGATCCTGCATTTGGTTGGATCGGTTTAGGCTATTTCTTTTAGGCGCCTAGAAATGAGACTAACCCAGATCCTGCATTTGGGTCGGTTTAGGCTATTTCTTTTAGGCGCCTAGAAATGAGACTAACCCAGATCCTGCATTTGGTTGGATCGGTTTAGGCTATTTCTTTTAGGCGCCTAGAAATGAGACTAACCCAGATCCTGCATTTGGGTCGGTTTAGGCGATTTCTTTTAGGCGCCTAGAAATGAGACTAACCCAGATCCTGCATTTGGGTCGGTTTAGGCTATTTCTTTTAGGCGCCTAGAAATGAGACTACTAACCCAGATCCTGGATTTGGGTCAGGTTTGGGTCTGAAAAGAAAGCAAGGACATGCCGGCACACATCCCAGCACACTTAAGTAAACTTTTGCCCACAGGCCTAGTGCCGGCCCGCAGGCCTAGTGCCGGCCCGCAGGCCTAGTGCCGGTCCGCAGGCCTAGTGCTGGCCCGTAGGCCTAGTGCCGGCCCGCAGGCCTTATAACTGATACCAACCACTACCCTGCACCCCAAGCCTAGTCCACTGACACGCCTTGTGTCCACCCGTACCACCCCTTACATCAACCCCGTCTGAGCGCCGACATGCTCATAGTGCCATACCAACCAACCCCTGCCCTGCCGGCCTAGTGCTGGACGCAGGTTGAGAAGAGAGTGTGTAATGACATGCCTTGTGCCTTGTCCCAACACATCAGCACCCTCCATGCCCCTGCGTGCCCCTGCGTGCCCCTGCATGCCCCTGCATGCCCATAGAGCCATACCAACCCTTACCTGCAGGTCAGTGCTGGATGCAGGTTGGAGGGAGGTAGCACACTGACAAGCCTTGCAAAAAAGCTGGCGCATACACACCCCCCATGCCGCTCTCTGTCCGTACCAACCACCCATGCTGCTCTCTTTCCATACCAACCACTGACCTGCAGGCCCGGTGCCAGGCGCAGGTTGGAGGTAGCACACTGACAAGCACACATGCGGGAGGGGGTTTACAAGACTTGCAAACAAGCATACATCCACATCCCCCATGCCCCCCATGCTCGTAGCAGCCCCACCTCAGGCCCTGGGTGAGGTTGGCACCCCACTGCAACCCCCCATACTCGTGCCCTGGTGTATGCTGCAGGTTGAAGAGCGCCAGGGCACTCACACGCGATGTGGCCATGCCACCCCTTGCATGCACACCCCCTATGCCGCTCCCTGTCGTTCCAACCACTCACCTGCAGGCCCGGTGCTGGACGCAGGTTGACAAGAGCTCGTGCACACTGACACGCCTTGTGCCTGTACTAGCTTATGCATCAACAACATCCTCCATGGCCCTGCATGCCAATTGAGCCGTACCCACCACTCACCTGCAGACCCGGTGCTGGACGCAGGTTGACGAGAGCTAGTGCGCTGACACGTAGGCGGCGAGGCAATGTGATCCCTGAGAGGTCAATTTGAGAAGGGATAGATGGACCCACCCATGTGAAAGGGAAGTTGGGGGAAAGCAGCAGGTTGGTGACATTCACAGGGATTGGGCATGTAGGAGAGGGATGTTTGGTTCAGAGTTGGGGCAAAAACAAGCCCTAGATATCTCTCAAGACTACGAGTTTTTTCCAGGCACCGCGTTTGTGCTTTGAACATGCATGCCAAGTCACTCACTCTCAAGAAAGAGAGTCGTACCTCCGGTTTGGGGACTGACAAGAGCAAGATACCGCTCAATGCCACCCGAAATGACTGTCAGCATGACGTCATTGACAGTCTGTGGTAAAGTAAAGCAGCATGGAGCAAGAGAGGGGGGGGAGAGGGGAGCAAGAGAGGGGGGGGAAGGGGTGGCCACGTGGAAGAAAGAAAGGCATGCTTAACGGACGGCAGCACACGGATGTCACTCACTGCCCCTTTTACGGCTCGCAATGGCTGCAATATCCTTTAGACTCATTTCGGTTTGTGCAACAGCTACCTCCCTTTGACTCACCGCCCCTTTGACTCACCGCCCCCTTGACTGCCCTTCGAATGGTTGAAACCTCCTCCAGACTCATTTCGGGGGAGACAGCAAAACAGAGCGGCAGGGTGTGGCTGTGCAGGTGGGGCCCACCCTTGATGGGCGTTGGGGTGTCGGCGACACATGCCAGCACCGCCAGGAACTCAAATATCTGATGGGATGGCGGCCAGGGTGGGGAGAGGGGCACATGCAGCACACACGGATTGGGGCGGGGATTGAGGGTCTGATACGAGCGGGCGCGAACAGCTGGAGCACCCATGGGGGGGGAGAGCACAGTGAGGCAGCAGCTGGAGCACAGTACTTGGAGATGGATCTCATAAGAGGGGACGCGAACAGCTGGAGCACACATGTCGCCAGCAGCATCACAAGCACCAGTGTGTGAGGAAAGAAACCACAGCACTTAGCTGCACTTAGCTGCACTTAGCTGCACTCAGCTGCAAGCCACGCACCTGTGCAGCCGTGTTGACTGCAACTCTCACTGCCTGCCATATCGCCAGCACCGCGCGCACAAGCGCCAGCCACAGCAACTTCAGAAAGCTTCCACACAAAGCCTCTCCTCGGGGCACTCCGTTCGGTGCGCTCTCCCGCTTGCTGCACCTGCTGATGTTCCCACCACTGCTAGCACCATTGCCGCTGCCCTTCCCACTGCCGGCGCTGATGTTCCCATCAGCACCACTGCTGCTGCCCTTCCCACTGCTCGTAAAACTAGTGGCAGCTGCTGGGTTATAAGAGGGGGTCTGCTGGGAAGCTGCAGGCTCGGAGGAAGGGGAGGCCTTTTGCCTGGCGGAGGCGCCCAAGCTGCCTGGTAAGCTCGGGAGGAGGTTTGGGTGGTCGGTTTGGCGGGTGGCGGCAAGCAGCAGCGACATGAGCGAGATGCCGTCGCCCAAGGCGTGGTGGATCCTGGTGGTGCAGGAAAGACAAACAAACAACACGGCAAGAAGACAGAGTGAACAGAAGGAATGAAGCAGACAATCATGACACTGTTCACGCTTTAAAGACCATCTCATTACCACTAGACTAACCTGAATATTCACCTGAAGAATCACCCAAAGAGTCACTTGGAAGATATATTTGAGATAATAACCGAAGACTCAGCTGACATTTCACCTATCCACCTGAACATTCAACTGAAGGGTCACCTGAACACGGCTGCAGAGTGGCGCTGACGTGGCTCGCTTGGACGGCTGCCAGCTGGCAGGTGAATGAGGTGCACCTGATACAGTGGGCGGTTGGAAGTCAACGGGAGTCAATGGAATTGACAGGAGTCAACGGGAGTCAAGGGGAGTCGAAGGGAGGCCCAAACGCGGTGGATTAAAAGAAATTAGAGCAATGTAGCAAGGAGCTGTTGTTGGCCAAAGGTCAGAGCCAAAACTCAGGGCCGAAACATTGGGAGTTCGAAATAAGGGGCTGCTTGAGTGGACGGGGAGGATGTGCAGAACCCGGGCCACAGGTTACAGGGGTGCCCTGCCCACCTGCCGCAACAATCACAGGGTTGCCCACCTGCCAGAGTGGACGGTTGGGATCAAAGGGAGGTAGTGACTGCAGTCGCACCACGTGAGCCTCTAGAGCTCCCTCCCCTTCCCCTCCTCCTTCCTCTCCTCCTCCTCCTCCTTCTCTCTCTCCTCCTCCCTCCCCTTCGCCACCCTTTCCAGTTCCCTCTCTCTCGCCATTCCTTCCCAACAAAGCCTCTCCCTCCCCTTCCGCCACGTGGCACAGTGAATCCACGTCAGCATCCTCCTCTTCCACGACATGGTACTCTAGATCCACGTCAGCAGCATCCATGAGCACCCACCCTGGGACACCACCAGAGCTGGAGGCCTGTGGGAGGGAGGGGAAGAGCGGGGGGGGGGGGGGGGGAGGGGGGAGCGCGGGAGGGCAGGGGAGAGGGGGGGATGAGAGGAAAAAGGGGGGAGAGAGGGGGAGAGAGGGGGAGAGAGGGGGGAGAGAGGGGGAGAGAGGGGGGAGAGAGGGGGAGAGAGGGGGGAGTGGGAGAGAGTGGGGGAGAGAGGGGGAGAGAGGGGGGAGAGAGGGGGGAGTGGGAGAGAGTGGGGGAGTGAGGGGGAGAGCAGCGGAGCTTGAAGGAAGGCGCAACAGATGACTATTCTGGAGTAAAGGCAAGGGGTAGGGCCGGCCGCAGCAGGCAAGGGGTAGGGCCGGCCGCAGCAGGCAAGGGGTAGGGCCGGCCGCAGCAGGCAAGGGGTAGGGCCGGCCGCAGCAGGCAAGGGGTAGGGCCGGCCGCAGCAGGCAAGGGGTAGGGCCGGCCGCAGCAGGCAAGGGGTAGGGCCGGCCGCAGCAGGCGATTACGGCGAACAGAGGTCACGCAAGGCGACTAGGCGAGCGCACCAGGCGCCTTTGTATGCAACAGGCGCCTTGATACGCACCAGGCGAATTGATACGCACCGGGCGAATTGAAACGCACCAGGCAGCTGATACGCACCAGGCGAATTGATACGCACCAGGCGAATTGATACGCACCAGGCGAATTGATACGCACCAGGCGGCTGTGGAAGCGCGGGTGCTGCAGCAGCGTGTGCTCCATGATATCCCTTAGCTCTTTAATCTCCATCTGGTTCTTAAATTCCAGCACACATAGGATCGTAGTGTAAAAGCTGTCGTCCAAGAACAGCCGGCCGACGGGCGACACTGGTTCCGAGGAAGCTTCTAACGAGGATGAGAGAGAGGAGTGCGTCAGCCGCACGTGCGGCTTTGGCACGTGGAGCGTTTGTCGTTTCTGGTCGTCCCTGCCGAGCCGTAGTTTCCTAAGGCGTAGACCCTCGCCGATGGAGTCTTCCTCGACGTTTCGCGTGCTGATACTACTACGCGACTCGGCTGCGTCTACGTGGTTCGATAAGGAGGCATCTGCAGCATCGCGATTGGTCTCTCCAGGAGCCATGGCAGCTCGGGAGTGAAACTGCCACGTGGCAAACTGTGGGAAAGACAAGCGCGACTCAATCGATTGAAGTTTAAGATCTCCTAACCGACCGAGTGCTCTGGGAGTACTTATCACTTCTCGCAATTGGCCCAGCGCAAGGGGATTGGAGTGAGCAACGAGAAATCAGGACAGACTGAGAAGGTGCGACGCATTCCGTGTCCCATCAACGAATGCTATGAGGAGAAGCGGGGTGCGTGCTGTAGAAAACGTGAGTCAGCAAGAAACGGGATTTCTAGTCTCGTGCAGAGGTAAGAGCGCAATTCTCCGAAAACGGCAGTTTAGGAGGAAAAAACGGAGGACGCCCAGAAGGGAATGAACGGCTTCGATTTAGGCAATGGGAAAATGGACGGTTGCGATCGAGAGTAGGGTGTTCACATTGTCCAGTGACGGTTGGGGTGGTCCCCTCGGGAACACTGACGAAACGTGCATGATGCACAAGCAACCACTCACGTTGCACCACGTGTGATACGAGGGGAGAGGGGCTGGTTGTTACACCGTAGAGCTACATCTACACCTACTCGCTCTGTTATAAATAAAACAGATTCAAGCCAAACCAAACCAAACCAGCTTGTACGACAGTCGGCGAGGATTTCCATATCGAAGATCCTGCAGCACCTGGCGCACACAATTCGTTTCCCGCGGAATTTGGCAGACCTTGCGAGCTCGGGTCAGGCTTGTGCGACGGATGGCGAGAGTTTCCACACCAAAGATTGCCAGCAAAGCTCTGCGCACCAACTGCCTGCGACACTTTCTTGACAAACATTGTGCCGCGCGGCAGCACTTGACACTTTTAGCATGCACTCGTTGGCAGCAGCAACACCGGCATGTCCTGAGCTTGGGTACAACCACATACGCGTTAGTAGCCGCCGGGCGCATAGGAAGTTCCCCAGGATTGAAGCCAGGATAACGTAGCAAGATCGTCGCATTCGCAGAGCAGCGTCGCTTGGTCATGACAGGCGACGATCCAGGCGACGCATCGCAAGAAGGCGACGCATCGTCCGGCCCGAGCGGAACATCTGGCGAAACGAGCCTCGTCAGCGAAACGGAGTTACCAGTGGAGAATATAAGGGAAGCTCCGAGAGAGGAGGACAAGACAGAGAAGGCGGGAAAGCCGGGGGGGGGAACGGAACTAAAATCTGGGGGAAATTCGGAACTGAAATTTGGGAAACCAAAGGAGAAACCGAGGGAGAATTCGAGGGAGAAATCGAGGGACGCTAAGGCGAAGGCAGGCGAAGCGGCGGCAAGTGCGGATGACCTGCTGGACGCGTACTTAAAGCGAGTCATCCACAAACGGAAAGGAGAAAAAGCGGCAAGACTCGCATCAGGCGAAGGCACTTCGTTGGCAGGGCCGAGCGGTGCTGAGCGACCGCTTTCCGAGAAACTTTCAAAACAAATAGCGGCGCCAGGAGATAAGGAGCAAAGGCATGGAGGCAGGGGGGAGGCTGGCGGGAGGGCGGCAGGGGCGGGGGATGGTGGCGGAAGAAAAGGAAAGGGGAAAGGCGCGGGGCAGAAAGAACGGGGGGAGATGGGCGCGAGCGGAAGCGGAAGCGAATTGGTGGGGAGTGCGGAGGCAGGGAGGCATGAGGTAGAGTCAAGTGCACACGAGCAAGCACGTATGCGGAGAGACGAGTATGGGGACACAGAGAGCGGCGCACATAAAGACGGGCATAAAGAGGCACGTAAAGAGGTGCAGCGACATGCACATAGGCATGGGCTCGAGCAGAAAGGCAGAGACAGGAGCGGAGGGGAGGGGAAACGGGAGGAGGAGAAGGGAGGGAGGGATGAAGGGGCGACGGAAGAAACGCCAGCCGCAGTTCCTGCAGCATCCGCAGGGGAAGGCGTCGGGGGAGGAGGAGGCGGAGGGGGAAAAGGAGGCGTAGAGGGGGGGAGATCAACAGGAGCACTGGCAGCAGAAGCAGAGGCAGCAACAGAAGGAGACGAGGGCTTGAGGGGTGTCGAGACACCCCAGGAGAGAAGCCCTGAGAAGACATTTACAGAACCAGCTCTCACCGTCCCTCAGAGAGCAGGTTCGGCGTTCAGCACTCCGGAGAGGCTCGGGCCGAACCAAGGGCAGAGGGTCGGGCTGAGCCAAAGGGGAGGGTTGTTTGAGTCGCCTGAAAAGGAGGGGCTTGAGACGCCTCAGAAGCAGCGAGGGGGGGGAGAGATTTCGGCTGATGAACATGCGGATGATGAGGGGAGTGAGGGAGGGAGTGAGGGAGGGAGTGAGGGGGGGAGTGAGGGGGGGAGCGAGGGAGGGAGTGAGGAGGAAGAGGAGGAGGAGGAGGGGGGGAGTGAAGAGGAGGACGATGATTTCGATGATGACGATGACTACAGCACCACAGACAGCAGCTCTGGTGAGTAGCTGCTCTCTCATCCCTCGCTTCACCCCCCCCCCCCCCCCCCCCAAAAAAAAACACTTCATCCTCCCCCTCCCTCTCCCTTCGGCACTCGCTTTTATGCCCAATCCTCTGCCTCAGCGCCTTTTCCACAAGAGCTTTAGGTTAGAGTAAACCCGGATTATCTACCCTTGTTATTGTACCGTTGCCCTGTTGTCCTGTGGTTTCTTGCCTCCCTTCACCTTCACCCCTTCACCTTCACCCCTCATGTTATGGCATTCCTTTCTCTTTGCAATCGATCTTCTATTCAGATTCAGACTATACGGATGAGGAGGAGGAGGACGAAGTGGGGAAGGAGGACACAGCCCGTAATCTAGCAGCCGCCCAAGCCAAGGCGCAGCGCGCCGAAGCAGAGCGGGCGGCCGCCGAGGCGGCAGCGGAGGCTCGGGCGCGCGAGCGGGAAGATTCGGCGGTGCGGCTGGCTCGGGCTGCAGTGGTGGAGAGGAGTCAGCTGGTGGCGATGCTGGAGGGGGAGAAGCAGGAGGGGGAGGAGAGGATGAGAGAGGCTGCAGAGCAGCACAGGAGGAAGGTGGGTTAAATAAAAGCCTGATGGGAAGGATGGCATGTTCTGTAACAGCGCCCTTTCAAGCATCACCCTTCACTGGGTCAGCTGGTGGCGGTGCTGGGAGGGGGAAGAGCGAATGAGAGAGGCTGCAGAGCAGCACAGAATGAAGGTGGGTTTAGTAGCAGAACCCTGTTATCTGGTAAGTATTACCCTTGGCGGTGCGGGCTGCGGTGGTGGAGAGGAGTCAACTGGTGGGGACGCTGGAGGGGGAGAGGAAGGAGGGGGAGGCGAGGATGAGAGAGCCAGCAGAGCAGCACAGGCGGAAGGTGGGTTTGCGTTTTCTCCCTTGGGGTTTGTTTTCAGGTGGGGGTGCTGGAGGGGGAGAGGAGGGAGGGGGAGGCGAGGATGCGAGACGCAGCAGAGCAGCACAGGGGAAAGGTTGGTTCAGGTACAGAACAGCGTTTATCTGTTTCATCCTGCCCTTGCTTGCTCGGGCTGCGGTGGTGGAGAGGAGTCGACTAGTTGCAGTGCTGGAGGGGGAGAAGCGAGAGGGGGAGGCGAGGATGAGAGAGGCTGCAGAGCAGCACAGGAGGAAGGTGGGTTCAAGAGAAGACTGATAGGAAGGTACGTTCTGTAACAGCACCCTTCGCTGAGTCAGCTGGTGGCGGCGCTTTGAGGGGGGAGGGCGGAGGCGAGGGTGAAGGAGGCTGCATATCAGCACAGGAGGAAGGTAAGCCTCTTACAGAGTCAGATGGTGGGTGTGCTGGAAGGGGAGAGGGGAGGGGGAGGGGAGGGGGAGGATGAGCGGGGCTGCAGAGCAGCCCAAAAGGATGATAGGGTTTGGGTTTTCTCTCTTGGGGTTTACTTTCAGGTGGTGGCGCTGGAAGGGGAGAGGTTGCAAAGCAGCACAAAAGAGATGTAGGATTGGTTGGCCGATACCTCCCTCGACCGCCTTCCTCCCAACTTCTCGCAGCTTGAGGCGCCTCAAAAATAGACTCCTCCCAACTTCTTGCAGCTTGAGGCGCCTCAAAAATAGACTCCTCCCAACTTCTCGCAGCTGAGACGACTCATGAGACTTGCCCTGCATATGTGCAAGCAGTTGCAGGCCTTGCCAGAGGACATTGTACAGCTCATGCCGTTGCGGTATCTGAAGGGTTGTAAATCCCAAGCAACTCTTGGATCAAGAAGTTTTGCCCCGAGCGCGTAAATGACATGTATGATTTGTAGGGCGGGTGCTAAGATCTAATCTCCAGCCTCTACTTTCATAGAAGGGCATAACTTCTCGATCCGAGAGTTGATTGGAACCTACAACTCCCAGACACCACAACGTTTTGAGCTCCATCATTTCGTCTGGCAGAACTTGCAGCTGCTTGCACGCATGCAAGTCAAGTCTCCGGAGTCGTTTCGGCTGCGAGAACGTGGTGGAGAGAGGAGTCGTCTACAACCAGACCTAAAAGAGCAGCACAGAAAGCAAACGAGCTGCTTTCACTCACCATCCTTCCTGCCCTGCGACACCACCTTTCCATTTTTTCGGTGCTTGAAGAATCCACGTCCTCATTCCTGCCTTGCCGCACCTGCTTTTCCCAGTTTCCCGCGGTGGAATCAGCTACAAACGACACCTCCCTACTCCCCCCCCTTCTCCCCTTCCCCCCGTCTTCCTTTCTATCCGTCTAATCTACGCAGAGGAGCTGAGCTGAGAGAGCGTGCTCAGAAGGGCTCCGAAGTACCAGCAGTGAAAAGCCAATCACACGGCCATATGACGATATCCTCTTGTTTCCCCTCGTGCTGATACAGGCAGAGGAGCTGCGAGAACGTGTGCGCAAGGGGTTCGAAGCCGCAGCAGCAGAGAGCCAATCGCACGCCGCCACGCGCAAGGAGCGTGCGGCATGGGAGGCGCAGTACGAGACGGAGGCGGCAAGTGGCATGGCAGGGCTGGCAGCCGCCCAGAGAGCGCTGGAAGAGAAGGTAGAGGCTCTTGTGGGGGGGTGTGGATGGTGAAGGGTCGCTTGTCCCAGTGTATGGGTTTAGGGTCGCTTGAGTGGGGCTTTTGCGTGATAGATAGAGGTGCGTGAGGCACCTCTTCCCCGGCTCGTACAACGTCCCCTCCCCCACATTCTCTCCCCTAGCTTGCGTCCCTCCTCTTCTTTCCGACCTGTTTTCTACCCATTCTCATTGGGCAATGAGGTGTTTCTCATTCTCCCTTTGTCATCTCTTGACCCCTCTTAGGTTGAGCTGCTGGGCTCTGATTGGTCGACAGTGCAGCGGTTGACCGAGGAGATCGAGCGATTGGAGGAGGAGATTCAGCAGGGAGAGGAAGAGGCGGGGAGGAGAGACGAGGGGGGAGAGGAGGAGAGGGCAGGTGCGGCTGCACGAGGGGAAGCAGCGGCTAATGCAGCAGGGGCTAATGCAGCAGGGGCTAATGCAGCAGCGGCTAATGCAGCAGCAGCAGATGAGCAAGGGGGGGCAGAGGGAGCAGGATCAGCGGGGGGGGCAGAAGCAGGTAGTCAGGCTGCAGCACCGCCCGTCGGGCTGCTAGAGGGGACTCTGCGGCAGAGAAGAAAGGAGGTGAGAGGGATGGGAGGGTTGAGAGGGATGGGAGGGTTGAGAGGGGTAGGAGGGGTGAGGTGAGTGAGTGAGGGAGTGAGGTGATGGCTGAGTGAGTGAGACAGCTAGGATCTATAACGCATTTTCCTGCAACCCTCTCCAGCTGGCCTCTCTTCTGCAATCCTAAACCCGTTAAGACATAAACTGTCAACCCTACCCTCATCGACAGGTTGCCTTGCTGCGTCAGCAAGTGGAGGATGCTGAGTCAGCAGCCGGCCGGCAACAAGTAGAATCTGAGGCGGAATCTGACCTCCTGACAAGGCTACAGCAGTTAACAGAGCGGCTTATAATGAAGCAGCAGCAAGTGGAGTCCCTACAAATCGACAAGTCAACCCTCTCCCTCCGCATCGAGACAGAATCCGCCGCCCTGCAAAAGGACAAACACCGCCTGTCCACCTTCCTCAGAAGCGGACGAAACCTCGCCTCGGCAGCTGTCACTGCGCGCTTTCTCGCCAACACCCCAGGCCCGCTCGCTGCTGACCTGGCAGCTGCTGCGTCAGCAGCCGAAGCAAGGGCGTTGGAGGAGGGAGGGGAGGAGGTAGTGATCGAGGCCGACCCGGGGTTTTCAAGAGAAGCCATCTTGAACCGATCGCGGAAAATGACATTGGCTCAGAGGGATTTTGGGCTCGGGGCGACGGGGAATGCAATTGTGGTGGGTGTGGCGGACACAGTTTTGGGATTTGATTCTCTTTTCCTGGGGAGTGTGGGCGTGCTGCGGACGAATGTGGTTGCGAGGACGAGCCTGTGGGTGTATTTGGTGGTGTTGCATCTCTGGGTGGCCTTTGTTTGGCTCATGCATTTTCCTTTCCACCATCATCCACACCATGAGCATGATCATGAGATTCGCTCTGCTCGGCGGTGGTGGTAGTAGCACATGGTACGATATGGGCTTTCCATTTTTCTACTAGCGACGTCTCTTCGTTTTCATTGTTTTGGCCCTTATTGGAACATGTTCCTACTTGCCTTTTGTTACTCAGCTTCCCCATTTTAGCAGTTGTTTCTTCAACTTTGTGAGGGGGATATTGTCGCCACTAAATGAAAACTCATCGATTCTTTATTGGGGGGATTTTTTAGCTTTCCGATTTGCCCCTCGCTTGAATTTTGCAGCGCGACTCACATATCCCCTGCTCTGCTCAGCCGTCGATCCACTCTTTCGTTAGGAGCACGATCGCACTGATCGACTCTCGTTACAGTCAACCGCCATGTCCCCCTCGTTACTCGCCGCCAACGTCTACATTTCCCTCGCGCGCTGCGCGTCTCTCCTCCAATCGCTAGCCTCCTCTCTCGCCGCCTCCCGCGCGCCAACCAGAATCCTCCACGTGTTCGAAGACGAGCCGTACGCGCGAACGGGTGTGACATTAGCGGGGCCTGCGCGGGACCTGGAACGGACAGTGATCCTGATTTCGGGAAGTGCGATCTCGACCGTTGATCTGACTCGCCACGTCGGCAGCCATCCGTCTATAGGCGTGGTGGACCACGTGGCACTGCGGCCGCTGCTGCATGCTGAGCTGGCAGACGCCGCCACGTCAGCGCGGAACATCGGCGAAGCTTTGGGGAAGGAACATGGAGGTGAGGATTGGCACATACTCGGAAGCTCGGCGCGCCATTGCTCGGGATAATGCGTTTGCTGTCTTGGACAGAATCAGACTAACGACTGACTGACTGACTGACAGACAGACAGACTGACAGACAGACAGACAGACAGACAGACAGACAGACAGACAGACAGACGGACGGACGGACGGACGGACGGACGGACGGACGGACGGACGGACGGACGGACGGACGGACGGACGGACGGACGGACCGACCGACCGACCGACGGACCGACGGACCGACGGACTGAGTGACTGAGTGACTGAGTGACTGAGTGACTGAGTGAGTGACTGACTGACTGACTGACTGACTGACTGACTGACTGACTGACTGACTGACTGACTGACTGACTGACTGACTGACTGACTGACTGACTGACTGACTGACTGACTGACTGACTGACTGACTGACTGACTGACTGACTGACTGACTGACTGACTGACTGACTGACTGACTGACTGACTGACTGACTGACTGACTGACTGACTGACTGACTGACTGACTGACTGACTGACTGACTGACTGACTGACTGACTGACTGACTGACTGACTGACTGACTGACTGACTGACTGACTGACTGACTGACTCACTCCGTTCATGGCTATTCGCTCCGCAGGCTCCGTTGTTGCTCTCTGGTTCGGTTTCTGGCGCTTTTAAGAAGCAGACGTTAACTGCCCTATTTGCCCCCTCCGCCATGCCGCACACCCCAGCTCTCATCTATGTCCGCCATGCCGCACCTCTACCCACACATCCATCCCTCCCCTCCGCCCACCATCTCTCCGCCCCTCCCGCCCCTCCCGCCCCTCCCGCCCCTCCCCAGCCTCCCCGTCTATCTCTATGCCGCTGCCAGCCCTGTGCACCGCGCGCTGGATGCCAGCCTGAGGTTGGCCCATTGCGCACCCACCATATCTCCACCCCTCCCGCCCCCCCCCTCCAGTCCCCGTGTACCTCTACGGCGCTGCCAGCCCCACCAACCGCGCACTCGACGCCATACGCCGCGATCTGGGGTACTTCCGGCCCTCTCCTGCTCGTGCTGAGTCGTCTCACGATGCCCATGGCTGTGTGCAAGCACCCGAGTCTGTAACCGAGGCCTCAATCGCCGCAGCCCAAACTGCAAGGGGGAACTCAGCTCAGCAGAACCGGTCCTCCGCACCTCCTGACCCCACTGCCCAACGCCCTCTAGCCTCGGTACCTCCTTCCGTGCCTCCTCCCATGCCTCTTTCCGAGCCTCCCACCAATCCTCCGTCCACACCTCCGGACTTTGGTCCGCTCCACCCCAACCCACTCAAGGGTAGTGTTGCAGTTGGCGCAGCGCCTTGGGTGTACAATTACAACATACCCATCCAGGTCCCCCCCCCTATCACCCCGAGCACCATGACAGCGGCTAGAAGGGTCGCCAGGCGCGTGAGTGAGAGGGGAGGGGGGCTGCTGGGAGTGCAGAGTATGGCGCTGGTGCATGGGGAGGGGTGTGTGGAGATTGCGTGTAATTTATCGGAGCCTGATGCACCGGCAGCAAGCAGAGTGCAGGCTGCAGTGGCGGAAGGGGTTGAGAGGGAGGGTGTGGAAGGGGCCAGGGTGCTGAAGGGGTATTCCCCGGGGTTGACGAGACAGGAGGCTCTGCTGTTGTATCGAGACTTGGAGGGAAGAAGGGCATGGATGTGATCTATGGGTGCAGGCAGCAGGGGGAGTGCAGAAGCAGGGGGGGTGCAGGCAGCAGGGGAGGAAGGGGTTGAGGAGGGCATAGGAGGGGCAGGGTGGTGAAAGGGTATTCACTGGGGCTCACAAGACAGGAGGATTTGGAATAGTATCAAGGCAATGCATGAATTTTGTAAGAGAACAAATGCACTGCAACAAATTGATGTAGGAGTGGCTTTAAGTGCATGAATTTTGTAAGAGAATCCCAGCAGCAGGGCGACTGCAGCAGGCGCAGCGGAGGGAGCGTGTCAGAGGGAGGGCGAGGGAGAGCGAGGGAGGGAGGTCGAGGGAGGGCCAGTGCTACTGGAGGTCGCAACCTGAGTCCTGTACACTTATTCAATGCAGATGCGCATACAGAGTTTTGAGCATTCGCATAAGCTGTTTTTCATCTATTGGTAGCAAACATCAGAAGCATTAGTGTACAGGACTCATGTTGGTGCGCCAACTTTGCAATAACAATGCACAAACGCGCACAGAATTTTAGCCGTCAGTGTGTGGCGCTGCAGACAACCTCCAACTGGTAGCATAGACAAACCTCACAACAAACCTCAACAGCACGCACCCTTGTCACCATTTCTACAGGTACTCTTTCCCTAAAAATCCATCTCACTTTGCTCCTGCAAGTGCAGGTCCAAGGTGCAGGAGGACCAACGGCTCTGCCGCCCACAAGCTCAGGGTCAGCCGAGCCGAACATCGCACGCAAAACCCAGGCGTGAGCCCTTCAACTAGCGCTGCACAAGTTCAGAGACAGATGCACAAACACACATAGCGGAGTGAGCAGGCTATTTTTGAGGCGCCTCAAAGATAGACACACAAACACACATAGCGGAGCGAGCAGGCTAGGCGCCTCAAAGATAGACACACAAACACACATAGCAGAGTGAGCAGGGTGAAGGAGAGGAGGGCAAGAGGAAGGGACCACGGGGAGGCACCACAGGGTGGACACATGGGATGGCAAGACACATGCTGCACGGCACAGCACAGGTAACAGCGCTAAGGGAAGCATGATGCGAGTGACTAGGGAGGGAAAACCAGGGCATTGCAGGCTGTCTCATGCCGTATCAGCAAGGGCAAAGAAGAAGTGTGGGCTGGGGAGGAAGAAGAGGAGCTAATACTTGCAGGAGCAAAGTGATATGTGGACCCACACTTTGAAATTTGGAAAAGGGGCAAGGTATACGGGACGGGACTGGGGACAGAGAGGCGGGATGGCGTGCCATTCCCATTGCTACATGACGGACCTTGAAATGCAGTCCTAGCGAAAGGCAGTCCTAGTGAAATGCCAGTGCTAGTGATACTGCTACTGCTACATTTGAAGGTGCTAGTGCTACATCAGCTCATAGCACGCACCTTGCCTGAGGAGTCTATTTTTGAGGCGCCTCAAAATTTGAGGCGCCTCATTTCAAGGTGCTAGTGCTACATGACCTCACAGCACGCACCTTGCCCTTGCCCTTCTCCCCTCCGCTGCTCTTCTTCCCTGCCGCCTTGCCTCCACTGCTTGCTGCACCAGCTTTCCCCCCTGGCCCCCCTGTTCCTGGTGCTGCTGCGCCCCCTCCTGCAGCAGCAGCAGCCTCTGCAGCCTTTGCTCTCTTAGCTGCCTCGTCTGCTGCCTTCATCCGCGATACTGCCTTTCTCAGGCTCTCCTCTATCTGTTGATGGTAGGTGGGGAGAACACATTGACAAGAAGAAAGAGTATGGTTTTGAGTGGACTTAGAAGCAAATCGTCCGCGATACAGCCTTCCTTAGTCTGCCCTCTAACTGTTAGGTGGAGGGGGGAAAGAAGACATAGATGAAAAAAGAAGAAGGCGGTCTGCAGCCTTGCCCCTCCTTGCTGCCTCGTCTGCTGCTTTCATGCGAGAAACTGCCCTCGTCAGGCTCTCCTCTATCTGTTGACAGGACAATCAAACGGTAGAGGAGAAGAAGGACAAGAGACATGATAGAACCCTGACTCTCCTCACACCCTCGCCTCCTGCTTTCATTTGTGATACTGCCCTTTTCAAGAGAGCCCCGTACACCCATTAAAGTGCCAAGAGACCCCCGTACACCCATTAACGTGCCAAGAGACCAACGTACACCCATTAATGTGCCAAGAGACCAACGTACACCCATTAATGTGCCAAGAGACCCCCGTACACCCATTAATGCACTACCCTTCCCCAAAAAAAATGCCGGCAGAATGCTGGACCCTCCCTATCAACTTCTCATTCTGCCAGCTTTCCTTCTAAGCAGCATCCAGCATTTACTCCTCCACCCCCCTCTGCTGCTGCAGCACGCTTTGACATGCTGAAACTCCTCTCCTCCCCAGATCCTTACCTTGTCGTTCTGCCAGCTTTCCTTCCAGGCAGCGTCCAGCATTCTCTCCACCACCTCCCTCTGCTGCTGCAGCACGCTTTGAGGTGTATAGGACACTCCCCTCCCCCCTCCTTCCCTCACCTTATCATTCTGCCAGCTTTCCTTCCAAACAGCGTCCAGCACCTTCTCCTCCACCTCCCGCTGCCGCTGCATGTTCTAACGAGCCAAGAGACCCCTTTGCCTCCCTTCCCCTACCTTGTCGTTCTGCCAAGATTCCTTCCAGGCAGCGTCCAGCATTCTCTCCTCCACTTCCCGCTGCTGCTGCAGCATCGCCTGCCACTGCTGCTTCTCCCCCTCCCCCTTAACCTTGGAGAGATCAGGCTCCTGCACCCAGCCCAGCTGGAAGGACTGCAAGGGAGGGGGGAATGGGGTGGGGGGACAGGAGTGGAGTATGAGAACCAGGAGAAGAGGCGAGCACACTCGGGAGCGTGCAGCATGGCCTGCAAACTGCTGCTTCTCCCTCTCCCTCGCCCTTGACCTTGGACAGATCAGGCTCCTGCACCCAGCCCAGCTGGAAGGACTGCACGGGGAAAAGAAGGGGGGAAAGGGAAAGGAAGGGGGGAAAGGGAGAGAAGGGGGGGAAAGAAGGGGGGAAAAGAAGGGGGGAAAAGGAAAGGGGGAGAGAGAGGGAACTGTGGGAGGAAGGCTGTTGGAACGGAGAGGGAGGAAGGCGAGAGATTACAAGCACTCTACGATTTACACAGGTGTCATCACACAAGTTGCTGCCACGTATTGACACAATGGCACCTATTTGGTGTTCTATTGGAACGGAGAGGGAGGAAGGCGAGAGATGTTTCCTCCCTCTGTTGCTGCAGCTTCGCCTGCCACTGCTGCCTCACCCCCTCCCCCTGCACTCAAAAACCATTCCAGCTTGGGCACCCAGCCCTGCACCTTCAACCAAACCTCCTCTCGCTTCCTGCTTCCCATCCCTCTCTTCTCCTCTCTCACTCCTCTCCTGCCTCGTCCCTCCTCCCTCCCCCTTCACAAAGAACCATTCCGGCTCCAACCGCCAGTCCTGCTCCTTCAACCGGACCTTTCCTCACCTCCTCTTACTTCCTGCTTCCCTCCGCTCTCTCCTCTCTCCCCTCCCCTGTCCCACCCCAAAGTCTGTAGATTGGGGCAGAGGGGCCCTTTTCTTTGCACCTTCCCCCAAGCCTCCTCTCCCCTCTATCTTCCTGCTCCCTACCCATCGCTTCCGTATCTCCCATCTCTCTCCCCTGTCCCTTCCCCTGACTTACATTGTCCCAGACCAGAAAGGAGGTGTCATTTTCTCCACCTTCCCCCAAACCTCCTCTCACCTCCTCTAGCCTCCTGCTCTCCACCCTTCTCTTCTCGTATCTTCCTTCCACCCCCTTCCCTTTTCCCCCCTCCCCTCACCCCAAAGTCTTTCTGTCTGGGGGGAGGCCCCACCTTTTCCACCTTCCCCCTTCACTCTCTGTTCTCCCATCTCCCCACTCCCCCCCTCTCCCCACTTCCCATTGCCCCCCTCCTAATCCCAAAGTCTCAGTCTGGGAGGAGGCACCATCTTTTCAACCTTCCCCCGAGCCTCCTCTCACCTCCTGCTTCCGCCTCCCCATCCCCTTCTCTCTCCCCACCCACCCCACCATCCCCCCTTGGCTCGCCCCGAAATCTTTCGGTCTGGGGGGAGGCACAATCTTTTCAACCTTCCCCCTTCACTCTCTGTTCTCCCATCTCCCCACTCCCCCTCTCTCCCCACTTCCCATCCCCCCCCGCCTCACCCCAAAATCTTTCGGTCTGGGGGGAGGCACCATCTTCTCCACCTTCCCCCGAGCCTCCTCCAGAGCTGTGGCAACCCGAGCCTCTGCGTCCCCCTCCAGCTTCGGCAGCCGCCGAGCCTTGAGAGGCTTGGGAGGCTTGGTTCGGATGGCGGCATCGAGCTGAGGGTCGTTGAGAGCCGCAGAAGGGTCCATGGCAATCAAAGCCTGGCATCAGGGGATCAGTGGGGAGACGGGGGAAAAGAGAAAGGGCGGGTAGGAGGCAGGGAGGGTGGAAAAGCAGAGCGGGGTTAAGAGAAGAAAAAAATAGGTTCGTGTGGCGGCTTCAAGATGAGAAGCGTTGAGAGCCGTAGATGCGTCCATGCCGATTAAAGTCTGAAGAATGAGGGGGGGGGGGAAGTGGAACAGGGTTGGGTAGGGTGGGGGGGTGGGTTTGGGGGAGGGGGGGTGGGGGGGAGGCGGAGAGGGGGAGGAGAAATTGAAGGGTTCGAATAAAGAAACAGCACCAAGCCTTGAGACGCCTCAAAACTAAATAATTATCACCAGGCCATTGAAAGCCGCGTAGGTGGGTCAATGCCGATTGAATCTTGGAAGGAGAGAGTACAAATGTGTGCTGTACTGGAGCTGATCATGGCAGTTTTGAAATGTCTAAAAAAAACTATTCTCAACGGTGACGAACACGGCAGTACCTGCTGAGCTTGCTGTCAGCCTGGCTGCTTCTGCAGCACAATGTCACGCGTGCCCTCGTACCGCTGCTGCTGCCACTGTATCCATCTTGCACATCTGCCTACATAGATAGATACGGCTTGACAAACGCAAGCATACCTGCTGCGCCTGCTGCCATCCTGGCTGCTTCTGCAGCACAATGTCTCGAGTGCCCTCGTACCGCTGCTGCCACTGCAGCAAATAGAGAGGGTTGTGCGAATGGGGGAGGGTTACACGAATGGGGGCGATTTTTGAGGCGCCTCAAAAATCGTCTCGCGTGCCCTTGTACCGCTGCTGCCACTGCAGCAAATAGAGAGGGTTGTGGGAATGGGGGAGGGTCACACGAATGGGGGCGGAATGGGATGAACGCCGCACCAAAGGGTTGGGTTTGGACAGTCAAGCGGTAGAGACACGAAAGGGCCACAGACAGCCAAGCGGCAGAGAAGCGGGTGGACGAGAGAGCAAAGGCATAACACATTCCCCATGCTTTCATAACCCCTGCTCCCTCCCACCACCCTACCTTCCTCTCCCTCTCACCCACCATCATCCCCTCCTCCAGCACCGGTTGCTTGCAGCAGTAACCAGAAAGCCACTTCCAATCCACAGCATTCCCTTCATGTCATACCGCATGCATCCATGTGCCATACCTCGTGCTGCTCCCACCAGGCACTCTCCTTCTCCCTCGCGCTCATCCCCCCCCCTCCAAGTGCCCCATCCCCCCACCATCCCCCTCACCTCGTGCTCCCACCACGCGCTCTCCTTCTCCCTCTCGCTCATCTCCACCCCCTCCTCCAGCGCCGGTCGCTGCAGCAGCCAAAACGCGGCTCTGTTGGGGTCTTTCATTGACTCGGGGGAAGGCTGCAAACGTTAAATAAATGCGGGGCGGGGAAGGGGGGAGATGGGGGCAAGGAGAGTGGGGGGGACGCGGAGACAGGGGGGAATGGAGAGGGCAAGGGAAATGACAGAGGGCAGCTCATTTGAGATCCTGCATTTGATTCAGGGTTGGCTGTAGGAGGAAGGATTTGCATGCCTGGTGTACTTGCCACAACATGGCACGGCGTGGCATGGCCCATGCATGATGACATGCTCTGTACATCGAGCGATTCTGTGTACCGCACATGCGATAAATGGGCGCATGCACACAATACATGGATCAAACGCCGTGAAAACGGCTGGGCGTAGGACATCGTGACATGCATCACACATCGTGACATGCAGCACACATCATGTCATGCATCACACATCACGACATGCATCACACATCACGACATGCATCACACATCACGACATGGATCGCACATCACGACGTGCATCACACATCACGACGTGCATCACACATCACGGCATGCATCACGCATCACGACATGCACCACACATTATGGCACCCATCACCTGGTATGGTATTCATCCCATGCATTACCCACCAAAATGGGTTTAGCCACGCGCTAGGCATCCCATGCTCTAATCACCTACCATGCCATAACACACCATGATACACCATGCCACACCATGCCACACCATGCCACACCATGCCACACCATGCCACACCTCACCTACCATGACAGGTTTAGCCATGCGGTAGGCGTCCCAGGCCTTTAGGGGCGAGTCAAGAACCTGGAAAAGGGAAGGAAGCGGGGGAAAGGGAACGGAGAGATGGGAAGAGAGAAAGAAGGGGGAGAATGGGGAGGGGAGTAAAGGAAGGGAGGCTTTTGAGTCGACTCAAGAGCAAGGGGAGCAAATGGAGAATGGGGAGGGGAGTAGAGCAAGGGAAGGGGAAATGGGAAAGGGAGAGGAGAGCATTGGACTTTAGTCTGAAAAAGGACAGAATGAGAAAAACAGGAGAGAGAGAAAATCGAAGTAAATTATACGGAAGAGCAGTTGAGAGACATCACCCTACTGAGAGTAAATTTATGCTTCCTTGCCTCCACCTCAGATGAAATTACAGCATTTAGAATGGGCATGTCTTATAACTCCATCTCCAATCTCCTTTGTCTCACTTTTCCGACCCTGAATGACATGAGGTGCGGCAAAGGCACGGCACTTGGAAACCCGCGATATCAGTTATTTGATGCGTCGTCTGCTGTAACTCCAGATCTTAACAACGATGTGATGTTTGCGGAGTCACATGCTGCCTCAGAATACTGTTGAGTCTGTTAAAACCGGAGTTACCAAAGACAACACACCCAATAACTGACATCGTGGGAAATCAAGCACCAAGCCATCGCTTGCTGTACCTCACGCCATCTAACAGTTCGTTCCAAGAGACGTAGAAAGTTGGAGCTGGGGTTAGAGACGTAGGAACCTGACCTGACGCATGCTAAAGTTTTTGAGGCGCCTCAAAAACGCATGAGGCGCCTGAGGGTTTTTGAGGCGCCTCAAAAGTTGAACCTGACGCATTTGATGCATAAAGTCATTTCATGCAAGGTCAAGTAAGGCACAAGATTTAATGAGTCGATTTTTGAGTCGACTCAAAAATCGACTCATTACTGACGCATGCTAAAGTCACTTCATATGCAAGGTCAAGTAAGGCACAAGATTACGCCACACCTCGCAATGTCCATTGCATTGCTCATGCTGCCAGACTCTAGTTCTCACTCTGTCCGATGCGATCTCGTGCTTCCATGCATCATATACCTGTCAGTCACGCATCATGCCTCACTTTTTTTTAGGCGCCTCAAAAATAGACTCCTCACGCTTGCCTAACTGCATTTCTCATCCTGGCTTGTCGGATAGTTTTGCTCACCCAGTCAAATATGATCTTGTGCTTCCATGCATCCCCGTTGCACACAGAGCAGCACATCACCCCAGACCCATGGCAAGTGGGGCAGAGCAAGGCGCACACAGCGAGGCGCACACATACGCCATGGTGGTAATGCTCACATACAGCCTATAGCGTGTCATGTGCAACATCTTTCTCACCCTGTCAAAAGTAATCTTGTGCTTCCATGCATCCCCCTTGCACACAGAGCAGCACATCACTCCCGACCCGTGGCACGTGGGGCAGAGCGAGGCAGAGGCGGAGGAGGAGGAGGAAGAAGAGATGGCGGGATGGGGAGAGGCCACCAGGAGAGATTGCCCGGAGGACCTGAGGTGGGGCGTCGTAGGACGGAATGGGAAGGGAGGTTCTGCGGAATGAACGATGGGCCATCATGGGACACGGGCAGTGGGCCATGGAAGTCTAGTTTTGAGGCGTCTCAAAACGAGATTGCCCCGAGGACCTGAGGTGGGGCGTCGTAGGACGGAATGGGAAGGGAGGTTCTGCGGAATCACGGGCATGGGACAATGGGACACGGGCAGTGGGACATGGCACGGTACGGCTTGGTGTGGCATGGGCTAAGGTTTGGGGATGAAGACGGGTGGGGCATTACGATGGGAGGGAGGGGGCACATGATGCAGGGGTAGTACCCACTTGCTGGATGGCAGGGCTTGTCTTCTAGTGTGTCCTGTTCCTCGGCATGTTGTGCATGCCACTCCTTCCCACCCGTTGCACCCCTCACATTCCCTGTGTCATATCAAATCAAGTAAGATAAAGTGCATGTCAAGGGATCGGATCAGATGGAATGGCGTGGAATGGATTGACATAGAATGGCAAGGCATGGCAAGCTCCTGGCCTGCTCGCACTTGCCTTGGATTGAACCTGATCACCTGTTCGCTCACCTGATCCCTCACCTGAACGCTCACCTGATCGCTCACCTGAACGATCCACTGAACGCCTCACTCTAGTTTCTAATCTCCCCATCCAGCCGTCTCACCTTGAGCCGTACAACCGTGCCACGAAATCAGTGGTGATTGCCGCTGTGCCCGCTGCTGCCACTGCCTGCAGTAGTGGTGCGGGGGGGTTGGGGGGTGGGGAGAGGAAGAGGAGCGGGGTGGGGAGGAAGGGGGGGAGAGGGAGAGGAATAAGGCCAAGGGGACTTTTGAGCCGACTCAAAAGACACCTAATATGGCCAAGGGGAATGATGGGGGCGATGAGAACTTTTGAGGCGCCTCAAAAATGATGGGGGCGATGAGAAGCAGCATGCACGGTTACGATGGGGTGAGACGGGAAGGGAAGTGAAAGGAACAAGACTAGCATTGTAGCATGCTGCATGTTTCACTGTCAGTGGAAAGCATGTGGGTGGGTAGTAGCAGGTGTGAGGGAGCTACGGCATGGTCTGATAGGCTCGGATTTCGGCCTGCCGTGCTTTCAGACAGAGGAGCAGCCAAGCACGCTCCGAGGTTAAGGGTTTGCTTTTAGGCCTGGAAGCGAATCCGTCCGTCAGGAAACAACTGCTAGTTTCACAGTCTAATACTTTATCCGACGGGACTAAACCAACGTCTAAAGTGTGTTTACCGAAGTCTAACCTTCTGCCAATGATTACTCCCGATATTGTCACGCCACTGATACCTTTCAGGCGACAAGAAAAATCGTAAAAATATGCACGAGAAGTGAGCTCTTCTGGAAACGGACATCCGGCGAAAACGACAGCGTGCGAATGGTAACACCACAGTTGAAATGTTCGCACCACAGTCCCAACGAGGGTTGGGAAGGAGCGCGAAAGGCTAAGTCGGAGGGTTTACGAAGCATCCGAAGCTGGCGACGCTGGTGACGGCCCTGGGAATGCCGAGGCCCGTGCGGAGCGCCTCCTGCGACTCGGTGCGCAGCTCGAAGACGAGCTCCTGCGCGAACTGCGCCGCCGCGCGCGCGATGCCCTGCGCCTGCTGAATCGCACGGCCGATAGGCGGCGGCACCATGGCGGGTGTACGGCGGTCTAGGTCGGTACAGAGGCGCCTCGCAACTGGGTGTGGGACTATCGAGGAGCCTAGGAGGCGACTAAAGAAGCCAGCTGCCGATTCCACCCAGCGTGACCTAGAAAAACTATGGGCGGTTATGCCTTCTTACCTGATCTGAAACCTATAAGCGCGTCCGGCTGGGAGAATTATACGCACTACACTTAAAGGTCGCATGTTACAAGTGGTGACGCTTACTTCATCCCTCCTACATGAAATCCAAGTTCTAAATATTACTGAATAATCCGATCATTCCAAAAATCATCCCATATCATGTTTTTACCTATCAAAGCATTTTTTATTGAGTATTTGACATTTTACGTTCACCTGCATCTCTGCTATTGCTGTTATCCTGTAATGCCATCTTGACTCACCTTCTTGTCCTCTGTAAGTAATTGTATTCTTTACCGGGTTATACTGCATCGCGTACACCCAAAACCTCGCAAGGCCAGGCTCGGTCCGAACCAACGCAACCCCGAAGCCGCCTGTACTCAACCTAGCCCTCCGGGGTTCTCGCCTAACTAGGGCTCTCGCTATTGTAATAATTTGACAGGTGTTGCAGGAGACGAAGTATAGAATCTGCAAACACGAACACTTGGAAAACCTCAAGTGTTAGCCAAGGATTTTTACTGGAATGGTAGACTAGTAAGACAACGGAAGTCTTATAAGAGTGAACCTGAGCACATGAACTTATGGGTAGTCAAAGGTTAAATAATCTGAGCACATAATTCTGTGGAAAGTCAAGGTTTAAAGTCTCAATGTTGAAATCGCAAGGTTAATAATATAAAGGCATTACAAGGATTTATAGCTCTAGGGAAAGTATCTGCTCGGCTAGTTGCGCGCTATGCCACCTACTCGTCATACTATAGGGTCGCAACTGTTCGCGTGACTGAAACGACTCGTTACGTGTTATGAATGAACAAGCAGAGTAGCTCGGAAATGAATAACGAAGTGTTCACTCAATGAATGACGATACAAGGAATGGCAAGCCAAGATATAGGAACACCAGAGCTAGTCTAACCCTGCGATGGTAAGGTTCGGGAAAAAGATCGAAGGGTCGCGAAGTGACGAAGCGAGGCTCGGAGAACTCCCGAAGGTCGAGCCGAAAGGTCTGGAGAAGCCGAGGCGGTTCTGTCAGAAGGTCTGGAACAGTACCGAGGCTTCGGGTGTGTTCGAGCGTACGCGATAGCAGTACCGCTCGGTAAGGAATGAAAAATTCCTTACACCACCCCCCCCCTTAGCGAAGGTGATCCATATCAGCCACATGCTTGCGGTCCAAATAATTCGCAAGTATCGAAGGTGACTGTATCTGGTCCGAGGGCACCCACGTGTCGTCCTCACTGGTACGATTGGTCCATCGTATCAGAAAGTCAACGTGTCGTCCTTGACCGTCGATATGAATCCGATGGCTCAAGATCTTTGAAGGCTCGATGGTTGTCTCGGCTGGTGGCCGTACGTCGGGGACCAATCGCTGTCGAGCGATGTCCGACGTGTCAGGAACGAAGGGTCGCAACAGACTCACATGGAATTTGTTGTGAATTCGCCAGTCATCAGGTAGGCGCAGTTGAGCGGTCACCGGCGTCACCATCTTCACGATCTTGAACGGGCCACAGAAACGTGGTCGTAATTTCGTCGGTAGTGGCAGTCGTAAATTCTTGGTGTCCAAAAGGACTAGTTGCCCTGTCGTCATCGTAATATCCTGTCGATGTAAATCCGCATACCTTCGGGCAGTTGCATTCGCCTTGCGAATTAGTTCGACAGCTTTGTCTCGGGCAGTCTGTAATTCTTCGACGAACTGCTGCGATCGTGGTACTTGACTCTCAACGTTGGTAGAGACTGGTACTGTAGGGTCCATCCCGTAATTGAGATAAAACGGGGAGTGACTAGTCGTAGCTGAGGGAGCGTTATTGTAGGAAAATTCCAACATGGGCAGCACGTCCTCCCATTCCGGTCGGGGCAGTTTTTCCGAATCAGCTGCTCCATCGTTTGATTTGTCCTTTCCGTCTGGCCGTCCGTTTGGGGATGATACGCGGATGAGAACTGTAGACGCGTGCCATACCGAGCCCACGTGTCCTGCCAGAATTTTGACGTGAACTTCGGATCTCGATCGCTAATGATTGCTGCTGGTATCCCGTGTAGACGAACAACGGTCGAGATGAACAGGCGCGCTGTTTCTTCGGCTGTGATGGTTGTACGACATGGTGCGAAATGCGCCATTTTGATCAATCGATCGACGACAACCAAAACCGCGTCGTTTCCGCTGGGTCCGGCCGGTAGTCCCGTAACGAAATCCATCGTTACGTGTTGCCATGGGCGTTGAGGTGGCTCAAGGGGCTGCAACAGTCCTGTAGGTCGCTGGTGTGAGGATTTCATTCGCTGGCAGATCGGACACGCGGCCACATAACGCTGCACGTCCGTCACCATATCTGGCCAGTAATAAAACCGATGCAACGCCTTCAGAGTTTAATCAACCCCGAAATGTCCCGATAAATTCGAATCGTGGACTTCTTGAATTAGTAATTCGCGAAGTAGACGATAACTTGGGACCCAAATTCGATCAGTCCCGCTTCGTAAGTAATAGACGCCTTTCCGTGTAGTGATTGGGAGATGGCCGTCATTTACGAAGAAGGGGTCAGTCGAATAACCGTGGGTAAATAGTCCACTCAGTAGCAGGTTGCTCTGGGCGACTAGTACTGCAGCGAGTTGGGCAGATGGTCTGGAAAGGGCATCGGCAATATTGTTGGCGCCTTTTTTGTACGTGATCTTGTACGTGAAATTGGACTCCAGATAGTCCAGCCAGCGTATCTGCCGCGGGTTGAGATTCGGCTGCGCCCGCAGGTACTGTAGTGATTTGTGATCGGTTCGCACCGTCACGTCTGTTGCAGTCAGGTAGCACCTCCAGATTTTGAACGCGTGGACGATCGCCAGCATCTCCTTGTCGTGTACCGGGTAGTTGCGCTCAGCAGATTGCATTTTTCGAAACTCGTACGCGATTGGTTGAAGCCCGTTGCCGAAATCTTGCATGAGCACTGCTCCGATGGCGATGTCACTTGCGTCGGTGATGACTTCGAAGGGCCGTTCCGGGTCAGCGATGCGAAGTACCGGTGGCGACATTAAAAGATTTTTTAATGCCTCGAACGCAGCTTGCTGCTTCTCCCCCCACTCGTAAAAAGTCCCCTTCTGCAGTAGGTCGGTTAGAGGTCCAGTTAACCCTGCCATGTTGGGTATAAACCGCCGCACGTAATTCACGAAACCCAAAAATGATTGCAGCTGCTGCAGATTTGTGGGTGGTTTCCACTCCTGAATAGCCCGGAGTTTTTACGAGACTATTCGAATCCCTTCCGTGGAAATCACGTGCCCCAGGAACTCCAGTTCTTGTTTTAAAAACTCGCACTTGGAGCCCTTGGTGATGAGTCGATGCTGCTGCAACCGCTGAAAAACCGCTTCCAAATCTTTTAAATGCTGCTCCCGGGTCTTGCTGTAGATCAGGGTGTCGTCCAGGTAAATTATTACGCATTTGTCGAGTAGATCGCGGAACACCCCGTTCATGGTGAGTTGGAACGTCGAGGGGGCGTTCGTTAATCCAAACGGCATCACCGTGTATTCGTAACTCCCATAGCGAGTACGAAACGCGGTCTTGTGGCAGTCGTCAGCGAACACCCGAATTTGATGGTAACCGCCACGAAGGTCGATCTTCGAAAAGTAGCGAGCTCCGCGAAGGTTGTCGATCAGTTCGTCCGTTCGTGGGATTGGGTAGCGCGATTTTATCATTACCCGATTAAGGGCACGATACTCCGTACACATGCGAAGGCCGCCGTCCTTTTTTGGCGTGAACAGAATTGGTGCTGCGAACGGTGAAGTGCTCGGCCGAATGAACCCTTTCGCCAACAGGTAGTCCAACTGGTTCCGTGGTTCCTGTAGCTCCGGTTGAGTCAGGCGCCATTGTGTTCGTACAGTAGATTGCGCACCGGGCTCCAGCTCGATCTTGTGGTCCTGGGGTCGTTCGGGTGGCAGTCCACTTGGCAAGTCGTCCGGGAAAATCTCAGGATATTCTCGAATGATTTTCGCCAAGTCATCCGGGACCGGTGCGCAGAGTTTGTTGATGTCGTTCGCCTCATTCTGCTCCGTCGATTCGGTTAGATGGACGGCGTATAAATCCGCTCCATTCTTGACCGCTCGATTGAGGCACACCGCGTTGACTCGTGTCGATGTTGTCTCTACTTCCGGCCACGTGGGTAATTTTCGCCAACCCTTGTCGCACTTCACTGTGCACTCGCCTGTTGTCCAATCGATCTGCGGGTTGAATCTTCGCAGCCAATCGCGTCCCAAAAGCACGTCGTATCCGTCGAGTGTTGTCGCCAACATCGGCGCTCTGAAACCAAAATTATTGCCGCACTTCATTCGAACGACGGGTACTTTGTCGCGTATCGCCAGCGGGGTGCCGTCCACCAATCGCGCGTCGATTTCGGGTAGACACCGCTCCAGCGTCAGGTGTAGTCATCGTGCTGTCTCTCGATTTATCAGGCTGTGACTCGCACCTCCGTCGATGAATATTTTTATTTTTCTTCCATGAAGTCGTCCTTCCGCCAGTACAGGGTGGTCCACTGGGTCATCCTCCTTTTTCAGCCGGGAGCGGTTGATAGCATGTATCGGAACCACTACTCGGTGGGGATGATGTTTTTCGGGCGATGAGGCAGGGTCAGTAGGGGGCCCGACCGCTACTGACGCTTGGCGTTTCCCGACCTGTCCTCGTCGTTCTTCTTTATCTGCTTCGTTCGGGGGCAATCGTGAGATTGGTGACCCGGTTGGTGGCAGTTGAAACATTGTCCCTTGCGAAAATCGTCCATGTGCTCCTTCGCCACTACGCCGTGAATCGTGGGCCGTGGATTCTGGCCATGAAAACGATTTCCCTCTCGGGAACCCGCTCTCGCATACGTCCGATGTGCGTCGAAATTATCTGCGATCCGGACAGCTTCGTGAAACGTCGCCGGCAGTCGCAGTCGGACCTCGCATTTAATGTCCTGCTTCAAGCCCGAGATGAATCGAGCTTTCTTCTCGGAGTCATGCATGTCGGTGATTTGATCGCATAACGCCATGAAGACCGACGCGTAATCCTGGACATAACTCCACTGGCGCCAGTTGTCCAGCTTCGTGCGTGCGTTGTCCGAGGCGGATATTGGCTCGAAACGTTCACGCAGAGCTGTACCCCACGCCTTCCACGTGCGAATCTTGGTCGATCCAAAAATCGCGGTTGACCCTTGGGCAGCAGACCCAAAGTTTCCGAAAAACCCCTGTGTGTCGCCTGCCGAAAACTCCTCCTCCTGTAGAGTATATCGCCACCAATCTAGCGCAGGTCCCCGCAATAGTGATACAGCCAGTCGAATTTTTAAATCGTCAGCAGTGATCCCAACGGCGTTAAAATAAAGTTCCACCGAAAACAACCAGCCCGTAACAGTAGTATTCTTATCCGTGGGGTTGAACGGGGGCGGCATTATCGGTTTGATTGTCGCTGTCGTCACGATCGGCATAAACGCCGGTGCGGCTACAGTAGCGGCTGCTTCTGACCGAGCGGCTGCTGCTGTCGCTGCTGCTGCTGCTGCTTCGGCTGCTGCTCGTGCTGCCACGTCAGCTGCTGCGGCGGCTTCACTGTCCTTGCGCTCCTGTGACACCTGACGTGCGATTTCGTCCAAGACGGTTTCGACACGTCCGGTGCTGGCGACCTCCTCTTGGGCGGCACATTTCTAACGCGAATCCTCTCGCGCCTGGCGTAACTCAGCAACTTCCGCACGAAGTCGCTCGTTGTCCTCCAGCACTGTAGCCAAGGGTGTGTTCATGGCGTTGAACTGCTCCCGAAGCTCGTTGAACTGAGCCTGGTCCATTTGGCGAATGCTCCGCCGGGGCAGGGGGAATTCCGTCGTGTGCCTGTACTCAGGTAAGCGCAAACGCTATCGGAGTTGGGCGAATTAATCAATCTAATTCGCGAGCAACCGCTTTGCAGCTTACGTGAGGGACCTAAAAAAAAAAACTCACGAAAACGGGTGAGCGATGAAAGTGGCTCTGAATACCAGGTGTTATGAATGTACAAGTAGAGTAGCGCGGAAATGAATAACGAAGTGTTCACTCAATGAATGACGATACAAGGAATGGCAAGCCAAGATATAGGAACACCAGAGCTAGTCTAACCCTGCGATGGTAAGGTTCGGGAAAAAGATCGAAGGGTCGCGAAGTGACGAAGCGAGGCCCGGAGAATCCCCGAAGGTCGAACCGAAAGGTCTGGAGAAGCCGAGGCGGTTCTGTCAGAAGGTCCGGAACAGTCCCGAGGCTTCGGGTGTGTTCGAGCGTACGCGATAGCAGTACCGCTCGGTAAGGAATGAAAATTCCTTACATTACGCCTATTCGCGTAACTGAAGCGGTATGCTGACGTCATCACTCGGACCTTTTTCTTTACCGAGAAACTCGATACTGCTAGCTACACAAAAAACGGAACTTGCAGGAATGCAAAACTTCATATGTCACAACAGCTATATCTTGCTAGGCTGTCATCGTACTTGTCATTATAGGGGCGTGTTTCTAGTAGGTATCATCTCAAATATAGTGTCATCTAGAATGCTGGAAACCCATCGCAACCGTTAATTTGAAAATTCAACGGGTGCAATGAGTTTCCAGGATTCTCGGATGACACTTTATTTGAGATACCTACTAGAAACAAGCCCTTACAGGATTCCGAGCACACACAGTTATTATTCATAACCTCAGCAGGAACTGCCGAAATGTTTTCCGTGTTTCATATTGGGAAGATTTTTGGTGGAGGCGGTTTGTCGTTGTGTCCCTCTGGGCAACTTGTCGAGCTTTGAGGGGTGGGCTTTGTGCCTCTCTCTCGGTTCATGCTCAAACATGGGCAGCTGAAACGGACGATGCGATTTTCAGGGGGAGATCTGGGGTATCCGAACATGCTTGACATCCACTCTTCTCACATGTGTAGAGGAAGGGTATAATCGCACCAGATCTTACCGAATCCACCGCTTCTTTGCGCTGCATCTGGATTTGTAACGACAACAAATCCGAAGAAAAAAATATTTTCTTTCCAGAACGGTGTTAAGTGTGTGCGGGTTTCGCATGCGAAAAGGTTCCTGGGAACGAAAAAAGAGCCCAAAATGTTGAGGTTGTTGCAAAGGCCAGGTGGTGGAACGACTTGCCATATTTGTCCTTTTGTGGACAGACGTGATAGATTCTGGAGGGGCAGCCCCTGAAGAATTATCTGTTTGTAACGAGTAGTCCGCCCGACCCAACTGGGAGGGAATGAATCTGTTAACAGAAGGCAGAAGGCATTGCAACAGCACTGGTGTCACTATGATACTGGAGAACGCTTTACTATGGGACCGTGTGGTACCATGTGTCCGTCGAAGATGGATAAACCTCACTGGGTTTGAACTGGTTACATGATGTCAAACTGGGAAGGGAGGGAAGCCTGGAGCTTGCCGAGCCCTCCTGATTCTTTTTTCCCACCCCACTGCATTTACGTGGATTTCTATAACTGTGTAGGTCTAATGGACCCTGAATACCCTCGGAAAAAACCATCCTCACTGAACCTGGTATGGGCGAACACGGGTCTAATCCTTTTGTCCACCATCTCGTTTTGTCCGGCTTCACGGTAAACTGTGCAGGTTGATTTTGGAGTATGATCCACCTGCTCGGCATTTCAATGCCCAAGTGTTCCCCGTTCCCCCATCGAAGTCGACATCCCTAGCTTTGGTGGGCTGGCGTCCGTCAGCCGCGGCCCTGACGGAAATTCAGTTGCCGCTGAAACATCTCCTGTCTAGTGCCCACTGCTCCGTTCCGTCCCATTCTGAGTCGTTCCGTCTAGTCAAGTTTCAAGTTTCCCCCACAGCTTCATGCTGTTGGATGTTCTTCAATTCCTTCCGTCAGTTTCAGCCCATCTTCTTCACTCCATCCTTTCAGTTAGGAGCTCAAAGAAGACCATGCACGTCCACCTCGCCATTCTGCACTTTTTGTTGTACTGTACACTGCCTCCGGTTCTTCTCAGATATTCCAAGTGCAATTCAGAGACTAGATGACCTTGGGATCCTCAGAGACTAGAGATGCGGAATTTTGATGCTGGCCAACTGTATTGGTGCTACGTAGAGCTTTCAGCCTATTTTTCTTCATGGCCGTGTACTGACCACGAAATGTCCTCCCATACCCCATGTCAGCTTTTCCGCATGTAGCATCAGGCGTCAGACGAAGTAGCGGTTCGGCATAGTTTCTTCTCGATTGTGTCCCATATATGGAGAAGTACGTTAAAATTAAGCTCATAGGCGAAGGTTCGCACGGGAAGGTGTACTTGGTAAAGGAGAAGGTCGACGGGGATGGATTCTCAAAACAGGCCATTCGCAGCGCGAGCGATAGAGTGTGGGTGATGAAGGTCGTTCCGCTGCCGACAGATCCGAAAGAGCGAGAGGAGTGTGTGCGAGAAGGCTCGACCATGATGCAGCTCGGCCACCCGTGCATTGTCGGCTGCAAGGTACGGCCGCGCCGCTTAGATTCGCCTTCCATCCTTCGACGCGTCTTAGCAGCTCCTCTAATTCCAGAGCCTCGAGAATGCACGGCGCTAGCCCTCGAGATCTGGAATTCCGATGCCTGACCGAGTTTCGTCGTTAAGAAGTTCCCCGTGACATCTCCTGACATCTCCTGACATCTCATGACGTCTCCTGACGTCTCCTGAGGTCCCCTGCCATCTCCTGAGGTCTCCTGACATCCCCTGACATCTCCGGACATCTCCTGACCTGTCACTGTCTCCTCATGTGTTTCCTCTTGGTTACCTTCGTCCCTTAACTGTCGCAGGAAGCGTTCATCGACCGCTCCAGCCGTGCATTCTGCATCGGTGAGTAGTATACCGGCGAGTAGTGGCCTACACTGCACATGAGAACGGTCGTAGCCAGGCTGCAGCTGTCGCGAGGCTGTCAATTGTGTTCAATGAGGAGGTTCGTCTTGCGTCCTCTTTGCGACGTCAACACGCTATAGCAAGAAGCGTTAACGGAAGGTTCCGACGCCAGGTTTACAGGGATGTGTCGAGCCTGCCGAGAAGTCTAGTCGTTCAAGGTTTCATGCTCGGTGTTCCCAGGGTTATCTGGCTACGCTACTAGATAGAAACGAATCACATCGAGTCCCGCCGTGTCGGAGTGTGCTCCTGATGGCCGCACTGTCACTGTTCCCTCCGCGCTGATGCCTCTCCTGTCCATTCCCATGCTCCCATCGCTCTCCGCGCGTCTCACGGTCGTCGTCTGTCCGTGGTGCTTGGTCTCGGGTCTTGGGTCGTTGGTCCGTGCAGTGATGGAGTACTGTCGGAAGGGCGAGCTGTGTCAGCACCTCAAGAAGCGGTCCAACATGGCCATGATGTGAGTTCGTTCGCTCTCATTTACAATTGACCCATGATTCGTCGTTCGTCGGCTCGGCTGCCATTTTACTATTTGACTGCTTCCATGTCTCCGCTACAGTGGAGTCATTTTATAGAATTATAAAAATGACTCCACTGTCTGCTTTCATGTCTCGGCGCAAGAATGCGGACTTGCTGGATATGGTTCAAGGCTGGCGAACGTCCTGCTCCGCGTGTCTGCATTCCCATCCTCTTTGTGTAATCACCTTTTCTCCTGCTCGCTTGTCCTGCAGGATTCCCGAGGACACCATTCTCAACTGGTTCGTGCAGCTCGTGCTCGCGTTAGAGTACCTTCACCATAAGAACATTCTCCATCGCGACGTCAAGGTACTTCCCCTCTCTTTGCGTCAACTCGAAAGTCAGCTCGTGCTCGCGCTAGAGTACCTTCACTTTAAGAACATACTCCATCGTGACGTCAAGGTAGCTTCGCCGCCCTCTTTCTTAACGGCGTCGTTCCGCGTGAGAATATCCAGCATTCTCCCTCCTCCGTACCAAACGCCTTTCCTCGCAAGCGACCAAACTGGCTCCAGGCACCGCTTTCTTCTTTATCTTCAGGCACAGATTCTCTCTTTCCCTCTCTCCGCTCCCTCCTTTCAGGCGGAAAACGTGTTTTTCCGCAGCACGCACGACACCCCTGTCGGGAATGCCGCGACAGTGCAGCTAGACAATTTCGGCATTTCGCCCCAACCCTCTTTCTTCTCCCCCCACACCCAACCCCGATTCCCCCGGTTCCCCCGTACCGCACCTTCCCCCGCCTTCCCCCGCCTTCCCCCTGGTCTCAGGCGGAGAACGTGTTTCTCCGCAGCCGCCACGACACCCCCCTCGGGAATGCCGCGACGGTGCAGCTGGGCGACTTTGGCATTTCGCGAATGCTGGAGGCGCATGAGGCGGTGGCGCGCAGCTTCGTGGGGACGCCGCTGTACATGTCGCCTGAATTGATTAGAAACGAGCCGTACGACCATAAGTCAGGTGAGGCAGCAGTGCACTCGGAGGGCACTAATAGTGCCGGCTTAGAGGGGAATAGGGCATGCTGTAGGCACGCCGCTGTTCATGTCGCCCGAGCTGATCCGGAACGAACCCTACGACCACAATTCAGGTGGGTGAGGCATACGAAGCGAGGCAGCAGTAATTCAGGATTCGTTATTAGATGTATGTGAACCCCGCCCTCATTTCCTATTCCCGCCATTTACCTGCCTGCCCGTCGCAGACATCTGGGCGCTGGGCTGCATCCTGTACGAGATGATGTGCTTCGCTAAGCCCTTCCCCGCTACAAGCATACGCGACCTCGTGCTGCGAGTGCTCAAGAGCAACTACCGCCCTCCCCCGCACATGTAAGCCGCAAGTCTGCCCAACCCTAGTTCTCTAAAGCTCGGTTCTCTCAAGCTTCCAACCCTAGTTCTCTACAGTCGCCTCATATTCCCCTACCCAAACCCCCATTCTCCTTTCCACGCCACACCCTACCTAGTTCGACCTCCCCATTCCACCCCCCCTCCCCGCATTCCCCTTTCGACCCCCCCTCCCCTCCCTCTCTGCTCTCTAACGACGCCTCGGATTCCCCTTTCCACACCCCCGCTCCTCTCTTCCCTCGTCTCCTCCCCCTCCCCTCCCCCCCGCCCTCCAGATACTCCCCCGAGCTCTGCTTCCTCCTGACCAAGATGCTCTCTAAAGACGCCTCGCGCCGTCCCACGGCCGCCGACATCCTCGCCTTCCCGCTGCTCAGGCCGCGCGCCGCGGCGTTCCTGGCGGCGTGCCAGCTGGCGGCATCCGAAGCGGCGGAGACGCACGGGGAGCAGCAGCAGCAGCAGCTGGAGGAGCAGATGCAGCGACAACTGCTGCAGCTGCCGCCGCACCAGCAGCAACAACAACAACAGCAGAGCCACCACCGCCACCATCGCCGCCATCGGCAGCAGCAGGAACACCAGCTTGACGGTTCCGCCTCGCCTTCCCCCCTCTCTCCGCCTCCCTCCCCGCCTCTCTCCCCCCCCCTCGCCTCCCCCTCCTGTTCCTCCTCCGTTCCGTCCTCCCCTCTCCACCACCACCACTCCCCCGCCGCCGCGCGCGTCCTAGCCATTCATAGAGAGGTAGTGCAGCAGGCGCACCGCCTAGGCCTGCACGCGCCGCTCGAGCCGCTGCTCTCCCCCGGCCGCGCGCGGTCCGCGGAAGAGGCGCGCGCGGCGGGGCTTCCGCTCGCGTCTGCTTCTCGGGGGGCTCCGGCAGGGGGAGCGGCGGAGGCGCGGGGTGATGGGGCGGCGGGCGGGGAGGGCACAGGCGCACTGTACCGCGACTATGAGGCGAGCTTGAGGGTCAACTCAGCACAGGCAAGTCCGCTGGCCGATTATCCGCCTCCCTCAGTCAGATCCCTTCGTCCCCACGACGATCTCGTTGCGTCTCCGTCTTTGTCGCTGTTTCTCAGTCTTTGCCGTGTTGGTCCAGCCCGCTGCCGCGCTTTACTCTTGTCTTAGTCCCTCTGCTCCTCGCTTTCTCCTCCCCTCTCGATTCGCCGCTCCCTCCAGAGCCGTTCGCACAACAACCGTTCCCGAGCCACGTCAACGGACGGGGTCGTCACCCAAACCAACGTCGCAGCCTCGGGCTGCCCGACCAGCCCGTTTGCCTCGGCGGCGGCTCGGCGGCGCTTCTCAGCCTCGGACACGGACAACCTGGTGCAGCGCGCCAATAGCCGCGGCAGGGGGAGCAGCGGGCGCATGGGGGACGGCGGGGACGCGGGGGGAAGCGGCAGGAGCGGGGGCGGTGGAAGCAGGCGGGGGTCGCGAGAGCTGTCATTGGCGGAAGAGGATTTGCGCGCGCTAGAGGAAGGGATGGAGGAGGGGGGCGGGGATTTATCGGACGTGGTTCGCGGGGGGGCGACGGGCGAAGCGAGTAGTGCGGATACCAGAGGGAATTCGTCTCAGGAGAGTATAGATATAGGCTTAGGCACGTTTCGCGTAGACGGAAACGCGTCTGGGCGCTATAGCGGGGACGAGTTCGGGTCTCATAACGGGGAAACTAATGGACGCTTTAGCAGGGAAGCTTCTAGGAGGTATTCGGAATCCACTCCCCCGTTGCCATCCCCGCCAGGGGCGCGGCTTTCCCCATCAGCGGAAACAGGCGCGGTGGTATATAGGCCGCGGGGGAGGGGCGCAGGGGAGCGGGAGTCCACGCATGGGCGGGAAGCTGAGGACGCGGGCGCAGAGCCAAGCAGACGCGCGCAGGGCGGGGAGTATGAGGGGAGCGGGGAAGGCGCAGGGGAGGGGAGAGCGCGGGAGGGAAGCAGGGGCGCGGAACGGCGGCCAAGGGAGGGGCGCGCGCTGGCGAGGGGGCGCAGCGAGGGCGGGCGGATGGGGGAAAACTTCCGCCTTGGGGAGGGCGCGGCCATGGGGGAAGGCAGTAGGGAGGGCGCGGGTATGGGCGCGGGCATGGGCGCGGGCATGGGTGAGGGGGTGTGGGCGGGCGAGGGGGCGGAGAAGGACAGGGAGCGGAGCGGGTGGCAGCAGGAGCGGAGGCGGCGGCGGGCTGCGCGGATGCCCTCGTGGGACTGTGAAAGGCTTCCAGGGATCGCCCTCTCAGGAATTGCCCACTCCCGCCCCCCCCGGTCGTTCGAATCGTCTCCAATTTCTGCGGAATCCTACACTCCCTCCCTCACTCCGTCCCTCTCTCCCTCCCGCGTCCTCTCCCTCACTCCCTCCCGCGCCACCTCCCGCGCTCGCTCTCACAGCAGCAGCAACGCCACGGACCAGTCCCTGGGGCAGTCCCCCCTGTGGACGCCCAGGCGGGTGATAGAAGAGGCTAGCCGCATGCTGGGGGGGCAGCGGGGGGAGGGGATAGGCATGGGCATGGGTGCGGGCATGGGTGCGGGCATGGGTATGGGTATGGGTATGGGGTATAACGGGAGGCAGCAGTATGGGCATTATCAGAAGCAGCAGCAGCGGCGGCGGCACCAGAAGCACCAGTCCGAGTCTTGCATAGAGCTGCAGAAGGGGCCAGGGGGGTTCGGGTCAGACCTCTCCCCTAATAGGGATAACAGGGCGTACAGTCCTGGGATACCATATGCTCGAGAGAGCAGGTGGAGTCAAGAGGAACTCAATAGGGGGTATGTTGGGGATGGGATGGGGTATAGTCCGCCGGGTAGGGCCCTGAGCCCACCAGCAGCAGCACACCATTCCCAGAATCATCACCGTCAGCAGCAGCAGCAGCAGCAGCAGCAGCAGGCGTTTGAGGTGAGGCCGCGGGTTCGATCCCCAGTGGCGTCATTCCCAAGCAGGGTGAGCGAGGGGGATGAGGAAAAGAGCAGCAGCAGTGATAAAGCTCAGGGCGCTCACGCTGCTGCTGCTGCTGCTGCTGCTGGTACTGCTGCTGGTGCTGCTGCTGGTGCTGCTGCTGCTGGTGGCAACACAGCTCATGACGCCACCGCTGCAGCCGGGGATCGCACTCTCATTGGCGCTGCTACCTGTGGGGCAGAGGCTGCCTGCTCAAACCCCCCAAGCCCCACAAGCCGGTGCCCTAGCCCCCCAAGTCCCTCCAGCCCCACTATGACTCGCTCTCTGCCCACTCGCAGCTCTGCCAGCTCCACAGACGCCGAAGCCGTGCTCTGCCGAGCCATTGCCTCCATCCCCTCCCCCCCTGAGAGCCCTTCCGCTCTCACGCTCATCCCCCCCCTCATCCCCTCCTCCCACAAACTCAACAAGCCAGGGGAAACAGCTGCTGCTGCCGCTGCTGCTCCCGCTCTTTCCTCTCCCGTCACCCAGCCTCCAGCTGAGTCTGCTGTGCCTTCTGCTTCTGCCACAACTCTTGCTCCCACCCCAGCACCATCCCTAGATGCCCACACATCCCACGGATCCCGAAACCCCCTTGCTGCCCTGCCGCCCCTCCCCTTCCAACTCCACTCCTCCCCCCACCGTACCCGCCTCCCTGCACCCGGTCGGGCGCCTGCCTTTGCCACGGCTGCTGCTCTCATTGCTGCTGCCACCGGTATGCGCGTCTCGGCTCCTCCCCCTGAGGGGCGTGGGGGCATCCCAGCAGCGACGTCTGTGGAAACCCTCAGCAGCACGCTCAGCTCTGACACTGCCGCTGCCATTCCCCGCATGGAGCACGTCGCCGCTCTGCACCGCATTCAACTCCTGCAGCAGCAGCAGCATGTAGGGAAGCAGGGGGGGAAAGGGGCAGTTGTAGAGTCGTCAGCCAGTGCTGGCGATAGCGGCACTGCCGGTGGGGGCAGCAGCGCCAACGCGTCTATCTCCAGCAACGGAGGAGGCAGCAGCGGCACCCGCCCCACGTCCCCCCTCCGGTTCGGGGGGAGGCTGGCTGCAAAGCTGGCTGGGTCCTTCTCGTCCCTTGTACCCAAATCCCCCAAGTCCCGCAGCCCTAGGAAGGCTGGGAGGAGGTTCGCTGCAACCTCAGGAACGGGAGGCTCAGATTCCTCTGCAGCATCTGCAGCTGTGTCGGCAGCAGGGGCGGCAGCAGGAGCAGCAGCAGGAGCAGCAGCAGGGCAAGGGAAGGGATCCTCCCTGGTAGCAGCAGTGGCACTGGGGGGCCACAAGAAGAACCCCTCTCTGACTTTATCCACAGACGAAGGGCCCACAGCCGGCTCTGGGAACTTCAGCAGCGAGGGGTCTATGAGCTGGAGCTCCCTCCTCTCCCCCACCTCCCTTATAGGCCGCTCCTTCTCCCTCCTCTCGCCCCGGAAAAGCCCCAAAACGCGCCGGGGAACCTGCCTTGTACCTGCCACGTCGACCCGGGAAAGGGAGGAGGTGGAGGGGGCGGTGACGGGGGATAGTGAGCTGAGTGCGATGGCTTCGCTGGAGGCCAGTTTGAGCCATGGCTCGGATATTCTGTGGGGCGTGAGGGACGCTGCTGGGGCTGCAGCAGATGCAGGGGCAAGGGCAGGGGCAGGAGCAGGAGCAGGAACGAGGGCAGCAGGGGAGGCAGGTGATGTTAAAGAGTGTTCTAGTAACGGGTCTGAGGATGTGCTAGTGGGGCATGTGCGCAGCAGACTGCAGGCAGTGCAGACAGTGCAGGCGTGCAGGAGTGGGGAAGACGCAAGCAACGAGGAGGAGAGCGAGAGGAAATGGACGCGGCAAGCGACGGGTGATCGCAGGTTGCAGGGGCAGAGGCCCGTGCAGGGGTCAGTGCAGGGGCAGGGGAAGCCTGGGGCAGGTGGGAGCATGAACCAGTCAGGCGGGGCTTGGACCCCCTCCCACTCAGACAGAAAACTCACCACCTCTCTCCACTGCCCCACACAGTCTTCGTTGGGTAACCCCAGAGCTGGTTACCACGGTGCAACAGTGAAGCGTAACAGCTCTAGCAGGTCGCTAAAGGAAGAGGCGGCCTGGCAGCGGCCGTTGCCTGTGCTGGATTTGTCAGAGGAGGGGGAGGAAGCAGCAGATGGGCTGTCGAAGCAATCAGTGGCAGGCACGGGGATGCATGAAAAGGCATCCGTGAGTGGTAGAGGAGGACAGAGGGGGGAGCAATCTGTGGATGCGTATGGTGATGGTGATTCTGGGGATGATGGGGACGATGCGGAGCAAGAGAGCGATGGGGATTCGGCTTCGTCATATAGCCCTACAGTACCAGCGACACTGACGTCGCCGATTGGGAGCTTGTTCCAAAGCAGGAGGAAGCGTGATCGACTGCCAAGGCGGTCTCAACGGAGGAAATCTGTCACTCCTCGTTAATAGCTGCTGAGGTGTGGAACTTCACAATATACAGCTGCGCCTGTGTTTCTACACCGTAGCCTCCAATAAATACCGCAAATGTTATTTCATTCATTCATTATTTGGTTCTTAGCTACTCAACAACACCATATTATGTGGTTCTCTGAGTATTATTAGTCACAAGGGTGCATTCACGGCTCGTGTCACCCCAAATTCCGGTCTTTCCGTGCCACTATTTGGCTGACGAGAGAACGAGGCAGGGAGGAAGGTAGCTGATATGTGGCTTTATAGCTTATATCTTTCTCAAGAAGTGTGGAAGGGAAGTGGATCCACCCTCTCCATGGAAGTAATTTGCTCTAAACTGCAAATCCAAGTGTTCCTCATGTTACGTTCGCAGCCCATTCCGACACGCGTTGATTCAAACCATACAGTACCACCAATAATTGGAGTGCCACACACTCATCTCATCACAGTCCGACGCGATGACGATCAATTCCTCCAATTCGATGGCTCACGCGTTTCGGCAAACCCAGTTTCCGCTTTACCCCCAAGCTCTCCCCCGCCCAGGCGCCCTGCTCCCCCCACCACCTTTTCCCTATTATTGCTGGCCCCCCTTCGCATCATGTCACTCCTCGCGCATTGATTGGTCAGATTACTGCGGAGTCGCGGACAAATCGCGCAATGCTCAATCCCACGGTGGCCAGCATTCAGCGCGCTCTTCCCCTCGTCCCTCTTCCGCCCATCGTCCCGCCCGCCATTTCCCTTGCCCAACCCGGCATTCCATGGACCAGCCCATCGCAGTCCAACCAGCTTCAGTTCAGTTCAGACCCCACGAATTCCCGAGGAACAGAAGGGCCACTTCTGTCTGGAATCTTGTGTTTATGTTTAGCTTAGCTAACAGGGCCATCAACCTAGGGATGATCGCGAAGCCCTACTCTCGTCTTATTGGTGGTACAGATTGGTCAGTCACTCTAGGAGGGCAGTGGAGACCTGAGCTGGTAGAGTCGTGGGACTGAGAAACGTGTTTGCTTTGAGCACAAGGTTATGGTAGATGTGGTTTAGAGTGAGCAGGATTTCAGTTAACCACTCTGGAGCTAGCGACGTTAGATGTGGCTTGGATGTACAATCGCCTGTAATCTTCCCTTAGTGAAGCCAATCTGAAAAAAATCCTTCTCCGAAGGAGTGCATTGCGGGCTTTTTATAACGCTTGTACCGCGCTGAAACCAAGAGCCGGAGTGGGAAGCGCAGTATAAGGAAGCGGTTAAGCTTTCACCGCGTGCATTGCGGGCTTTTAAAAAATCAGGAGCGCGCGAAAGAGAAGGAAACCTCTTCGAGGGGCGTCTATCGTTGTAGAAGCTCCGTAATTAAGACGCCATTCGCGACGTGCTGTTCAGACTTTCGTGCCAGCGCAGGAAGCGACATCTCCTTCACACAAAGTAGATAAAGTCTACTAGATTGAGAATCCTCTCGCGAATTTACTTCCGCCTCTCGTCCGACGCACGAAAACCGCGTTTGATAAACGCGGGTGGTCTCCCCTGCAGTGAATACTCCTTCGTGAGCGACATGGCGAACGGCGCATTTGGGAGGAAGTTGAAGCGGATCGTGTCGCCGAAGCCTACTCCGAGTCCCAAGCCTACTCCGAGTCCCAAGCCTACTCCGAGTCCCAAGCCTACTCCGAGTCCCAAGCCTACTCCGAGTCCCAAGCCTACTCCGAGTCCCAAGCCTACTCCGAGTCCCAAGCCTACTCCGAGTCCCAAGCCTTCTCCCAAGCCTACTCCGAGTCCCAAGCCTTCTCCGAGTCCCAAGCCTTCTCCGAGTCCCAAGCCTTCTCCGAGTCCCAAGCCATCTCCGAGTCCCAAGCCTTCTCCAAGTCCCAAGCCTTCTCCGAGTCCCAAGCCTACTCCGAGTCCCAAGCCTACTCCGAGTCCCAAGCCTTCTCCGAGTCCCAAGCCTTCGCCGAGTCCCAAACCTACTCCCGGCCCTAATCCAGCGCCAGTCCCTTTGCCGATCCCTCCCACTGACACCGAGCCCGGACCGACCCACGGTCCCATCTCCGGCTATCTCGTTGCGGGGGTGGTGGGGCTGCTGGCGGCTGTCTTCCTCGCGCTGCTGATTGTCATCATTCTCAAGTGGCGCAACTTTCGCAAGCCGCGGCGGGTGGTCCCTGTGGGAAAAGACGCAGCAGACGAGGCGGGGGGGAAGGTAGCTGATGCGAAGGGAGGGCAGGGCGACACGGGGGACTCGGGCGAAGTCAATATCCGCTGGGCTCCTGCGCTGGGATTCTCGTTGATGGATCGCACCATAACGCGTATACCCTCTGGGAAAGAGCTTTCGGAGGTTACTCAGTCTGGGCGCATGGTGTTTGCTGAGGCAAATGAATCGGAGGGTGACGTAGAAGGGGTGCTCCAACAGCGGCGTCCAAAGGGGGGGTAGAAAGTCGTAAGGATGGGTGAGTTTAAGGAGCAAGGAATTTGAGTGACATTTGTGAGCAAGGTACAGTAGTGTATGTAGCAGGACCAAGGGAGGAGAGGAGGAAGAGTGCAAGGAACAAGGTCATATGTGGCTAGCTTTCTCTTATTGGCTCTTGTTGGCTTGAATTATTGTTTGGCTATTTTGTTTTGAGTGAGAGGGTCAAATTTGGATGGGTAATCCTCTTCATTGTGTTTCACATGGCATAAAGAAGACGCTGTCTAAACCGATTCAAAAGCTTCGTGGTACATTGAAGTTGCAATGAGCGAGTATACATAGCGAACTCTAAATGTGTATGTGATGTCTACTCGACAAACTTAATAGCGCTAAAACGGGTCGTGCTATCCAGGGTGACCCAAACAAGGCTGTCAGACAGGGTAGTGCTTCCATTTCAACTGGCTTGCACTCTACTGGACTACCTCATCTGCTCCAGCCGCCCGTATTCCGTCCCTGTTGTCCTCTTGGGCTATCTGTACTAGTCTCTAGGAAAACTGCTGGAAGCAATCAGTTTCTCACGTTCACGTGACATTCTCGTCCAAGAAATGAGATAGGATGCCGATTCTGAATCCCAACTAGCTGTGGCTTTCACTGCTTATCCGCGGGAATCTGACCGACATGCATCGACGCTCAACTGCACGAGTGTAACGTGGCTACTTAGCACGCATCGGGGTTCTTGTCGAGCCAGCATACGCCTGTTAATAGACAACCTCACTGCTCAGCCGTGCGGAAATTTGCGACAGCGTAATAGCGTTCACCGCGGGTAACATCTGGTAACGTTCGCACGTTCAGGACCCGCTGTGGCGAGTTTTCCGACATCTCGTAACCGTTCTCTACGATGTCGCTGACGGAGGTGGTGGTTTCGTCGGAAGTGTGGCTGACGTGTGCCACGCACGCGCTCTCCACCGAAGCGGAGGAAATCATGGGCCTGCTGCTCGGCGATATCCACGTATGTAGGCTCAAATGCTCCGATCAGGGTATCTAGACTTTCCGGATGGCGATATCCACGTATGTAGGCTCCAAGGCTTCAGTGATGGTGTATAGACGTCCCTGATGGCGATATCATGTATCTAGACATCCCTGATGACGACATTCATGTGGCTCCGATGATGAAAGCCATGGGTCTGCTGCTCGGCGATATCCACGTCTGTAGGCTCAAGGCTCCAGTCATGGTATCTAGGCATCCCTGATGGCAATATCCATGTATACATGCTCCAAGGCTCGAATGGTGGTGTCTAGATCTCCCTAGTGGCCATTTCCTTGTGGGGATTTCTGATGGTGGAGAATTCCATGTAGGCTCTTATGATCGTGACGTGCTTGCGTGTACTCTCCTCTAACTGTAATATCCATGTACCTCCCTTGCGTTGTGCTGGCAAAATTGGTTCCTCACACTCTTTTTTCACACCTGACCGATTCTCTCCCGCTCGCCGTTTCTCGTCCGCCCTCCCTTACAATCACAGCTAAGTTGAGTGCGTCCTTTCCCCCTACTCCTGTGACTCTCCCCTCTCCTCCTCTCACGTCACAGTACGACTACAGTGGCCGAACTCCGGTGGTCACTGCGAATATTTGGTCTGCTGCCCCTCAGGTCCGGGCAGACAGGAGAAAAGATCGAGTGGAGACTACCCCGGAGCAGTTGGCAGCTGCTAGTGCCGAGGCTGAGAGGTAAGCTCGGCAATAACCTCTTCTTTAGGCACGGGATTCACCTGCAAGCTCGTTGGGGTTTTCACTAGGCTAGGAACGAGGCTATTATGCGTCATGAATCCTCACTGGCACGTGCTTCCTTATCCCACCTCCTGTCGTCCTGCATGTTGACCATGTACATGCATGTCATATCATACCACATGCTAATTCTGCGCCCATGTGCATGTGCATGCATTCCATGCCACATGCTAGTTCAGTGTCCATGTCCCTGCATGCCATGACATATCGTGCCATATGCGGATTGTGTATGCATGCCATGCCATGCCATTTTGGTCACATGCTTATTGTGTCTGCATGCCATGCCATGCTGCCTGTCTTGCAGGATGTCAGCAGCCACTGGCATGAGGACACGTGTCATTGGGTGGTACCACTCGCACCCCCACATCACTGTTCACCCATCCCATGTTGGTATGTCGATTCGCCCATCCCATGTTGGTGAGTCAACTCATTCATTACATAGTGGCTTGCATCGTGGTACGTTTAATCCTTCGCCACTGATGAAGGAATACTAAAGCGAGAGCGCTGGTAAAGTGTGGAGCGATTCCGACAGAGTAACGCTATTCGAATAGCGTGCTAGGCGCTGGTGGTATTTGGGCAGAGTTTGCCTTCAAGTACTTGGTCGAAATTCGAGTAGCGTAGAAGTTCACTAGAAATATATATCATCAAAGTACAAATAAGCACGCAAATATATAGGCAAGTGCAAACCCAACCAAAGTTGCGTGGCGCTGCGGGTGTAACCAACCACCCCGAATTTGCCGAAGGGTTGGGCGAACGCGCCTCGCCCAATTCTCCAATCCAACTCAGCAAGGTTGGGTTTGCCGTGTACGCAACTCCAACCAGCAAGGCAAACGCTGCCTTGCTCCTCACGAAAAACCATCGCGATAGCCACGACTACTTATGACTCATCAGAGTCACTGGTCGTCGTGAGCATCTCCGAACTAGTCCACACAACTAGTCCAGACTAGTGCAGGGGAGTGTTGGAAGCCCTACTGCAGCTGCGGGCAGCCAGGTGTTGACCGACTTATGTCGGTGCACCGATTGCCTAGCAGCTGCGGGTTGGCGTGACCAAGGTGCACGGACTAACCGTTGCGTCCGAAGACTATGTCTAGTTGTGTGGACTAGTCCGGAGATGCTCACGACGACCAGTGACTCTGACGAGTCATAAGTAGTCGTGGCTATCGCGATGGCTTTTCGTGAGGAGCAAGGCAGCGTTTGCCTTGCTGGTTGGAGTTGCGTACATGGCAAACCCAACCTTGCTGAGTTGGGTTGGAGGCGCGTTCGCCCAACCCTTCGGCAAATTCGGGGTGGTTGGTTACACCCGCAGCGCCACGCAACTTTGGTTGGGTTTGCACTTGCCTGTATATTTGCGTGCTTATTTGTACTTTGATGATATATATTTCTAGTGAACTTCTACTCTACTCGAATTTCGACAAAGTACTTGATTGCAAACTCTGCCCAAATACCACCAACGCCTAGCACGCTATTCGAATAGCGTTACTTTGTCGGAATCGCTCCACACTTTACCAGCGCTCTCGCTTTAGTATTCCTTCAACTGATGCAGGCATGTCCCCATGCTGTCAAGTGCATGGTGCCGCTTTATTTGCACCTCATCTCACCTGCCATTAGCTGTACCATTTTGTTCCCCTATCTTCCTCCCCCCTTCTCCCCACATCAGACGTGAGCACACAGGGCATGTACCAGATGCTCCACGAGAAATTCGAGGGACTATGTGTCGTCCCATGTGCCCTCCTGACCTCTCTTCTCCCCCCACCCCCCCTCCTCCCCACATCAGACGTGCGCACGCAGGGTATGTACCAGATGCTGGACGAGGGATTCGTCGGGCTCATATTCTCCGCGTTCAACCGCTCCTCCACCCATGCCCAGGTGAATGACGCATCCTCCACCCATGCCCAGGTGAACGACGCATCCTCCACCCATGCCCAGGTGAACGACGCATCCTCCACCCATGCCCAGGTGAACGACGCATCCTCCACCCATGCCCAGGTGAACGAAGCATCCTCCACCCATGCCCAGGTGAACGACGCATCCCCCACCCATGCCCAGGTGAACGACTCATCCTCCACCCATGCCCAGGTATTTCGCCATTCCCGAATCTTCTGCAGGTAGCCTTTCTCCTTCCAGCCGCGTCTCTCTTTGCAGGGCAAGACCGCCAAGGGCTAACACAAGATTTTACATGTTTATCTCCGCTCCGTCCGTCTTTCCTTCGGTCCTTTTGCTCCAGTGCTTCCTCTGTGTGACCTCCCTCTCATTTCGCCACTCCATTTCAGTCCTCAGTCGACTCCTAACCATCCCCTGGCTCGGTGTTCTCCCCACAAAGGCGGGTCAGCTGCAGGCGGTGGCGTTTCAGTCCATCTCAGCACGAGACAAGGAGCAGCGGGAGAGGAGAGCAGAGCTAGCAGAAGGCGCACAGAGAGAGCACAGCATCGGTCCAGTTCCTCGCACAGTCTCACTCATCCCTTGCAACCTCCTCTTCCTCCCAACAGGCGGGTCAGCTGCAGGCGGTGGCGTTTCAGTCCATCTCAGCACGGGACAAGGAGCAGCGAGAGCAGCGGTCACGGCACACGCCATTGCGAGGGCATTGGGCCCAGCTGGGCACCAAGGTGGGGTTGAATGACGGTTCAGAGCAACATTGGGCGTGGTGTGGATGGGAGAGCATGGCAGAGAGGAGAGGGGCAGAGGGACGAGAACTTTATCCTTATACGGTTGACTGTAGCAATTCTATGGGTAGGAACCGGAGAAGCGGCCTCGGCAAGCACTGCCATGAGGGCAGTGGGCGCAGCTAGGCACAATGGTGGGAAGGGGAGCAAGGGGGCGTGGTTTAGGGTTTAGACACGAGGGCATTGCAGGGAGCAGATGCCGTGGCACACGCCGGCACGAGGGCTGTGGGTCAGCTGGGCACCAAGGTAGGACGGGAAGCAAGGGGGGTGGGGTGACGCGAAAGTGGGAACTAAGGTCGTTCTGTGGAAGCTGCCTCTTTGCCTTGCCCTCTCATTGCCCCTCTCTATCGTGCATCATTGCCCCAAACCTTTTAGTGCTTCTCTCAGCCATCGTTTAATGTTTGCAGCGAGAGCACTCCTCGCTTTTGAGTTGACTCATGGAAGGAGAGCACCCCTCACATTCCACATGGAAGGAGAGCACCCCTCACATTCCACATGGAAGGAGAGCACCCCTCACATTCCACATGGAAGGAGAGCACCCCTCACATTCCACATGGAAGGAGAGCACCCCTCACATTCCACATGGAAGGAGAGCACCCCTCACATTCCACATGGAAGGAGAGCACCCCTCACATTCCACATGGAAGGAGAGCACCCCTCACATTCCACATGGAAGGAGAGCACCCCTCACATTCCACATGGAAGGAGAGCACCCCTCACATTCCACATGGAAGGAGAGCACCCCTCACATTCCACATGGAAGGAGAGCACCCCTCACATTCCACATGGAAGGAGAGCACCCCTCACATTCCACATGGAAGGAGAGCACCCCTCACATTCCACATGGAAGGAGAGCACCCCTCACATTCCACATGGAAGGAGAGCACCCCTCACATTCCACATGGAAGGAGAGCACCCCTCACATTCCACATGGAAGGAGAGCACCCTCACATTCCACATGGAAGGAGAGCACCCCTCACACTCCACATGGAAGGAGAGCACCCCTCACATTCCACATGGAAGGAGAGCACCCCTCACATTCCACATGGAAGGAGAGCACCCCTCACACTCCACATGGAAGGAGAGCACCCCTCACACTCCACATGGAAGGAGAGCACCCCTCACATTCCACATGGAAGGAGAGCACCCCTCACATTCCACATGGAAGGAGAGCACCCCTCACATTCCACATGGAAGGAGAGCACCCCTCACATTCCACATGGAAGGAGAGCACCCCTCACATTCCACATGGAAGGAGAGCACCCCTCACATTCCACATGGAAGGAGAGCACCCCTCACATTCCACATGGAAGGAGAGCACCCCTCACATTCCACATGGAAGGAGAGCACCCCTCACATTCCACATGGAAGGAGAGCACCCCTCACATTCCACATGGAAGGAGAGCACCCCTCACATTCCACATGGAAGGAGAGCACCCCTCACATTCCACATGGAAGGAGAGCACCCCTCACATTCCACATGGAAGGAGAGCACCCCTCACATTCCACATGGAAGGAGAGCACCCCTCACATTCCACATGGAAGGAGAGCACCCCTCACACTCCACATGGAAGGAGAGCACCCCTCACATTCCACATGGAAGGAGAGCACCCCTCACATTCCACATGGAAGGAGAGCACCCCTCACATTCCACATGGAAGGAGAGCACCCCTCACACTCCACATGGAAGGAGAGCACCCCTCACATTCCACATGGAAGGAGAGCACCCCTCACATTCCACATGGAAGGAGAGCACCCCTCACATTCCACATGGAAGGAGAGCACCCCTCACACTCCACATGGAAGGAGAGCACCCCTCACATTCCACATGGAAGGAGAGCACCCCTCACATTCCACATGGAAGGAGAGCACCCCTCACATTCCACATGGAAGGAGAGCACCCCTCACACTCCACATGGAAGGAGAGCACCCCTCACATTCCACATGGAAGGACAGCACCCCTCACACTCCACATGGAAGGAGAGCACCCCTCACATTCCACATGGAAGGAGAGCACCCCTCACACTCCACATGGAAGGAGAGCACCCCTCACATTCCACATGGAAGGAGAGCACCCCTCACATTCCACATGGAAGGAGAGCACCCCTCACATTCCACATGGAAGGAGAGCACCCCTCACACTCCACATGGAAGGAGAGCACCCCTCACATTCCACATGGAAGGAGAGCACCCCTCACATTCCACATGGAAGGAGAGCACCCCTCACATTCCACATGGAAGGAGAGCACCCCTCACATTCCACATGGAAGGAGAGCACCCCTCACATTCCACATGGAAGGAGAGCACCCCTCACATTCCACATGGAAGGAGAGCACCCCTCACATTCCACATGGAAGGAGAGCACCCCTCACATTCCACATGGAAGGAGAGCACCCCTCACATTCCACATGGAAGGAGAGCACCCCTCACATTCCACATGGAAGGAGAGCACCCCTCACATTCCACATGGAAGGAGAGCACCCCTCACATTCCACATGGAAGGAGAGCACCCCTCACATTCCACATGGAAGGAGAGCACCCCTCACATTCCACATGGAAGGAGAGCACCCCTCACATTCCACATGGAAGGAGAGCACCCCTCACATTCCACATGGAAGGAGAGCACCCCTCACATTCCACATGGAAGGAGAGCACCCCTCACACTCCACATGGAAGGAGAGCACCCCTCACATTCCACATGGAAGGAGAGCACCCCTCACATTCCACATGGAAGGAGAGCACCCCTCACATTCCACATGGAAGGAGAGCACCCCTCACACTCCACATGGAAGGAGAGCACCCCTCACATTCCACATGGAAGGAGAGCACCCCTCACACTCGACATGGAAGGAGAGCACCCCTCACATTCCACATGGAAGGAGAGCACCCCTCACATTCCACATGGAAGGAGAGCACCCCTCACATTCCACATGGAAGGAGAGCACCCCTCACATTCCACATGGAAGGAGAGCACCCCTCACATTCCACATGGAAGGAGAGCACCCCTCACATTCCACATGGAAGGAGAGCACCCCTCACATTTCTCCGTGTTGGACCACAAGCCTCAGGAGCTGGCAATCGTCTCAACCCCCTTCTGAGCGTCACTGTCCCACCACTGTCCCACCACTGTCCCACCACTGTCCCACCACTGTCCCACCACTGTCCCACCACTGTCCCACCACTGTCCCACCACTGTCCCACCACTGTCCCACCACTGTCCCACCACTGTCCCACCACTGTCCCACCACTGTCCCACCACTGTCCCACCACTGTCCCACCACTGTCCCACCACTGTCCCACCACTGTCCCACCACTGTCCCACCACTGTCCCTTCCCACTGTCCCCTTCGTCCCTTCCCACTGTGGGGCGCCAGTGCGTCACTGTCGCATGCTCCCCTGTGTCTCCCAACCATATTGCCCCCCCATGGCAGCGAGAGCACTCCTCGCACCCCTCAGTGTCGGATCTCGAGCCCCGACCTGGCAGTCAATCTTCCCCCCCCCCCCCCCCCTCCTCTTCGTTGCATCTCATCACTGACCGTCATGGTCACATTCCCCTCTGTGTCTCCCAACCACCTTGCCCCCCCATGGCAGTGAGAGCACTCCTCGCACCCCTCAATGTCGGGTCTCGAGCCCCAGGAGCTGACAGTCGATCTCAACACCCCCCCCCCCCCTCTTCATTGCATCTCATCACTCACCATCACTGTCGCGTTCCGCTCTGTGTCTCCCACCTGCCTTCATCCCATGCCAGCGAGAGCACTCCTCGCACCCCTCTGTCTCAGACCTCGAGCCCCAGGAGCTGGCAGTCGTGCTGGCTGCAGTCGATGAAGCGTGAGTGGTGACGGTGGTGCAGTGGCATGAATTTGCAGGGTATTTTTGAGAATTTTCGAAAATTTGCAAGGTATTTTTTAGAATCCTAAAAAATACCCTGCAAATTCGAAGCGTGAGTGGTGATGGTGGTGCAGTGGCATGCTGGTGCTAGTGTCGATACGACAGGTGCTGGTGCTGGTGCTGGTGCTGGTGCTGGTGCTGGTGCCGGTGCCGGTGCCGGTGCCGGTGCCGGTGCCGGTGCCGGTGCTGGTGATGACAGGTGAGTTATGGCACGAGTGAGGCCCCACACTGCAGGGAATGGTGCTACACAGAAGTCGTTTTCAACTTCCCTGGAGCTGGCAGTTGTGCTGGCTGCTGCGGGTGTTGTGATGACACAACAACAGCTGATGTTGGCATGACAACAGCAGATGATGGCACGACAAGAGCAGATGATGGCACGACAAGAGCAGATGATGACACGACAAGAGCAGATGATGACACGACAAGAGCTGGTGGTGGGGAGGCTGGTGATGAGAGGTGAGTTTTGACGCGAGTGCAGGCAGGCCCCAGGCTGCAGGGGATGATGCTACACCGCACATCCCTCCAGGGGCTGCCAGTGATGCTGACTGCTGTGGGTGACAGGTGAGGCCAGGTGACGTTGGCGTGGGCGGTGGTGCTTTCACACAACACTTTTCACGCACGAGCGAGCAGCACTGTGATGCATATGACTGGTGGTAGCTGCCATTCTTCCTTTACGGCGGATGCTTCTTGATGAGAGATGCACACAGGTGTGGTTGCTGCCATCCCCGCCTCCCCCCCCTCCGCTCCCCACACTCTCTCCCCCACAACCCCCCCCTTTGTCCATAGCCCATCATTGCCACACTGCACTGGATGGGGGTGTGAGGAGCCCCACTTCTCCTCATGCCCCTTGGGGTTTCTCATACCCCGTTCCCTCCATCCGTCCAGATGGTGCCTTTTGGTTTGAGGCGCTTTGGCAGATTTCCGCCCTTCTCTCTCCCTTATGTTTGTTTGTTCGTCTCAGCCCATCTTCTGAATTTACAGCATGGGAGGTCCCCATCAGGGTGGTCCCCTCGGCCTGCGCCTTCCCCTCGCTGCCTCGCTCTCACGCTGTGGCGCCCCTCACCGGCCTTCAACGGATGCTGCTGATGGAAGAGAAGGAGGCGTATATGAAAGCCATCGAGCATGCGGGCAGGTAAGCTGCGCTGCTGTGCCGCGCCCTTCTTGCCTGCTGTGGCTCCCCTGACTGGGCTGCAGAGGATGCTGATGATGGAGGAGAAGGAGGCGTGTATGAAAGCCATTGAGCATGCAGGCAGGTGTGTGCCGTTAAACGTGGATGCAGGTAAGTGCGCCCTTCTCTGTCCCGCTCACACTGTGGCGCCCCTCACTGGCCGTCCATATATGCTGATGGTGGAAGAGAATGAGGCGTATGTGAATGCTGTGGCTGGCAGCTCTAACAGCCCCAGATTTGACGTTACCGCTCTCTCCGTTCACCACCCACTGCCAGCCCAACCCATTGGAGCCGACTCACCGCCACACCACCCACCAGGCTTCCCTGTCGATTCCTCTCTTTCCTCTCCTCCTCTCCCCTCTCCCCCTCTTTGCACCAGGCACGGCCAGCCCAACCCCGTGGAGTTGATTCACCACCACACCATGCCACCTACTACCAGGCGTCTCTTTTTTTTTCCCTCTCATCCTCCTCCCTCCATCTCGTCTCTTTCCGCTCCAACTCCTTCTCCTCCCCCACCCCACCAGGCACGGCCAGCCCAACCCCTTGGAGCTGATTCACCACCACGCTACCTACCAGGATTCCCTCTCCTCCTCTTTGCCCCTCCTCCCTTCATTTCCTCTCGTTCTCCTCCCCCTCTCCCCTCTCTCTCTCCCTGCACCAGGCACGGCCAGCCCAACCCCTTGGAGCTGATGCACCACCACACCACCTACCAGGCTGCTCTGTGCCGCCTCATGGAAACCTGGTGAGTCTCTGGGTGCATATTTAAGAGGCTAATAATGAGTTCAAAAGCAATCCACCACGCCACCTACAAGGCTGCTCTGTGCTGCTTGATGGAAACCTGGTGAGTCGCTGGGTGGATATCAAAGAGGCTTATACATAATACAGGGTGCAAATGCGATACAGATATGCAATTCGGGTACAAATGCAATGCACCATGCTACCTGCCAGGCTGCTCAGTTCCGCTTGATAGAAACCTGGTGACTCTTTGGGTGCATATTGAAGAGGCTTATAAAGGGTTCAAATGCAAGTCTCCACGCCACCTACGAGGCTGGCTGCTCTGTGCCGCTTAAGGGAAACCTGGTGACATGCCAGGCTTACAAAGGGTACAAATACATTACACCACGCCACCTACCGTCCTGCTCCGTGTTGCCTAACAGCGACCTGTAAGCTTCTGGGGAGAGGGTTATCAAGTGTTCCGAGGTTAAAGAGTACCCGGATCAGCACATGTGTAGATATTGCATGCCTATCCGAATCCCCGCCAAACTTCTTGCTAACCTATCCTCTAAGTCCTTTCTCTCCTTCCCCTTACCATTGTGCTGGTGTGCTGACCTACTGCTGCTAGCCTCGTCCCTGCCATTTCTGCTCTAGAGGACATCACTCGAAGCAACAAGGCGGCAGTGAGTGCTCTCTCTATTTCTCCCTCTGTTCCCTGCTTCCCCAACCTACCCCCCCCCCCCTTTGCTCTTGAGTCGACTCAAAAGTCGCTTCCCCAGCCTACTCCCCCCCCCCTTGCTGACTTTTGAGTCGACTCAAAAGTCTTCCCCAGCCTACCCCCCCCCCCCTTTGCTCTACCCCTCTCCCACCGCCTTAGTGGCGGACCCGTCCGTTGTTTCTCCTCTACAATCCTTCTTGGTACTTCGAGCATGTTCTGAGGGGTATTTCCAGGATCCGTTTTCGTTCTCAACGTCCGAATCCCCCCCGCCCCGTCACTCATCCACCCCCCCCTACGTCTACCCCCCTTCCCGCTGCTCTCTGCCTCCCTGCTCTGCCGCGCCCCATGCCTTGGCGCCGCCTGCAGCTGAAGCTGAAACAGGAGGACCAGTCACGGGTCTCACAGGCGAACAGTCACGTGAGGAGTCAGGCTCCTGTGCACAGGTCATCTGCTGCGCCAGCAGTAACACAAGGTCCTGTTGTAACACGGGCTCTCGCTGTAACACGCACGCCTGCTGCAGCTCAGGAGGCAGCTGCAGCGCACAAGCATGCCAGTGTGCTGTCTCCAGTGCACGTGGAAATGCAGAAGCTGCTGCACGCAGAGCAGCAGAGGCAGGCAGAGCAGCAGAGGCAGGAGAGGCAGGCAGAGGAGCAGAGGCAGCAGATGGGCCAGCGTAGGAGGGAGGGAGACATGAGAAAACACGGGAAGGGGCCAACGGACTACATGGCTCAGCTGAGCGCCCTGCAAGTCTCCTCCCATCCAGCTTCCGTGTCCTCCCCACATCCTCCCATGTCCTCCCCACAGCCTCCCGTGTCACCTGGGGCAACACCTGGTGCACGACCTGGTGCGACACCTGCTGCGACACATGGTACGGGAGCAGCAGTGCTGCCTGTGGTTTCAAGCCCGGCTGCTGACTCCGCACCAAGCACACGCGCACAGGCAGAAGCAGGGCCCATTAAGCGGCATTCTAGGGAAGCGCATGGCACGGGGCAATCGCATGCAGCACGGCGTAGCATGGGGGCTTCAGGGGGAGAAGGGCAGGAGCTGCAAGGAGGGTCAACACAGCAGCAACAACTGAAGAAAAGACAGCAGCAGCGGCAGCAGCAGCTCTCACCAGCGCAAGCAGTGCAGCAGCCTGTGCTGCGTGGACAGCCAGCGGCACTAGGTAGTTTGGATGTGCTGGCACGAGCTAGCTTGGGAGCTCAGTTGATCCCTGCTGTGCCAGCAAGCACAGGCACAGGCTCATCTGCAGGCATGCAGCAAGCACCACATGGCCTCACATCAACAGGAGCTCAAACAGCTGCAGCAGCAGGAAGAGCAGTGTTAGGAGCAGCAGAACCAGCAGCAGCAGCAGTAGCAACAGCAACAGCAGCAGCACAGCGGGTAGCGGCAGGGCAGGGCATGCCAGTGCCAGGTCAGCAGTTGCTGCCTGCATACCCGCCCTCCTCTGGCTACCAGTACTCACCCATGAACCAGCAATCTCACAGGATGTATCAGCAGCAGCTTCCAGGAAACCAGCTGCATCCACAGACCCACCATCTCAATCGGCATTCTGAAGGTTCACAGCAGCGCTGACCTAGATGATTGCCGGTACATTTGATAAATACCGGTACGGGAAAAGCTAGAGGTTATGCTTTTTTTTCAGATTCGGATTTTAAGTCACCCACCCAAAGTAGATGAGATGAGCATTCTTGTTATAGCTATGATATGAGAGCCCTTTTAAAATAACTACATTACTGTAAGGAATTGCCATTCCTTACTGAGTCGTCCGTTACCGCGTACACCCGAACTCCTCGACTCGTCACGTTCGGCCTCTTTTATCGGCCCAACCTTTTCCCGAGTCGTGTCCGACAATGTCGCCACATTGCCGAACCTACCCTCGTCCCGAGGTTATCACCCTAGTACGCATACTCCTATATAACCTCGTGCCTTCATTGCAATAGCGACCTTGTATTCTCCCGTTGTAGTTCATTGACATCTTCTAAATCATAACAGCTGGTATCAGAGCCCGAGCTTTCCATGAACCTTCCGTTTTCCCCGTTAAATTAGTTAAGGGTGGTCAGAGGGGATTAACACGGCTGCACAGCAGTTGTCTTCGATCGTAAATATTTTTACGACAACAACTACAGCGTGTGCGCTAGTTTCTGCCCCGTCCTGACCGCCATGGCCCCGGTAGACTCGACGGTTGAGGTGTTAAATTATATATGTTATTATATCAGTGTATGCTTGGTAGATGTTACTGAACATTACTGTAGAGGGTACAACACCCCTCCTTGTATCCCTCTCTCTTCCTTTCTAGTTCTCTTTTCTCTCGACATTCTTGCCTACCTCCTAGATCTATATCTCATGCCATTTTCATGGCTCCACCTATTCCTACCTAGCCTATCTTCACGACATGGTTTCAGAGCAGGACGCCCTTCCCGGGCCTGCTCTCCACGCTTCCGCCGCGTACTCGTCCTTACCTTGCCGCCGTCGCGGCCTTCCTACTGCCTACCGCCGAGGCACCTTTTCCAAGATGCCGCGGCGGCCTTTGTGTGTTGTCGTCCCAGTGTCGACGAGCAGCCGCGGCTCCGACACCACGCTGTGGTGGCGTCGTCGTGGTGCCGCGGCCGTGACGTCGGCATGTTGCCGTCGCGCACCACCTGCGTCACTGCTGGATTTGCAGCCCGTCCGCTCGCCAGTAAGCGCCGCGCCAGCAATGGCGCCGCGTTGAAGATCCGAAGCCCCGCCCCTTCCCCCTTTCCTCTGTCCCCTCCTCTTCGCCACAGCCGCCGTCTGACTCTTGCTGGTCGTTCCCCTGGTGCAGAGTTTGGACACGCCGCCGGAAGGGCGGGGTCCGCTGCCGTCACCGCCGTTGTAAACCGAAGCCGTCACCGTCGCCGCTTTCGTCGCCGCAGGCCTGTTGCCGCCGCACGCCCGTCGTCGCCGTCGCTGTCGCCACTGCCGGGACTGCCACCATCGCCATCTTCAAGGCCTTGGGGTTGGCCCTGTTGGAGTCGTCGTGGCTGATGGGAATGGGGGTGCTAGGTTAGGGGGTGTGGGGGTGTGTGGGTCCTTCTACTACCAAGCCTAGGGTGTGTGTTAAATTATATAAGTTATTATATAAGTGTAGGCTTGGTAGATGTTACTGAACATTACTGTAGAGGGTACAACACCCCTCCTTGTGTCCCTCTCTCTTCCTTTCTAGTTCTCTTTTCTCTCGACATTCTCGCCTACCTCCTAGATCTAGATCTCATGCCATTTTCATGGCTCCACATATTCCTACCTAGCCTATCTTCACGACATGAGGAACAGACGACCTCGACTGCTGCGAACTCTGCCCGGGAAACTGTGGACCTGCAAGCATTAATGGAGCAGTTGAATAATTTGACAAGCGTCGTCAACAACCTCCGTGACGAGAACCAACGACTTCGCCAGGCGCAGGAACGGCGTTTAGAGGAGCCGGGCGACGATGCACGAAGCGAGGCGGGTGAGCAGCAACCGTCGCCAGTTGAGCTGGCACGACTAGCGGCAACAGCCCCACGCTCGACAAGTGGCGGCGTGAGATATCGGCAACCCGCTCCCTTGGACCCAGCTAATAAAGGCGTGACGGTGCGGCAATGGATATTCGCCATGAATATCTATTTTAACGCGGCGGGCATCCGAGACGATCAGAAGCGGATTAGCCATGCGTTGACACTGCTGCAAGGGGCCGCCCTACAGTGGTGGAAGGTCATTGTCGACTCAGTGGCAACTCGCACAGAAGGACAGCATGAGTGGTCCGAAGAATTCGGCGACGAAGACGAGGCAAAATTGTTGTTTGGTGCAACTCACATTCGCACGTGGGCAACGTGGTGTGCAGAGCTTCGCAAGCGGTTTGAGCATGCTCCTGACTCAAACAAAGAGGGCGAGACTCTACACATATGGAATTAGCTGGGATCTGTGTCCAACTACACCGCGTCATTCTTGACGTTGGTGGATCGATGCGGCTACATGCACGAGTTGGAGAAGGTCGACAGGTACATGGGCAGGCTGAAGCCTGAGATACAGTACCAAATAAAACTGCAACGACCTGCGAAGAGGTTACAAGACTTTATCCAACTCGCCGAAGCTGCTGATTCGCTCACGAAGCCGAGGACGAACTTCTACGACGGAGGTCGCCCTCGAGAACAGTACCAGCGCGCCACGATAAAAGGGATGGACGCAGTAGATATTTACGCAGTTGCTCAGCAAAAAATGGGGCTATGCTACTACTGTGGCCGACCGGGTCACATCAAACGCAACTGCCAAGAGTTCTTAGCCATCTAGAATTCTATGGGGAAGAAGCCGGAGAAGCGATCGGGAAATGGGTCGCGTCAGTAAGTACCGGGCCCCTTACTGACGGGCAGGCTTCTTCGCCCGAGCCACACAGTCCCCGCCGGGTCGTGATCCCGATTGCTGCAATCAACCGGACCCAGACGAATAAGGGGGACGAAACTGCTGATCACCCAGTGTTGGTGGAGGGTAAAGTCAACGGGGTGTTGCTGAAAATATTCGTGGATGGAGGCGCGAGTCACTATCTCATACAGCTGGACAGGGCTAAAAAAATGGGTATCCCCTTACAAAAATGTCTACCCAAGATCGACGCGCGACTAGTAGATGGAACACCGCTGGCAATACGGGAGCGGGTGGAGCACGTTTGTTTCCATTACGGCGAGCATGTAAAATTTTGGATGGGACTGCTGGCGACTACACTCGACGGGTGCGACGTGCTGCTGGGACGGAATTGGCTGCAATAGTACAACCCGAGGATCGACTGGACGACAGGCAGCTGCAGCATAAAACTCGATGGGATCTACCGCGAGCTACCGAAATGGATGGGACTCCGCATGCGAAGTACTCAAGTCCACGCGATAACTTTCAAGCGCGTGATAAAAGCGGGAGCTGCAGCGTACGCCGTTGATCTTCGCGAGGTGACGTCGCCGACAACGGCGGAAGATATCGCGAAGCTATGCGAAGCAGTTCCTCCGGATTTAGACCTGATTCGAAAATACCCCGAGATTTTCCCGGACGACCTGCCCGCAGGGCTCCCGCCAAGCCGACCCGAAGACCACCGCATTGAGCTAGAACCAGGCGCCCAACCGACAGTACAGCGACAATTTCGGCTCAGCCAACCGGAACTCGAAGAATTGCAGCAGCAGCTGGATTACCTCCTGACGAAGGGTTTTATCCGACCCAGCACGTCCCCATACGCCGCCCCGATACTGTTCACACCGAAAAAGATGGAGGATTCCACTTGTGCATCGACTACCGCGCCCTCAACAGGATCACAATCAAGTCGCGTTACCCGATCCCACGAGCTGACGAACTACTCGACCAACTTCGCGGAGCCAAGTTCTTCTCGAAAATCGACTTGCGAGGGGGTTGCCATCAAATTCGCGTCGCCACCGAAGATTGTCACAAAACGGCATTTCGAACCCGCTATGGCAGCTACGAATGCTTGGTGATGCCTTTCGGCCTCACGAACGCGCCCTCGACTTTTCAGATGACCATGAACGACATTTTCAAGGAACTCTTGGATAAATGCGTAATTATCTACCTCGACGACATCCTAATCTACAGCCGCAACCGGGAGCAGCACTTACGAGATCTTGATGCAGTCTTCACGCTGCTGCACAAGAATCGCCTCATCACGAAAGGGTCTAAGTGCGATTTTCTTAAGCAGGAGTTGGAGTTTTTGGGCCACGTCGTTTCCAACTAAGGAGTGAAAATCGACCCCAAGAAAATCAAGACCATACAAGAATGGAAGCCGCCGACCAACATCAAAGAACTGCAGAGTTTTCTGGGTTTCGTCAACTACGTTCGCCGCTTTATCCCTAATGTGGCTGGGTTATCCGCCCCGCTAACCGACCGACTGAAGGATCACGATTATTTTTTGTGGGGAGAGAAGCAGCAAGCTGCATTCGACCAACTCAAAATCGCCCTCACGTTGCCGCCCATTCTTCGCATCTCCGATCCTGACCGTCCATACGAACTCGTCACCGACACCAACGACATCGCCATTGGTGTAGCTCTCTTACAGGATTTCGGCGACGGGTTACAGCCAATCGCCTACGAATCACGGAAGGTGCAGGGCACGGAAAAAAACTACATGGTACACGACAAGGAAATGCTGGCGATCGTCCACGCGTTCAAGACATGGCGGTGCTACCTGACAGGCGTTGACGTCACGGTGCGGACTGACCACAAATCCCTACAGTACCTGCGCGCCCAACCGAATCTCAACCCACGACAGATCCGATGGCTCGATTTCCTCGAGTCGAATTTCCATTACACCATCACCTACAAACGGGGTGCAACTAATATTGCCGATGCCCTGACTCGCCCTACTGCCCATACTGCCACCATACTAGTCGCCCAGACCAACCCATTACTTACCGGACTATTCACCCACGGCTACAAGATCGATCCCTTCTTCCGCTCTGCGATCCATCAACAGCATACTACCGCCACCAGACCTTATTTTAATAAGCGCGATACCTCTCGCATTTGGGTGCCCGGCTACGATTTACTTCGTACCCTTCTAATTCAGGAATCCCATGACAACCCTACCTCCGGGCATTTCGGCGTCGACAAAACCATGAAGATGCTGCAGCGGAATTATTACTGACCGAACATGGCCGATGACGTGCGCAAGTACGTGTCCTCCTGCACTGCCTGCCAGATTATGAAATCGTCGCATCAGCGAGCAGTCAGACCAAGTTCCAAGTTCGTCGGACTTGGCACGCCAACGCGGCGTACCGCAGCTGATGCCCCTGCAGGAACCGACGACCGAGCCCTTGAAAATTCTTGGCCATCGAGTCACAACGCAGCTGAACCATCAGATGGTTGATTTTCTCGTCCGCTGGCGAGATCACACGTCAGAAGATGACAGCTGGGTACCACTCGCTGACCTAGAATCACATCCGATTCTAACAGCATATTACCAACGTCGAAATGTTTCCGATGCCCGAGGACTCGTTTAGGAGGGGGGGGCAGTGTAAGGAATTGCCATTCCTAACTGAGTCGTCCGCTACCGCGTACACCCTAACTCCTCGACTCGTCACGTTCGGCCTCTTTTATTGGCCCAACCTTTTCCCGAGTCGCGTCGGACACTGTCGCCACATTGCCGAACCTACCCACGTCTCGAGGTTATTGCCCTAGTACGCATACTCCTATATAACCTCGTGCCTTCATTGCAATAGCGACCTTGTATTCTCACGTTATAGTTCATTGACATCTTCTAAATCATAACAATTACAGACTTGGTTTCATGTAACCCAGTTGCCGTTTCGGTTGTTCGCCTGTTCAACTGTTCAGGGCGGATGGGCTTCGCACGAACGCCGTCGCCCGCCAAACGCAGCAGGCATGCGACTGTCTCCAGAGCAGGCCCCAAGATATCAGGAAAAAAAAACGCTGGAAATATCTGGCGAAATAGGAATTCAACTTTCCACCTCGAGCTTTTCCCACCTCAAGCTTGCATGTGTCCCTGAAATCCTCGGGACCTGGAGACTAGGAATCCAGTTCTCACTCTCAGAGCGAATTCCTGCCAGCGTTCCGAACGCGACGATGGCTGACAATGACCCAAGAACGAGGCTGTTTCCTGGCTCTGACGGCTGCTCGTTGGCTCTAAGCGGAGGCGCGAGCAGCGGCAGCAGCAGCAGAAGCAGAGAAAGCGAGTACAGCAGCGCCGGGCCCAGAGGCAACGATTATAGCAGGTTCAGCAGCGGTAACAACAAGAGCAGCGCGAGCAACATAGGCGGGAGTCAGGGTGGTCGGAGATTAGAATTGTCGGCCAATTCGCCGATCATGGCGGAAGCGAAGTCTCAGGCCCAGGGGTACCGTACCGAAGGTGATCTCACTGATCGAAAAGCAAGTAGCTTACTGATCGCTTGCCGCACTCAGAAGCAGTTTCAGGCCCAAGTGTTGTTACCGCATGAAGTGTGCTTTTGAGTAAAAAGCAAAGTGGGTGATGGGTAGCAGCTGTTGATGAGTAGACATATCACTGAGAGCCTGCTGAGAGCCTGCTCACTTAAATGCAGTTTCAGGCTCAGGGGTACCGGACTGAAGGTTATCTCAGTCACCGGATTCCGGGTGTTTCAGTGGGTGTTGGTGTGATATAAGTTGCGTTTTGAGTCTAAGTTTCGTTTTGAGTCGACTCAAAACGAAACTTATATCACAAGGGTACCGGACTAAAAGTAATCTCACTCACCGGATTCCGTGTGTTTCAGTGGGTATTTTCGCACTGAAGCAGTAGATGCGTGGCCCGAGTGAGGTTCGTCTTTCTTCCTTTCTTTGTTTTCCAGTTTTTTATGTAGAAGCAATCAAGTCTCAGGTAACAGCAGCGAGACGATTTTAGAGTGGACTTAAAAACCACCTTCGGGTAGCAGCAGTGAGACGAACGCAAAGTTGCTGTCTCCCATGTTCGTGCAGCAATTGTCATAAACACGCGTATCTCATTTTCTTCCCTGCCTTTGGATTACATATCGTCTACTTGGATCCATCCAATTACGTCTGCTTTCGTTCCTTCAACATTCACTCCCCTTCATCATCTATCTACCCTTTCGAGGTGACTCTTGAGTCGACTCAGAAGCCACCTCCTTCCTTCAATATTCACTCCTGTTCATCACCCATCTGCCCTTTCGAGGTGACTCTTAGTCGACTCAGAAGCCTTCCTTCAATATTCACTCTCCTTCATCACCCATCTACCCTTTCCTTTCCCATCTCAACCATTCCGTATGTCATATTTCCCGCACCATCTCAAAATTAACTCAAATTTCTTCTTTCCCCGTCCCTCCCTCCCAGCGTCCCACCTGAGGGGCGTGCTGGCAGCGGTGTTGGGCGAGTTTCACGATGCCGACACCATGGACGCCGCTGTTGAAATGGCGCAGCTCTGCCAGCTTCTCGCTGTCTCCGACCCGCATTCGTGAGTGTTAGAGATGCCCTAGAGCATGACAGTTGACGCCACGGACGCTGCTGCTGAGACGGCGCAGCTCTGCCAGCTGCTACCCGTGAATTTCCCGCACTCGCGCGTTTGTGCACACATGCCCGTTTCCAACCCCCCCCCCACCCCAGTCTGCCAAGTGCCGCGCCACAACTGCCCATCCGGAGTGAAACTGCCACATCCCGTCCCCCCCCTCTTCCCCTCCCCTCCCTCCCTCTCCCAGCCTCCCCAGGGCCGTGACCCACCTGTCAACCCGCGCATGGCACTGCCAGAAGCTGCGGTTGCCACTCACGCACCCACCTCCTTTCCACCTCTTCCCGTGCTCGTCTCCCCCCCAGCTCTCCAACCTTCCCAGTGCTGCGACCCACCTATCAACGCGTGCGTGGCACTGCCAGCAGCTGCTGCGGCAACTCACCCACCTCCCTCGTGCACGGCTCTCCTCTCTGTGCCCTTCCCACTGCCAGTATCCCCAGCGCTGTGACCCACCTATCAACGCGCGCGTGGCACTGCCAGCAGCTGCTGCAGCAGATGAAACAGACCCAGGCGGGCTTGCAGGCGAGAGCGGAGGAGGTGGCTGCTCTTGCTGAGTGCGTTGAGAGGTAAGGGTGGGATATCAAGTGCTTCGGGGTAAGGCCCGGCCTGGACCACCAGGAGGGGTAGGCAGACCCATGCGTCCCTGCCTCGAGGGGTGTGGATGGAAGAAACGGACTGCTCTCGTCCCGCGTCCTCCCCGGGGTTACTTTCAGCCTTTTTTCCTTTCGCGCTTCTCCTGAACCCCTGCTTCGGGAATTTTCTCTGTGCCGCCTGCCTACTCCACCTGCCTCGTCCCACCCTCTTGTTACTCCCTCGCACTCTCGTGAATCTGTTTCCCTTCCCCTCGTGTCCTTGTTTTTGTTATTGTGCGTTCTGCTCTTTCCCCGCTCTCGTTGCTTGCCGGATTGTGTTGCCAGCTGGAAGGCGCAGCTGCCATCGGACGATGACATCAGCAGGGCCACGGATGACGTGGCAGACAGGACGAGGAGAATGGCGCAGGAGCAGCAGCAGCTGAGCCTGCAGCGGTCCGCGGCTCAGGTGGGGAAGGATGAAGGGGGGAAGGAGGAGGGGCGGGAAGAGAGGGGGGGATATTTATGGGGTATTTTGAGAATTCTCAAAAATACCCTGCAAATTAGAGGGGGGGATATTTATAGGGTGCATGCAGGTTACAGATGGAAAACAGGGAAGGGTGCATGGTGCAGGGGCAGGGGGGGGGAAGGGGGGGGGGGGAGTGGTTGATAAAATGGGGGAGGTTGGGGTCAGGAGGAAGAAGAATGGGGACATTGGGGGAAGAATGGGGGCATTGGGGGAAGAATGGGGGCATTGGGGGAAGAATGGGGGCATTGGGGGAAGAATGGGGGCATTGGGGGAAGGATGGGGGCATTGGGGGAAGAATGGGGACATTGGGGGAAGGGTGGGGGCATTGGGGGAAGGATGGGGGCAATGGGGGAAGAATGGGGGCATTGGGGGAAGGATGGGGGCATTGGGGGAAGAATGGGGGCATTAGGGGAAGAAGGATGGATTGCTGGCTCCTTCTCGCCTCTCCTCTGGAAGTCGTCACTCATGGTCTTGGGAAGAGCAGCAGTGCGAAGTCAGTCGCTTGAGCAACAAGAACGAGAGTAAAAAATCCTAGGCAGAGATTTGCTTCGTAAAAACTCTTCACTCAAATTTACCAGGTCACAAACATGTTTCGGCTTACGGGGATCAAACCCGCCGAGCCTTCATCAGTGCTACTGGACATAAGAGATCACGAGTCTAGGCATGAGCTAAGTAACAACCCACACCCTCCAAAACAATTCTCAAGATTATCAACTACCCAGATTGCCTATCAATGGGCATTCGCCAACACAGCAGTGGGTAAAAACCCGAGGTTGCAGGTGTCAGTCTTCAGGAGGGTCTTCTTCCGAACTGTCGATAAGCCTTGGTAACTTGGCTCGCACAAGTAACTTTTGAAGGTTACGTGCACACCTCCATGCAATGAAAATATTCCCCATATAAAATCCGCGTGAGTTGAGACGATTTTTGAGGCGCCTCAAAAGGACCCCCAGCCTGAGACGTGCTGTTAACGGAGTAAACAGCGTCTTCAAGACAAGGGGCCCGCGGTCAGGGGGAGTAGAAATTCGGTGTGCCTGGCGAGCTTCAGTCTGCTCCAATAGGAGCGGGCGTTGTCGGAAGAGAACACTCTGGAAGATGGGTGTCAGAAAATCAGCCGGATAACCCCGATCTCTTAGCCGCTGGAAGAAAGCACGCTTAGAAGCAAAGTAGGTTTGAGCAGATGACGAGCGCAAGAGGTAACGCTTCAGCTCCGCCCGTATGAAACCTATCTTGCAGTGTCGGGGGTGGAATGACGAAAAAGGCAGGTACAGGTACCGGTTCATCGGTTTCTGAAAAGTTTTCAGATCCAGGGTACCCTGCTCGGCAAAACGTTGACCCTTGAAGATGACCAGGTCGAGGAAGTCAGCCGAACTGTCTGAAATGTGCCACGTGAGCTTGATGTTTGGATCGAGCGTGTTGAAAGTGTTCAGGTACTCCTCCAATTCGCTCTTCGATCCGGGCCAAATTATTAACCCGTCGTCGATGTAGCGCACGTGGCACAATGGTGTAGTTCCAGACCACCGCCTTGAAAGAATCTCGTCCAGCCAGCTCATGAAGAGGACAGCAAAGCATACTGCAGCAGGAGTTCCCATAGTAGTCCCTTGTGTCTGCTGGTAGATTCGGCTGTTGAACTCCACGAAAGAATTCATCATGACCCATTCCAGCAAGGCCATGACTGGTTGAGAATTCACGATTCTCCCTCGTTGAAGAAAATTGCCCACCGCATCGAGCCCTCGCCTTAGTGGGATGCTGGGATAAAGCGAGGTGACGTCGTACGTAGCTAGAAGTATTCCTTTAGGAAAGGCGGTCTTTTCCAGCATCAGTAGCAATGAGAGGGAGTCGCGCAGGTAGGTTGGCTGTTGAAGCACCAGTGGTCGAAGTTCCGCGTCCAACCAACGGCTAACATTCGAAGTCACCCATGAATGCGAAGCTGCGATAGGCCGCCCCGCGAGTTTCTTCTTGTGTAGCTTCAGAAGGATGTAGAACGCCGCCGGTCGCCATCCTCCGCGCGGTTTGTCAAAGAAAAATTTCCAAAGGCTCTCGGGAAAAGCAGGTCCCCACACGCTTTGCAGATCACGCAGCTTCCGCACGACGTCGGCGGTAGGATCTCGATGAACTGGAGTGTAGGTCGTCGCGTCGTCAAGATGGTCGAGATAGAGGCGAACGTAGTGACTCCGGTCCATGACAGTGATCCCGACGTTTTTGTCGGCAGGTTTCACTACCACGTGTCGATCCGCAGCGATGGAGCGCAGCGCCCGTCGAACACCAGACGAGATGTTCTGATGTCGGATCGGGCGGGTTGCCTTCAACAGGAAGGACAAGTCGAATGACGAATCCTTGAAGACCTGCTCTGGAATTTGAATCCGATCAGGAAGCCAGTCGGGATTCCGCACTCGAAAGCGCGAGTCCCCCTTCCGACCGCCGTCATCCTTGAAGAAAAGTCGAAGCGAAATCTGGCGTAGAAGCTGGTCGAGCTCCACAGCACCAGACAGAGAAACGGCAGGCGTTGGAATGAACTTCAGTCCCAACCCCAGCCCCTTCTTCTCGTCCGAAGACAAGACCTTGGAGCTAAGGTTATGTACTCCCCGGTTCCGGATCCGTGTCGACAGCTGCCGCACTGTCAACCGTCCGAACCAGCGGAGCGCCAAGTCGTGACTGGTTAGTTCTTGCGCGGCCCTTTTCCGGGGCCGCCTCCGCCGTTTTTTGGTCCCTTGGCCTTCTCAGATGTCTGGCCACCCGCTTGCTGGTATTTGTCGGTGCCGTTCTTCTTTTTGTTCTTCTTACCCCCGCGTTTCTTCTTCGGCTTCGAGTCCGTTGCCGTATTAGCCGAGAGGCGCTCCTGAGGATCAGGAGTGAAGGGCTTCGACGTTCCGGCAGACGATTTCTTTTGCTTCGAGTCAACAGCGGGGGCCCGGGAGGAGTCCTGTGCTCCGAGAGAAAGATTTTTCAGCAGCTTCTTCATCAGATTGGATTCAATTTTTGGCGCGAGCTCCCTCCAAAACTTGTCTTCAATCCGCTTCGTGTGCTTGTCCATAATCTTCTCAATCCCGGTCTCGGTTTCCATGTCATGCACCTCCTCGGACGCAGCAGCCTTCTTCAATTCTTCAGCAGCTACCTTCCGCTGTCGATCCAGCTCCTTGATGACGATGTCATCTTTCGCAGCTGCGATGTCGGAATTCGCCTTCGCAATGCATCTCCCCTTGAGCAGTCGAAACTTCTCCTTGGCGGTATCAGAAACCACCAGATCGGGGTTAGTGCTCAGGCTTTGAATATAATCTTCCATCGTTGCAGCTAGAGCGGTGACGTGCGAATTCGCCGCTGTCTGCAGCTCTTCAACCTCCAGTGCCTTTGAGGCGATGAAGTCCGCCTGCAGCCGTTTCTGGTTCGCCTCGTGAATCGCGGCGACGGATGCAGCAGATTTCTCTTTAACGGACGGAAGCTTCGTTTGGAACTCGACAGCCTTGGTGCGGATGCTGTGAAGCAAAACACCTTGAGCATCGAGATCCTTCATCTTCTTGAGCTTCTCTTTCGCCTTCAGCAAAGTCTTGAAGTCGTCGCGAAAGCTTTTGACAGCCGACTCCGTCCATCCCTTGAAAGGTTGAGGGATTAGAGAGGTGTCGGCAGCTTCCGCCATGACGCTTAGACGACTTGTCGACGGGCCGGTGGGATGAGCTTCAGCTTGCTTGCTTAGTAGAGTGGGTTCGTAGGTCAATGCCAGTGGAGGGATTCTCTTCCCAGCTCCAGATCGCCTGGCGTGTCTTGCGGAGCGTGATGATCCTCCCTCCCCACGAACGCGCTTAACCGAGCTGCGACCACTTGTACCGGCTTCTTCCTCGTCGGATGGAATCCAATCGAAGTCCCACGGGTCGTCGTCACTCATGGTCTTGGGAAGAGCAGCAGTGCGAAGTCAGTCGCTTGAGCAACAAGAACGAGAGTAAAAAATCCTAGGCAGAGATTTGCTTCGTAAAAACTCTTCACTCAAATTTACCAGGTCGCAAACATGTTTCGGCTTACGGGGATCAAACCCGCCGAGCCTTCATCAGTGCTACTGGACATAAGAGATCACGAGTCTAGGCATGAGCTAAGTAACAACCCACACCCTCCAAAACAATTCTCAAGATTATCAACTACCCAGATTGCCTATCAATGGGCATTCGCCAACACAGCAGTGGGTAAAAACCCGAGGTTGCAGGTGTCAGTCTTCAGGAGGGTCTTCTTCCGAACTGTCGATAAGCCTTGGTAACTTGGCTCGCACAAGTAACTTTTGAAGGTTACGTGCACACCTCCATGCAATGAAAATATTCCCCATGTAAAATCCGCGTGAGTTGAGACGATTTTTTAGGCGCCTAAAAAATTGGCTCCTTCTCGCCTCTCCTCTGGAAGTGGTTCAGAAGCTGGTCAACAGTGAACACCCCCGCCACCCCCTTTCTCTTCCCCCCTCCCCTCCCCTTCCCTTCCCTCTCCTCCTCCCTCTTCCCTCTTCCTGCAGGGCTCTCTCGAGGCGGCAAGCTACAGTGCTGATGTGGACATGGCCGCCCTGCTACAGCTGGCAGAGGAGGTGCAGGGGGAGGAGGAAGCGGTGGGGCGGCTGCAGCAGGATCTCGCGATCTACTCTGACTTGCCCACGGTACTGTGTGGTGTGGTGCTGTGAAGTGCAGCTTGGTGTGGTGAGATGTGCTGCAATGCTGTGACGGGTAATGGGAGGTGCAGGGGGAGGAGGAGGAGGAGGCAGTGGGGCGGCTGCGGCAGCAATACCTGGCAGTCTACTCTGACTCGCCCATGGCGCAGTGGTGTGGTGTGGTGTGGTGTGGTGTGGTGTGGTGTGGTGTGGTCATGTAAGGGTATCAGCAAGCGAGCTCTGTATCCTTTGTACCCATCTCGCTTCCTCTCCCCCTCAGGATGTGCCCCTGGCTCGTAAACACCTGGAGAGGGAGAGGGAGAGGCTGCTAGCACTGTCGAAGAAGCATTGTCTATCAGACTTAAACGGCGTGCCACCATCCCTCTGTATCCCTCTGCACCCGTCTGGACCCCTCTGTACCTCACTTTATCCCTCTACCTCTCTCCCTCAAGATGTCACCCTGGCTCGCAAACACCTCGCGAGGGAGGGGGAGAGGCTGTGAGCCCTCTCAAAGAAGCACCGTCTATCACATTGTAGTGGGGTGCCACTGTCCCTCTGAACTTCTCTTTATCTCTCGGTACCCCTCTGAATCCCTCTGTATCCCTCTGAACACCTCTGTATCCCGCTGTCCCTCTCCCCATCAAGACATCACCTGGCAAGGGAGAAAGAGAAGCTGCAAACTCTATTTAAGATGAACAGTCCATCAGATTTTAATGGCGTTCCACTGTCCCTCTGCATCTCTCTGAATTCCTCTGAATTCCTCTGTATCCCTCTGTATCCCTCTGCCTCTTCCCCTCAGCACATCACCCTGGCTCACACACACCTGCTGAGGGAGAGGGAGAGGCTGCGACTCAGCCTCAGTCTATCAGATTGTCATGGCGTGCCACTGCCCCTCGGTATCCTACTACAACCCTTTGTATCTCTCTGTATCCCTCTCTACCTCTCTGCCTCTCCCCCTCAGGACATCACCCTGGCTCACAAACACCTGGCGAGGGAGAGGGAGAGGCTGCGAGCGCTGTCAAAGAAGCTGCAGGCGTGGAGCATGGGGGAGATAGACGAGGGTGAGGGGCAGGAGGGTTACGTGCCTCCGTCTCCTGGGGAGGAAGAGACGGTGGGGGCGTGGGGCATGGGGGACGTGGGGGGGAGTGGGGGGCCTGTGGTGCCGTCTCCTGGATTCTAGGGGCGCAGGAGTCAGTTCAGCTCAGAAGCCACCTGGCGAGGGAAAGGCAGAGGCTGCGAGTTCTGTTGAGGAAGCTGCAGATGTGGAGCTTGGGGCAGCTGGAGGAGGGTGCGGGGCGTTAGGGGCATGAGGGGCATGAGGGGCATGAGGAGCATGGGGGGCATGAGGAGCATGAGGAGCATGGGGGGCATGAGGGGCCTGAGGGGTGTGAGGGCCGTGAGGGGCATTTTGGAGATGGAAGCCACCTGGCAAGGGAGAGGTAGAGGCTGTCAGGCTGTCGAAGAAGCATGGGGGAGATAGAGAGCCTGGGGTACGGGCCCAGGTCCCCAGGGGAGTGGGCCACGGGCAAGCTGGAGGACCTGAGCTGCCGAGACCCGGGGTCTAGGAGTGCAAGAGTTGGGCACATGGTGAGGGGCCTAGCGAAGCTGCAGCGTGGAGCATGGGGGGGCCGTGGGAGGGGCAGGGGCTCGCACTGAGGAGAAGGGGGGCTCGTATGGCTGTCCTGTCCTGGGTTCTAGGTCTACCGGAGCCTGTTCAAAGGGTGCCTGGTCGGGTGTTGAGGGGGGGCGGGGAGAGGGGGAGAAGAACTGTGTGCATGGGCGAGCTTGAGGAAGCCGAGGGCACGTGCTGCTGCTGTTTTCAGGGACCAGAAAACCTAGAAACGCATGCCATTATCGGTAGGTTTCAACTCCAATGAATGAATCGAGGTGCAGGCAAGAGTACAGTGTACACTTCATCCATAGCATGTCAGTCAGGGTGTGTCCAGCGCGTGCGTCTTTTTGTCAAAACCCTACCCAACCATTTTAGATTTGTTATCGATCTTTCTGACCAGTGAGGCACCTCACCTCACCCTACCGCAATCAAACGTACCGGTATGTGCCAGACACACCCTCAGAGTTCGTTCTAGATATGCTGCTGTGTGTTTCCACATAACCCAACCGTTGACTGAAATAAGCAATTACTATGTCAGTGTATGTACAGTACAGGATGATATGAAGAACAAGCTTCTGCCAACCAACCCTTTCATGCCCCGGGAACCACAACACCCAGACCACCGAGGCGACTTCTGAGGCGCATTCATCCTTGTCAGCGTGTCACCGGAAATGAGGACAAGCACCTCCCGTCCCGTCATCCCTCCCCTTCTTGCTTCTGGAATCGCGACGCCCTGACCACCTTCCCCGCTCCCTTGCCATGAGAGTGCGGGGACACTGGCGCCCTCCCCACGTGCCCTGGGAAACCACCACCACCAGCCAAGGGCGGCAACGGGGAGGGTGAACTGCAGTGGGGGGAGTTGGGCCTGGCTGCTCCCAGGTGGGATATAGGGGAGGCGCAACCACTGGAGGGGTGTTCCAGGGGAGGCAGGAGCTGGCTTGGGGAGAGCAGGCTGGGGGGTTGCAGGCTTGAAGGGAGCAGGCCTGGGGCGGGTTGTTTGTGGGCAAGCTGTGTACTGGAGATGTGGGAGGGGGGTGGGAGGGAGGGTGAGTGGAGCGAGGAGAGAAGTGTGGGGGAGAAGCAGGAGGACGGGGAGGAGGTGGAAGAAGCAGGGGAGGAGGAGGAGGAGGATGATGGAGAAAAGGAAGCAACGAGGGGGGAGTCAAAGGAGGAGGAGGAGGAGAGGGAGCCTGCAGTGGGCATGGGGGACTCTGAGGAGGGGGAGGGAGAGAAGGGGGAGTGAGGAGAGTTGGTGCAGCTTTTGCTGCTGCTGCTGCTTGAAAGGATGGAGATGGAGAGGGCTTTAAAGTTGAGCAGACCAAACCTGCGACTGCTGCTGCTGCCGCTGCTGCTGCCACTGCTGGCCCTGCTACTGCTGCTGGTGCTTCCACAGCTGCTGCTGATGCTGCTAGTGCTGCTGCCACTGCTGGCAGTCACCTCCTGATCCTTCCAGGAAGCATCCAGTGGTGCAGAGAACGGCTGGGGTAACGAATTCCAGAGGGAATTAGCCCTTGCATGCACCCAGGGCAATGGGCTAGGGTTTCTTCCAGCTATACACTCAGGCTTTGGCTCAACGCAAGAGGAACTAGTCCCACTCAAGTTGCTGCCTGGTAAACTCTCTCTGCTGCGCTGCCGCTCTCTGCTGCTCATACTCTTTAAAAGCGCTCTGGTTCTGCTACTGCTGCCACCTTGCGCGCTTTCCTGTGCAAGAGTACCAGCACTCCTCATACCATCACCGAAGCTGGCCTTTAAAGGGGATGGGGAGCACACGCGAGCAGCAGCACCTCCTGTATTTCCAGCACTGACCGAAGGAGTCGTATTTGGTGACTGGGCAGCTGAAAACGATCCTTTTCGGGCAGAGGCTGTAGCCGAAACTGTAGCAGGAGAGAGGGAAGGCAGGGGCATGCACAAATCCATGGTGCGGCGACGGGCGTGGCCGGGCCGAGACGAGACTGTAACAGGTGAGGTTATATTTGAATTTACTGTAACGGATGTGACTGTAGTGGGTGATTCGGCGGATTTGGTGGTGGGCGTGGTGGTGAGAGAGAGGAGGGGAGCGGGCAAGGAGGGGGAGAAGGGGGAGCGAGGGAGGGAGAGGGAGAGGGGTGAGAAGAAGCAGCGGGGGGAGTCCCAAAACGCCTCCTTGGCTTCACCCTCACTGTCGGCACTGTCAGCGCTGGTGGTGCTGCTAGGGGAGTCTGGGGAACAGTTAGTGTCACCCTCGTTACAGTCACCGCTGCTAACCACCCTATCACCACCTAAATAATCAGGTTTCAGTTGGGGGATATTATCAGTCCCGGTAGTGCCTTTTCCGTTACACGCTTCCCCCTCTTCCGCCTCCTCCCCCCCCTGCCTCTCCGCCTGCTCCGCTTCCCCGCCCCACCAAACCACCTCCCCCCCCCTGTCCCCGTCTCCGTGTGGGAGTAGCACCGCCTCAGAGCCCTGCCAGCTGGCACTGCCACGTGGCACGCTCCCACAGGCTGGTCAACCGCGCTGACCCCTACACCTCCTCCTGCTGCGCCTCCCCCTGCCGCGTACTCCGCCAGGCGCGCCCTTGCGAGACTGAGGCTGCGCATGTGGTCACGGGGGAGGGCGGAGGCTGAGGCGGAGGCGGAGGCGGAAGGATAAGGGGAGGGATCGGCCCTCAGCCAGCCAGCGGGGGAAACAGCGGCGGTGGCGGAAAGGTTTCTGCGACGATGCGCCGCGCGCTGGTGCTGCTGCGACGGCTGTAGCTGCGATTGTTGTAGCTGCGAACGCTGAAGCTGGAGCTTGTTTTGACGTAGCGTGTGCTCTAGGGAGGCCCATTCAGCGCTCGTTGTAACGGGCCAACCAGCGATGGGTGCGTCACCCACAAGCGAGTCAGCCAATATCGGAGCATCGCCGAAGATTTCCGTGCGACTGCGCGCGTGACGAGGCGCGACGGGCCGGTCGCGCATGGGGGTGGTCGTGCGAAGGAATTGGCGGCGGTGCGCGACGGAGGAGCTTGTCGCCGGCGGTCGCTGAGCAGGTTGTACGTGAGAGGGAGCGGCCGAAGGATCGTTTGAGCGCGATATGGTGGGAGTCAGCGGTCTCCGAACTTGCTGGTTACCACTGCAGGGCAAGTCTTGCCTTGGCGAAGAAATCTGCGGGTTGGCGAACACGAGCGAGAGCGACCGAATATGAGAAGATCTGACAACTCCATCGGACGAAAACCGTTTGCTTTCGTTTGCAGCCGAAACCACCGCGGACAGGTTACCACTGTAACTGGAACCCACATCCGACCCGTTACACATAATGTCGTCGTTGCTAGAAAAAGTTCGCCAACTGCCCCCGGCGACGCTACTGCCCTCCACGCTACTGCTGATACTTGCACCGCTGGTACAGTAAATTTCGCGGCTTCGAATATCCTCGATATTGCAGCTGCTATTGTAGCTACTGCTGCTCCCCCTGCTGCTGCTTCTCCAATCGCCGACCGTTTCAGAAGCAGCAGCACCGAAGGAGAGACCATCGCGGTTCGAGAGATAATATGTCCCGCCCAATCGCAAGACCGTCTGAGGAGGGAGGATCGCGCCTTGAGGCTTCAACTCCTTATCTTGGGCTCTCGAGTCGCAGCCGTCGCACGCTCTCCCTTCGCACATTTCGCCAGCGACGATCACCGTGCAGCTGACGATGAGATCGGGGAAGTCGCAGGCGAACCGTCCTCCCCGGGGTTACTTTCAGCCTTTTTTCCTTTCGCGCTTCTCCTGAACCCCTGCTTCGGGAATTTTCTCTGTGCCGCCTGCCTACTCCACCTGCCTCGTCCCACCCTCTTGTTACTCCCTCGCACTCTCGTGAATCTGTTTCCCTTCCCCTCGTGTCCTTGTTTTTGTTATTGTGCGTTCTGCTCTTTCCCCGCTCTCGTTGCTTGCCGGATTGTGTTGCCAGCTGGAAGGCGCAGCTGCCATCGGACGATGACATCAGCAGGGCCACGGATGACGTGGCAGACAGGACGAGGAGAATGGCGCAGGAGCAGCAGCAGCTGAGCCTGCAGCGGTCCGCGGCTCAGGTGGGGAAGGATGAAGGGGGGAAGGAGGAGGGGCGGGAAGAGAGGGGGGGATATTTATGGGGTATTTTGAGAATTCTCAAAAATACCCTGCAAATTAGAGGGGGGGATATTTATAGGGTGCATGCAGGTTACAGATGGAAAACAGGGAAGGGTGCATGGTGCAGGGGCAGGGGGGGGGGAAGGGGGGGGGGGGAGTGGTTGATAAAATGGGGGAGGTTGGGGTCAGGAGGAAGAAGAATGGGGACATTGGGGGAAGAATGGGGGCATTGGGGGAAGAATGGGGGCATTGGGGGAAGAATGGGGGCATTGGGGGAAGAATGGGGGCATTGGGGGAAGGATGGGGGCATTGGGGGAAGAATGGGGACATTGGGGGAAGGGTGGGGGCATTGGGGGAAGGATGGGGGCAATGGGGGAAGAATGGGGGCATTGGGGGAAGGATGGGGGCATTGGGGGAAGAATGGGGGCATTAGGGGAAGAAGGATGGATTGCTGGCTCCTTCTCGCCTCTCCTCTGGAAGTCGTCACTCATGGTCTTGGGAAGAGCAGCAGTGCGAAGTCAGTCGCTTGAGCAACAAGAACGAGAGTAAAAAATCCTAGGCAGAGATTTGCTTCGTAAAAACTCTTCACTCAAATTTACCAGGTCACAAACATGTTTCGGCTTACGGGGATCAAACCCGCCGAGCCTTCATCAGTGCTACTGGACATAAGAGATCACGAGTCTAGGCATGAGCTAAGTAACAACCCACACCCTCCAAAACAATTCTCAAGATTATCAACTACCCAGATTGCCTATCAATGGGCATTCGCCAACACAGCAGTGGGTAAAAACCCGAGGTTGCAGGTGTCAGTCTTCAGGAGGGTCTTCTTCCGAACTGTCGATAAGCCTTGGTAACTTGGCTCGCACAAGTAACTTTTGAAGGTTACGTGCACACCTCCATGCAATGAAAATATTCCCCATATAAAATCCGCGTGAGTTGAGACGATTTTTGAGGCGCCTCAAAAGGACCCCCAGCCTGAGACGTGCTGTTAACGGAGTAAACAGCGTCTTCAAGACAAGGGGCCCGCGGTCAGGGGGAGTAGAAATTCGGTGTGCCTGGCGAGCTTCAGTCTGCTCCAATAGGAGCGGGCGTTGTCGGAAGAGAACACTCTGGAAGATGGGTGTCAGAAAATCAGCCGGATAACCCCGATCTCTTAGCCGCTGGAAGAAAGCACGCTTAGAAGCAAAGTAGGTTTGAGCAGATGACGAGCGCAAGAGGTAACGCTTCAGCTCCGCCCGTATGAAACCTATCTTGCAGTGTCGGGGGTGGAATGACGAAAAAGGCAGGTACAGGTACCGGTTCATCGGTTTCTGAAAAGTTTTCAGATCCAGGGTACCCTGCTCGGCAAAACGTTGACCCTTGAAGATGACCAGGTCGAGGAAGTCAGCCGAACTGTCTGAAATGTGCCACGTGAGCTTGATGTTTGGATCGAGCGTGTTGAAAGTGTTCAGGTACTCCTCCAATTCGCTCTTCGATCCGGGCCAAATTATTAACCCGTCGTCGATGTAGCGCACGTGGCACAATGGTGTAGTTCCAGACCACCGCCTTGAAAGAATCTCGTCCAGCCAGCTCATGAAGAGGACAGCAAAGCATACTGCAGCAGGAGTTCCCATAGTAGTCCCTTGTGTCTGCTGGTAGATTCGGCTGTTGAACTCCACGAAAGAATTCATCATGACCCATTCCAGCAAGGCCATGACTGGTTGAGAATTCACGATTCTCCCTCGTTGAAGAAAATTGCCCACCGCATCGAGCCCTCGCCTTAGTGGGATGCTGGGATAAAGCGAGGTGACGTCGTACGTAGCTAGAAGTATTCCTTTAGGAAAGGCGGTCTTTTCCAGCATCAGTAGCAATGAGAGGGAGTCGCGCAGGTAGGTTGGCTGTTGAAGCACCAGTGGTCGAAGTTCCGCGTCCAACCAACGGCTAACATTCAAAGTCACCCATGAATGCGAAGCTGCGATAGGCCGCCCCGCGAGTTTCTTCTTGTGTAGCTTCAGAAGGATGTAGAACGCCGCCGGTCGCCATCCTCCGCGCGGTTTGTCAAAGAAAAATTTCCAAAGGCTCTCGGGAAAAGCAGGTCCCCACACGCTTTGCAGATCACGCAGCTTCCGCACGACGTCGGCGGTAGGATCTCGATGAACTGGAGTGTAGGTCGTCGCGTCGTCAAGATGGTCGAGATAGAGGCGAACGTAGTGACTCCGGTCCATGACAGTGATCCCGACGTTTTTGTCGGCAGGTTTCACTACCACGTGTCGATCCGCAGCGATGGAGCGCAGCGCCCGTCGAACACCAGACGAGATGTTCTGATGTCGGATCGGGCGGGTTGCCTTCAACAGGAAGGACAAGTCGAATGACGAATCCTTGAAGACCTGCTCTGGAATTTGAATCCGATCAGGAAGCCAGTCGGGATTCCGCACTCGAAAGCGCGAGTCCCCCTTCCGACCGCCGTCATCCTTGAAGAAAAGTCGAAGCGAAATCTGGCGTAGAAGCTGGTCGAGCTCCACAGCACCAGACAGAGAAACGGCAGGCGTTGGAATGAACTTCAGTCCCAACCCCAGCCCCTTCTTCTCGTCCGAAGACAAGACCTTGGAGCTAAGGTTATGTACTCCCCGGTTCCGGATCCGTGTCGACAGCTGCCGCACTGTCAACCGTCCGAACCAGCGGAGCGCCAAGTCGTGACTGGTTAGTTCTTGCGCGGCCCTTTTCCGGGGCCGCCTCCGCCGTTTTTTGGTCCCTTGGCCTTCTCAGATGTCTGGCCACCCGCTTGCTGGTATTTGTCGGTGCCGTTCTTCTTTTTGTTCTTCTTACCCCCGCGTTTCTTCTTCGGCTTCGAGTCCGTTGCCGTATTAGCCGAGAGGCGCTCCTGAGGATCAGGAGTGAAGGGCTTCGACGTTCCGGCAGACGATTTCTTTTGCTTCGAGTCAACAGCGGGGGCCCGGGAGGAGTCCTGTGCTCCGAGAGAAAGATTTTTCAGCAGCTTCTTCATCAGATTGGATTCAATTTTTGGCGCGAGCTCCCTCCAAAACTTGTCTTCAATCCGCTTCGTGTGCTTGTCCATAATCTTCTCAATCCCGGTCTCGGTTTCCATGTCATGCACCTCCTCGGACGCAGCAGCCTTCTTCAATTCTTCAGCAGCTACCTTCCGCTGTCGATCCAGCTCCTTGATGACGATGTCATCTTTCGCAGCTGCGATGTCGGAATTCGCCTTCGCAATGCATCTCCCCTTGAGCAGTCGAAACTTCTCCTTGGCGGTATCAGAAACCACCAGATCGGGGTTAGTGCTCAGGCTTTGAATATAATCTTCCATCGTTGCAGCTAGAGCGGTGACGTGCGAATTCGCCGCTGTCTGCAGCTCTTCAACCTCCAGTGCCTTTGAGGCGATGAAGTCCGCCTGCAGCCGTTTCTGGTTCGCCTCGTGAATCGCGGCGACGGATGCAGCAGATTTCTCTTTAACGGACGGAAGCTTCGTTTGGAACTCGACAGCCTTGGTGCGGATGCTGTGAAGCAAAACACCTTGAGCATCGAGATCCTTCATCTTCTTGAGCTTCTCTTTCGCCTTCAGCAAAGTCTTGAAGTCGTCGCGAAAGCTTTTGACAGCCGACTCCGTCCATCCCTTGAAAGGTTGAGGGATTAGAGAGGTGTCGGCAGCTTCCGCCATGACGCTTAGACGACTTGTCGACGGGCCGGTGGGATGAGCTTCAGCTTGCTTGCTTAGTAGAGTGGGTTCGTAGGTCAATGCCAGTGGAGGGATTCTCTTCCCAGCTCCAGATCGCCTGGCGTGTCTTGCGGAGCGTGATGATCCTCCCTCCCCACGAACGCGCTTAACCGAGCTGCGACCACTTGTACCGGCTTCTTCCTCGTCGGATGGAATCCAATCGAAGTCCCACGGGTCGTCGTCACTCATGGTCTTGGGAAGAGCAGCAGTGCGAAGTCAGTCGCTTGAGCAACAAGAACGAGAGTAAAAAATCCTAGGCAGAGATTTGCTTCGTAAAAACTCTTCACTCAAATTTACCAGGTCGCAAACATGTTTCGGCTTACGGGGATCAAACCCGCCGAGCCTTCATCAGTGCTACTGGACATAAGAGATCACGAGTCTAGGCATGAGCTAAGTAACAACCCACACCCTCCAAAACAATTCTCAAGATTATCAACTACCCAGATTGCCTATCAATGGGCATTCGCCAACACAGCAGTGGGTAAAAACCCGAGGTTGCAGGTGTCAGTCTTCAGGAGGGTCTTCTTCCGAACTGTCGATAAGCCTTGGTAACTTGGCTCGCACAAGTAACTTTTGAAGGTTACGTGCACACCTCCATGCAATGAAAATATTCCCCATGTAAAATCCGCGTGAGTTGAGACGATTTTTTAGGCGCCTAAAAAATTGGCTCCTTCTCGCCTCTCCTCTGGAAGTGGTTCAGAAGCTGGTCAACAGTGAACACCCCCGCCACCCCCTTTCTCTTCCCCCCTCCCCTCCCCTTCCCTTCCCTCTCCTCCTCCCTCTTCCCTCTTCCTGCAGGGCTCTCTCGAGGCGGCAAGCTACAGTGCTGATGTGGACATGGCCGCCCTGCTACAGCTGGCAGAGGAGGTGCAGGGGGAGGAGGAAGCGGTGGGGCGGCTGCAGCAGGATCTCGCGATCTACTCTGACTTGCCCACGGTACTGTGTGGTGTGGTGCTGTGAAGTGCAGCTTGGTGTGGTGAGATGTGCTGCAATGCTGTGACGGGTAATGGGAGGTGCAGGGGGAGGAGGAGGAGGAGGCAGTGGGGCGGCTGCGGCAGCAATACCTGGCAGTCTACTCTGACTCGCCCATGGCGCAGTGGTGTGGTGTGGTGTGGTGTGGTGTGGTGTGGTGTGGTGTGGTCATGTAAGGGTATCAGCAAGCGAGCTCTGTATCCTTTGTACCCATCTCGCTTCCTCTCCCCCTCAGGATGTGCCCCTGGCTCGTAAACACCTGGAGAGGGAGAGGGAGAGGCTGCTAGCACTGTCGAAGAAGCATTGTCTATCAGACTTAAACGGCGTGCCACCATCCCTCTGTATCCCTCTGCACCCGTCTGGACCCCTCTGTACCTCACTTTATCCCTCTACCTCTCTCCCTCAAGATGTCACCCTGGCTCGCAAACACCTCGCGAGGGAGGGGGAGAGGCTGTGAGCCCTCTCAAAGAAGCACCGTCTATCACATTGTAGTGGGGTGCCACTGTCCCTCTGAACTTCTCTTTATCTCTCGGTACCCCTCTGAATCCCTCTGTATCCCTCTGAACACCTCTGTATCCCGCTGTCCCTCTCCCCATCAAGACATCACCTGGCAAGGGAGAAAGAGAAGCTGCAAACTCTATTTAAGATGAACAGTCCATCAGATTTTAATGGCGTTCCACTGTCCCTCTGCATCTCTCTGAATTCCTCTGAATTCCTCTGTATCCCTCTGTATCCCTCTGCCTCTTCCCCTCAGCACATCACCCTGGCTCACACACACCTGCTGAGGGAGAGGGAGAGGCTGCGACTCAGCCTCAGTCTATCAGATTGTCATGGCGTGCCACTGCCCCTCGGTATCCTACTACAACCCTTTGTATCTCTCTGTATCCCTCTCTACCTCTCTGCCTCTCCCCCTCAGGACATCACCCTGGCTCACAAACACCTGGCGAGGGAGAGGGAGAGGCTGCGAGCGCTGTCAAAGAAGCTGCAGGCGTGGAGCATGGGGGAGATAGACGAGGGTGAGGGGCAGGAGGGTTACGTGCCTCCGTCTCCTGGGGAGGAAGAGACGGTGGGGGCGTGGGGCATGGGGGACGTGGGGGGGAGTGGGGGGCCTGTGGTGCCGTCTCCTGGATTCTAGGGGCGCAGGAGTCAGTTCAGCTCAGAAGCCACCTGGCGAGGGAAAGGCAGAGGCTGCGAGTTCTGTTGAGGAAGCTGCAGATGTGGAGCTTGGGGCAGCTGGAGGAGGGTGCGGGGCGTTAGGGGCATGAGGGGCATGAGGGGCATGAGGAGCATGGGGGGCATGAGGAGCATGAGGAGCATGGGGGGCATGAGGGGCCTGAGGGGTGTGAGGGCCGTGAGGGGCATTTTGGAGATGGAAGCCACCTGGCAAGGGAGAGGTAGAGGCTGTCAGGCTGTCGAAGAAGCATGGGGGAGATAGAGAGCCTGGGGTACGGGCCCAGGTCCCCAGGGGAGTGGGCCACGGGCAAGCTGGAGGACCTGAGCTGCCGAGACCCGGGGTCTAGGAGTGCAAGAGTTGGGCACATGGTGAGGGGCCTAGCGAAGCTGCAGCGTGGAGCATGGGGGGGCCGTGGGAGGGGCAGGGGCTCGCACTGAGGAGAAGGGGGGCTCGTATGGCTGTCCTGTCCTGGGTTCTAGGTCTACCGGAGCCTGTTCAAAGGGTGCCTGGTCGGGTGTTGAGGGGGGGCGGGGAGAGGGGGAGAAGAACTGTGTGCATGGGCGAGCTTGAGGAAGCCGAGGGCACGTGCTGCTGCTGTTTTCAGGGACCAGAAAACCTAGAAACGCATGCCATTATCGGTAGGTTTCAACTCCAATGAATGAATCGAGGTGCAGGCAAGAGTACAGTGTACACTTCATCCATAGCATGTCAGTCAGGGTGTGTCCAGCGCGTGCGTCTTTTTGTCAAAACCCTACCCAACCATTTTAGATTTGTTATCGATCTTTCTGACCAGTGAGGCACCTCACCTCACCCTACCGCAATCAAACGTACCGGTATGTGCCAGACACACCCTCAGAGTTCGTTCTAGATATGCTGCTGTGTGTTTCCACATAACCCAACCGTTGACTGAAATAAGCAATTACTATGTCAGTGTATGTACAGTACAGGATGATATGAAGAACAAGCTTCTGCCAACCAACCCTTTCATGCCCCGGGAACCACAACACCCAGACCACCGAGGCGACTTCTGAGGCGCATTCATCCTTGTCAGCGTGTCACCGGAAATGAGGACAAGCACCTCCCGTCCCGTCATCCCTCCCCTTCTTGCTTCTGGAATCGCGACGCCCTGACCACCTTCCCCGCTCCCTTGCCATGAGAGTGCGGGGACACTGGCGCCCTCCCCACGTGCCCTGGGAAACCACCACCACCAGCCAAGGGCGGCAACGGGGAGGGTGAACTGCAGTGGGGGGAGTTGGGCCTGGCTGCTCCCAGGTGGGATATAGGGGAGGCGCAACCACTGGAGGGGTGTTCCAGGGGAGGCAGGAGCTGGCTTGGGGAGAGCAGGCTGGGGGGTTGCAGGCTTGAAGGGAGCAGGCCTGGGGCGGGTTGTTTGTGGGCAAGCTGTGTACTGGAGATGTGGGAGGGGGGTGGGAGGGAGGGTGAGTGGAGCGAGGAGAGAAGTGTGGGGGAGAAGCAGGAGGACGGGGAGGAGGTGGAAGAAGCAGGGGAGGAGGAGGAGGAGGATGATGGAGAAAAGGAAGCAACGAGGGGGGAGTCAAAGGAGGAGGAGGAGGAGAGGGAGCCTGCAGTGGGCATGGGGGACTCTGAGGAGGGGGAGGGAGAGAAGGGGGAGTGAGGAGAGTTGGTGCAGCTTTTGCTGCTGCTGCTGCTTGAAAGGATGGAGATGGAGAGGGCTTTAAAGTTGAGCAGACCAAACCTGCGACTGCTGCTGCTGCCGCTGCTGCTGCCACTGCTGGCCCTGCTACTGCTGCTGGTGCTTCCACAGCTGCTGCTGATGCTGCTAGTGCTGCTGCCACTGCTGGCAGTCACCTCCTGATCCTTCCAGGAAGCATCCAGTGGTGCAGAGAACGGCTGGGGTAACGAATTCCAGAGGGAATTAGCCCTTGCATGCACCCAGGGCAATGGGCTAGGGTTTCTTCCAGCTATACACTCAGGCTTTGGCTCAACGCAAGAGGAACTAGTCCCACTCAAGTTGCTGCCTGGTAAACTCTCTCTGCTGCGCTGCCGCTCTCTGCTGCTCATACTCTTTAAAAGCGCTCTGGTTCTGCTACTGCTGCCACCTTGCGCGCTTTCCTGTGCAAGAGTACCAGCACTCCTCATACCATCACCGAAGCTGGCCTTTAAAGGGGATGGGGAGCACACGCGAGCAGCAGCACCTCCTGTATTTCCAGCACTGACCGAAGGAGTCGTATTTGGTGACTGGGCAGCTGAAAACGATCCTTTTCGGGCAGAGGCTGTAGCCGAAACTGTAGCAGGAGAGAGGGAAGGCAGGGGCATGCACAAATCCATGGTGCGGCGACGGGCGTGGCCGGGCCGAGACGAGACTGTAACAGGTGAGGTTATATTTGAATTTACTGTAACGGATGTGACTGTAGTGGGTGATTCGGCGGATTTGGTGGTGGGCGTGGTGGTGAGAGAGAGGAGGGGAGCGGGCAAGGAGGGGGAGAAGGGGGAGCGAGGGAGGGAGAGGGAGAGGGGTGAGAAGAAGCAGCGGGGGGAGTCCCAAAACGCCTCCTTGGCTTCACCCTCACTGTCGGCACTGTCAGCGCTGGTGGTGCTGCTAGGGGAGTCTGGGGAACAGTTAGTGTCACCCTCGTTACAGTCACCGCTGCTAACCACCCTATCACCACCTAAATAATCAGGTTTCAGTTGGGGGATATTATCAGTCCCGGTAGTGCCTTTTCCGTTACACGCTTCCCCCTCTTCCGCCTCCTCCCCCCCCTGCCTCTCCGCCTGCTCCGCTTCCCCGCCCCACCAAACCACCCTCCCCCCCCCTGTCCCCGTCTCCGTGTGGGAGTAGCACCGCCTCAGAGCCCTGCCAGCTGGCACTGCCACGTGGCACGCTCCCACAGGCTGGTCAACCGCGCTGACCCCTACACCTCCTCCTGCTGCGCCTCCCCCTGCCGCGTACTCCGCCAGGCGCGCCCTTGCGAGACTGAGGCTGCGCATGTGGTCACGGGGGAGGGCGGAGGCTGAGGCGGAGGCGGAGGCGGAAGGATAAGGGGAGGGATCGGCCCTCAGCCAGCCAGCGGGGGAAACAGCGGCGGTGGCGGAAAGGTTTCTGCGACGATGCGCCGCGCGCTGGTGCTGCTGCGACGGCTGTAGCTGCGATTGTTGTAGCTGCGAACGCTGAAGCTGGAGCTTGTTTTGACGTAGCGTGTGCTCTAGGGAGGCCCATTCAGCGCTCGTTGTAACGGGCCAACCAGCGATGGGTGCGTCACCCACAAGCGAGTCAGCCAATATCGGAGCATCGCCGAAGATTTCCGTGCGACTGCGCGCGTGACGAGGCGCGACGGGCCGGTCGCGCATGGGGGTGGTCGTGCGAAGGAATTGGCGGCGGTGCGCGACGGAGGAGCTTGTCGCCGGCGGTCGCTGAGCAGGTTGTACGTGAGAGGGAGCGGCCGAAGGATCGTTTGAGCGCGATATGGTGGGAGTCAGCGGTCTCCGAACTTGCTGGTTACCACTGCAGGGCAAGTCTTGCCTTGGCGAAGAAATCTGCGGGTTGGCGAACACGAGCGAGAGCGACCGAATATGAGAAGATCTGACAACTCCATCGGACGAAAACCGTTTGCTTTCGTTTGCAGCCGAAACCACCGCGGACAGGTTACCACTGTAACTGGAACCCACATCCGACCCGTTACACATAATGTCGTCGTTGCTAGAAAAAGTTCGCCAACTGCCCCCGGCGACGCTACTGCCCTCCACGCTACTGCTGATACTTGCACCGCTGGTACAGTAAATTTCGCGGCTTCGAATATCCTCGATATTGCAGCTGCTATTGTAGCTACTGCTGCTCCCCCTGCTGCTGCTTCTCCAATCGCCGACCGTTTCAGAAGCAGCAGCACCGAAGGAGAGACCATCGCGGTTCGAGAGATAATATGTCCCGCCCAATCGCAAGACCGTCTGAGGAGGGAGGATCGCGCCTTGAGGCTTCAACTCCTTATCTTGGGCTCTCGAGTCGCAGCCGTCGCACGCTCTCCCTTCGCACATTTCGCCAGCGACGATCACCGTGCAGCTGACGATGAGATCGGGGAAGTCGCAGGCGAGCTGTGCGACGGTCAGCTCCTCAGTGTACAAGCGCGCCGAGCCGTCGGGAAGCACCAGGAGCACGGCGGAGGGGGAAGCGGGGCTCGAGTGGCGGAAGGGGAGCGACCAGGTCGCGGCGCAAGGCGAGGGGGAGCGCTGGCGGGAAGTGGGATCGGCGGAGGCAGAAGCTAGTGGGGAATGCTCCGCCTTGGCGGAGTCGATAGCAGCAGCCATACTCGAACGAGGTTTCAGGGGAGCAGATCGACAAATGCTAATCTCGCTGCATGTGTGCTCGCGCGCTTCTTATTTGGGATTGACGTGGCGCGTTACTGGCTGGCGCTGCACGACAGCAGGAGAGTGAGACTGAGCAGCAGTGGTGGAGGAGATCACAGGAAACGCCTACAGCAATATGTGCTCTTGGCATGATTGCTCGTGCCGCGTTCCTTCCGAAATAAAGAAACGGACTGAGGTGGTGAGAGGAGGTGAACGTTATGAAGAGGAAAGTGGTTGAATCTACGACATGGACGTTCGTCACTTGCGAATACACGGTAGGTGTACGGTAAAGCAATGCTGCTCCATATTGCTGCTCGCTCTCCCAGACAGCTCCTGCTCGATTGTGGGCTCTCTGGTTTGCAAGTTCCAACACTTCTCAACATCCGCGAATGGGTGTAAGCGAGGCGAGGCGAGAGTTAGGCGACGCGAGGAGAGGAGAAGCGATGCGAAATAACCACACACCGCCCATGAAAAACTGTAACCGCTGCCACCCGCTCCCAGCCAATTGGAGAAGAGCCACATGCGCTTCAAGGTGCAGAATTTGGGAATGAAGCTGAGCAATTAGATGCGAGCCGACCATGCAGGCTTTTCGTAAAAAGCATACTCGACGATTTTATATGCCCATGATTACAGCCCCAAACCAAAAACAATTCAAAACAATTTTGGTTGGGTCTTGGTGAAATGAAAGTTATTTTCGCACTGGCTGACTGCCCATGATTCCTATTGTGCTGTGTACAAAAGTACTCGTGGAAATTGGGGGTTAAGCCCGGCTCCATGCCCGGCTCCATGGGGTGGGCTAGAAGTACGGTCAGCGGATCGGTCGGTGCATTGTCGTAACCTGGGCTTCCCAGGCACAGTAGCGGGCGGGTGGAACGCATATGCTATGCACTCACTCACCCTATTCTCCGCATGCGTTACACAGTTCCACCCGAGATCGCAAATATCGCCGAAGAAACACCTCGCCAGCCCCCAGACCTTCGCCAGATGGTTGTCCATGGCGTGGCTTCCACAGCTCCCTCCCTCCATTCCAGCCAAACCAAGGTTTAGGTTTGACCCCATGTCACATCACACACCTTCCCGCTAACATTTCCACTTCACCATAGCTCGTTCTTTCGCTGGTTGCCGACTCTCGGATGGCGGAGTCGAGGGGAGAATCTAGCAACTGTGCGATCAAGCCGTCAGCGTCGATGGCGGCAAGCAGAGAGTTACTCACCGTCGGCGGCGATTCCTTGCCTTTCTGTACGTCATCCTTTCGCCGAGCAGTCGCCTCCACGTTTCCACCTTCCAGCCTATATCGAGCGCAATAGGGGGTTCACGTCGCCACCATGAATATATCCGTTCCCACGCGTGAGGAGTCTATTTTTTAGGCGCCTCAAAAACCACGCGTGAGGAGTCTATTTTTGAGGCGCCTCTAAAACCACGCGTGAGGAGTCTAGTTTTGAGGCGCCTCAAAAATAGACGTCGCCACCATTAATATATCCGTTTCCACTTTCCCTTCTGAACCCAAGCTTAATCTGCCTCCTCTCACCATCCCTTCGCGATTTTGTTATTGTCGACTGAAGATAACCATCCCTCCGGTTCTCCTCCCCGCACCTATAACCCTCCAGTGGAGCGTCTCTTGAAGCAACCATGCAGAACGAACCAGCGCGCGCAGAAGCCGCCGCAGAATCCGCCAGGCGCGGGGCAAGCACCGCCATCGATGTTCACGACGCCCGTTGCGGAGAGCTCAGGTTCGTTGCGGCGCGAACATGAAGGGTTTGCCAAGGTTCGGGGTTCAGGCTTATACATAATACAGGATGCAAATGTGATACGGATATGCAATTCGGGTACAAATGCAATGCACCACGCTACCTGCCAGGCTGCTCAGTTCCGCTTGATAGAAACCTGGTGACTCTTTGGGTGCATATTGAAGAGGCTTATAAAGGGTTCAAATGCAAGTCTCCACGCCACCTACGAGGCTGGCTGCTCTGTGCCGCTTAAGGGAAACCTGGTGACATGCCAGGCTTACAAAGGGTACAAATACATTACACCACGCCACCTACCGTCCTGCTCCGTGTTGCCTAACAGCGACCTGTAAGCTGCTGGGGAGAGGGTTATCAAGTGTTCCGAGGTTAAAGAGTACCCGGATCAGCACATGTGTAGATATTGCATGCCTATCCGAATCCCCGCCAAGCTTCTTGCTAAACTATCCTCTAAGTCCTTTCTCTCCTTCCCCTTTCCATTGTGCTGGTGTGCTGACCTACTGCTGCTAGCCTCGTCCCTGCCATTTCTGCTCTAGAGGACATCACTCGAAGCAACAAGGCGGCAGTGAGTGCTCTCTCTCTCTCTCTCTCTCTCTCTCTCTCTCTCTCTCTCTCTCTCTCTCTCTCTCTCTCTCTCTCTCTCTCTCAAGCGGTCCATGTATTGATTGAGAACGTTGTACATACTAAACAAGTGGGCAGACTTCAAACCATATCGAAGGTACGTGCATGCTGGGGATGGGCAGCCGGACTACTGGAGCTCCCCGAGGGGCTCCGCTATGGCAAAACAGTCCCCTAGGCCCATGATGGCGTCAGGGGTACCCACGGGGGGGTACTCTGCCGGGGCAGCCTCGTTGACTTTTCCGAGGTAGGCCAGGGCCTGTGCCCGCTGGAGCGTGATGGACCAGCGCTGGCGGAACTGATGCAGCAGCTTCGCCGCCTGGTAGGAGCTCGGGTCCGCGTTGAAAAGCCGCCTTGCCCCTGTGTCCGCCAGGAGCTTCAGAAAGCTGGGGACCTCGGCGCAGGGGCAGCCATAGGTCTCCACGGCCAAGGGGAAGAAGCCAACATAAGGTGCGCGGTTACGGTAGTGATCAATCTTCTTATCGGCCTGTTCCCGGGCCATATATCCCCGCCCCTTGCGTGCGTGCGGGTCCCGGGTGCTGATGGGGTCCGTGACAGTGACGTCACAGATCCAGACGGCACCGGAGTCTCTGTCGCGCATGGCGAGGTCGGCCTTATGGCCGTCCACCGGGCTGTAGGTAGTGGTCTCCTTGGTAACGATGAACCCGGCATCTCGCGCCATACGAATGCACTCATCGCGGAGTGCGTTGTGGGTGTCTGTCCGGCCATGTCCCGTGCCGCAGCGGAAGAGGTGGTTGGGCAGCCGGGGGTCAGGGATCTCAGTCTCGTCTGCGCAGTTGCAGTTGCGTGGGGCTGGGAAAGGGAGGCCGAGGCGGAAGGCGAGGGCGATGGCAAAGTGCGGTGGTCCGAGGCGGAGAGAGGGGAAGATGGGGATGGCATGGATCCAATCCCCTGCCCCGTAGCCTGCAAGGGAGAACAGACGCTGGGTGTGGCCGGAGCTGGGGTTCAGCTCCATCCCGCGGGACGCTGCCACCTGGTCCGCATATCGGGCGGCGTGGACTTCTAGGGAGAGCCGGTGCTGGAGGGGGTTTCCGGATGGTTCCTGGCGTTCGGAGCGCAGGAGCTCTAGTGCATGGGTAGGCATGGCTGCCTCACACCCCGCCAGCCAGGTATGGAGATGGTTGGGGCTGGAGAAGGGGGGGGTGAGGGGGCGCAGTGCGGACGCCAGGGGCCCATCGGCTGCTGCTGGCAGGGCGGCGAGGAGGTGCTGCGCCTGGGTGACGCTGGTCAGGAAGGCTGGGGGGCCTTCAATGGCAGGATCGGAGAGGCCCAGCCCGCCGAGCGAGGGCGGAAGTGAGGCTTGGGCCCAGGTGCGCGCGCGTTCGGCTTCCCCTCGAGGAAGTTGGAGGTTGCACGCGTGAAGGAGGGTGTGGAAAAGCCCCCGTCCCCACTCCGACCACTCGGGTTGTGGGAGGAAATCCAGGGGCGTGGTGCGGGTCAGGTAACTGACCCGCCGCGAGATGCAGCGCGTAAGGAGGAGCGACGCTATTTGGGGGTCCATGGAGGCGATGGTGGGGAGTGGTTCGGCCAGCGAGGCCAGCTGGGCGCGGAGGAAACCAGCTGAGCCCTCCGCTGTCCCGACAAAACTCCCCAGCACCCGTAGCCCCGCGCTGTGGAAGGGGACGTCCGGGGGAATGGCGTCGGGCGGGGGAGGGGTGGGGGACCACGCACCACATTTCGAGGGGTTGTGCGTGAGGCCGATGGCCCCGACTGCGCCCGTGAAGTGGTGGAAGGCCGCTGTGCAGGCGGCCGGATCACCCACGAACGTCACGTCGTCCGCGTAGGCTAGACAGAGGACGTCGGGGTGGGCGACAGCTGTTGATTGGAGCGCGGGGTGGATGGCTGCGGCGAAGAGCAGGGGGCCCATGGGGTCCCCTTGTCGAACGCCCCGTGCACTCTGGAGTGGGGGGCTGGCGAAACCGTCATCGAGGTAGAGGAGCGAGGGGGAGCCGTAGGAGAAACGGATAAACGGTAACAGCGAACGAAGGGGCGAGGCGTCGATAGCGGTGATGATTGCCCCTCGCTCAACGCTGTTAAACGCGTTAGTGAGGTCCACTTGGACGATCACAGAGCTGGGACGAGCGGAGGTGAAAGCCCGAGTGGCGTGGATGATTGCCTTCCCGCCGCTCCGAATTGCGACGCCGAACTGAAGTGGCAGAAAGTATTCTTGTGCGGGCTGAGTTGTTGAGATGAGGGCTGCTTTGGCGGTAAGGCGATGGAGGCATTCGCCGATGGCGATGGGGCGTGTTCCGCCATCGGGTTTGCGAAGGGCCAGCAGACGTGACGCGGTTAACAGCCCGCTGACCTCCTGGGGCAGGTTACCGGCGAGGAGCAGCTGCACAATTTCGTGTAGGAGCTTAGCGACGTGCGGATTGGTGAGCGAGGCGTCCCGCAGGTGTTCGAACGTCATCCCCGAAGGACCGGCGCCCACCCCATTTTCGCTACGCGAAAGTAGGCGAATGAAATGGGCGAAGTCGAGCGTCGGTGGGTTGACGTCGTCCAGAGAGGGCCACGTGAGGTCCTCGGTCAACGGCCTCGGGTGTTTGGACTTCAGCGAGTCAAGAACCTCTGGGGTTGACTCGCTGACTGGGGTTGACTGGAGTGCCAGCAGGGCTCGGCGAAGGCTGCCTCTTCGCACCAGCCCCTCAGCTCGGGAGATTTTCCCGAGGTCGTCACGAACGTGGCGAGGGGGTGCGGGCAATGCGACAGCAGCAGCTGCTGACTGGTAGAGGGCGTCCCACTGGCCCGCGAGGAACTGCCGTAGACGAATCTCCATCGCTGGCCAGTCCGGGCGTTTGGGCGATGACATGCGAAGAGTTAGGCGGGGGAGAAATAGTAACAACCGCCAGCCCCCGATTGAGGTTGGATTTTTCGCGAGAAAAAGGAGGGGCGTCAGCAGGGCTAACGCGAACAGCTGGCGAATAGTGGGGGGTAGTCGCCTTGAAAGAGGGGGCTGGCGACTGTCGCACAACACCGCAATATCCCAGCTGGCTAATTGGGCAAATCGTGAGGCATCGCGGGCCAGTTCCTCTGGGGATAATTGCCTGGCTGCCTGGGAGGGATTGTCCAGCGTGTGTGCAGCTGGTGGGCTCCGCTGCTCGAAGCCCCTGGATCTGGGAGAGGGGTTTCGATTCGCGCTCCCCACCCGCCTCGGTGCCCGTTCCCCCAGTGCGCCACTGGACTCGTCTGTGGTAGATTCCATGTGCGAATCCTGGATATAAGTACCATCTCGTCTTTCTTCCTCATCAGTTGCCTCCCGCAGTCCCATCTCCCTTAAAGCCCTATTCGCAGCTTGCTGGAAGCCATTCAGCGGGCCGCCGTCGCGTTCCAAGTCGCCTGTCCTTAGGCGCCCGCCCCCGCGCCCACCACTACCTCGGCCCCTGGTTCCGCTATCCCCGCCTCCGCCGCGTCCCCTCCGCGTGGCGCTGCCCCGTGCAGCGGGGCGTGGAGTAGGCGGACGTTCGCCACGCTGCCTCGCTGGGCCCGCTCTAGGGCGCATCGGCGAAACGGATGGCTGACCGGGCTGATCGTGCTCGGAGAGAGCGTTCCGTCGACCGCGAGAGTTCGGGGGAGAACGCCCTCCCCCGAGGTCGGTCGAGCTCCCCCCCCCTGACGGACCGGCGGTGGGCACGCGGGCTCCCAGCGCCGTCCACAAGCGCGCCCGCGTCCCCCAGTCGGATGCGGGCGGCGACGCCGCCTCGGTTGGAGGGGCGGGCTGCGGTGGCGGGCGTAGAGGTCCGCCAGTGTCCTCCGGCTGAGTTGTCGACGCCCGCTGAATCCCATGCGGCGGGCCCTCGCCCCCCCCCGGTGTTGCCGTCTCGGCCCCATCCGCAACAGCCGCGTGCGCCAAACGGCCCCTCGGGGCGTGGTGGCACGCGCCGGGGGCGGAGGGGGAGCGCACTGGAGAGACGGCTGGCGCGGACTGCCGCAACGTTGGAGGGGATACTCGAGCGGGCTGGCACTGGGCTGCTCCCATCGCCCCCGCAGCGGGAGCCGCCCCGACAGCTCCCCCATCAAACCCAGCCTCTATTTCCGCCGCGAGTCCTTCCACCGACCCTGCCCGACCAGCCTGCACGTGATGGAGCGTTTCCCCCTCCGCTGCGGCCTCCGGCGGCGCTGCTCCCAACTGCGCCGCCGCCTCCGTGGCAGCATGTGCCGCCTGGGGGCCCGTATGCTGCCCTGCACTCCGCTGCGCATCCGCCGCCTGTACCCGCGCCGGTCCTCCCACCCCCGGGGTACTACGACCTGCCCCACCGGTCCCTGCCAGCGCCCCCGATAGGCAGCCCCGCGTCATCCGCCGGTACACTCCCGGAGTGGCGTCCCCCCTCGTCCTGGGCTGGGGCGGTGGAGTGGTCCGATCCCCGGGTGGGGCTCTACCGCGGAGGGGGTGTGGTTGGTCCGTTCGTTCCCCCTCGGCAGCGGGCGCCATCCCCACGGGGTGTAGAGGCGGGGGCAGAAGCAGCGGAGACGGGGGGCGCGGAGTCGCCAGGGGAGGGGTCTCCACGTCGAGCTCATGGGGCCGGGGAGGCGACACGGAGGAGGACGCCGACGGTGGGGCCACTGACGGCGGCTCCTGCGGAGATAACGGTCCCAGCCGCCACACTCCGTCGCCTTGGACACGCTCGGAGGGGGACGGAGATACTGTTGACGATTCTGGCGGCGGCGAGCTCCGCGCTGGGGAGCTCAGGGGGCCAGTCAATGGCCCCGTACTTCCCCCTTCAGGGCTGCATGGAAGCAGCCATAGATCTCGCTGTGGAGGCTGCACGCGCGCGGCCCGGGCCCGCCCGGGGAACAGGCACGGACCCGCACCTTCTCGCCGCTCTCCGCCAGGTGTCGGCGAGCATAGACTCGGCGTCAGCTGCAGGGCTTGTAGCTGGCGCCGTGTCCACGCTGCAGGTCCTGTTGTCATACCAGGCCGTGTTGCTGGAGGAGGCTGGGCTGGCGGCTGTCGCGGAATAGCGGAGCGGCGGGAGTAGGTGCGGCCGGGCGGTGAGTCCTGCAGGCTGAGCGCCCCCGCACGGCGCATCAGGTGCTCCATGTGGGCTTGTGTGTGCTATGGTGGGGCCCGGTAGGCCAATGTCTTATACGCCCGTCAGGTCCTAGTCTAGAGATGGGGGGGCGCCATCATGCCTGCCTTGTACTTGCTGCGATATAGTTGAATGGTGGTCTTGCCACCCCCTCCCGCGCGGCCGAAGGCCGCGCTGCGAGCGTCGGCGGCCGAAGGCCGCCGACGCGAGCCGCCACCAAGGGTTGGAGAAAAGAAAGAACTGGAAACTAAACAGGAAGAATGAGGGAGGGAGAGAGCTTATATAGCTGGAGAGGGACTCATGCTCTCTCTCTCTCTCGCTCTCTCTCTCCTCTCTCTCGCCACCAAGGGTGGGAGAAGATGAAGAACTGGAAACTAAACAGGAAGAATGAGGGAGGGAGAGAGCTTATATAGCTGGAGAGGGACTCATGCTCTCTCTCTCTCTCTCTCTCTCTCTCTCTCTCTTTCTCCCCCTATTCCCTACTTCCCCAGCCTACCCCCCCCCCCTTAATAGAAGGGGAAGCAGACTCCCACCCCCCCCTTGCTCTTCCCCTCTCCCCCCCCCCTTAATAGAGGGGGAAGCAGACTGAGTGCGCTTCCCCTCTCCCCCCCCCTTAATAGAGGGGGAAGCAGACTGAGTGCGCTTCCCCTCTCCCCCCCCCTTAATAGAGGGGGAAGCAGACTGAGTGCGCTTCCCCTCTCCCCCCCCCTTAATAGAGGGGGAAGCAGACTGAGTGCGCTTCCCCTCTCCCCCCCCCTTAATAGAGGGGGAAGCAGACTGAGTGCGCTTCCCCTCTCCCCCCCCCTTAATAGAGGGGGAAGCAGACTGAGTGCGCTTCCCCTCTCCCCCCCCCTTAATAGAGGGGGAAGCAGACTGAGTGCGCTTCCCCTCTCCCCCCCCCTTAATAGAGGGGGAAGCAGACTGAGTGCGCTTCCCCTCTCCCCCCCCCTTAATAGAGGGGGAAGCAGACTGAGTGCGCTTCCCCTCTCCCCCCCCCTTAATAGAGGGGGAAGCAGACTGAGTGCGCTTCCCCTCTCCCCCCCCCTTAATAGAGGGGGAAGCAGACTGAGTGCGCTTCCCCTCTCCCCCCCCCTTAATAGAGGGGGAAGCAGACTGAGTGCGCTTCCCCTCTCCCCCCCCCTTAATAGAGGGGGAAGCAGACTGAGTGCGCTTCCCCTCTCCCCCCCCCTTAATAGAGGGGGAAGCAGACTGAGTGCGCTTCCCCTCTCCCCCCCCCTTAATAGAGGGGGAAGCAGACTGAGTGCGCTTCCCCTCTCCCCCCCCCTTAATAGAGGGGGAAGCAGACTGAGTGCGCTTCCCCTCTCCCCCCCCCTTAATAGAGGGGGAAGCAGACTGAGTGCGCTTCCCCTCTCCCCCCCCCTTAATAGAGGGGGAAGCAGACTGAGTGCGCTTCCCCTCTCCCCCCCCCCTTAATAGAGGGGGAAGCAGACTGAGTGCGCTTCCCCTCTCCCCCCCCCTTAATAGAGGGGGAAGCAGACTGAGTGCGCTTCCCCTCTCCCCCCCCCTTAATAGAGGGGGAAGCAGACTGAGTGCGCTTCCCCTCTCCCCCCCCCTTAATAGAGGGGGAAGCAGACTGAGTGCGCTTCCCCTCTCCCCCCCCCCTTAATAGAGGGGGAAGCAGACTGAGTGCGCTTCCCCTCTCCCCCCCCCCTTAATAGAGGGGGAAGCAGACTGAGTGCGCTTCCCCTCTCCCACCGCCTGAATGGCGGACCCGTCTGTTGTTTCTCCTCTACAATCCTTCTTGGTAGTTCGAGCATGTTCTGACTGGTATTTCCAGGATCCGTTTTCGTTCTCAACGTCCGAATCCCCCCCGCCCCGTCACTCATCCACCCCCCCCCCCACGTCTACCCACCTTCCCGCTGCTCTCTGCCTCCCTGCTCTGCCGCGCCCCATGCCTTGGCGCCGCCTGCAGCTGAAGCTGAAGCAGGAGGACCAGTCACGGGTCTCACAGGCGAACAGTCACGTGAGGAGTCAGGGTGCTCGGAGATTAGAATTGTCGGTCAATTCGCGGATCATGGCGGAAGCGAAGTCTCAGGCCCAGGGGTACCGTACCGAAGGTGATCTCACTGATCGAAAAGCAAGTAGCTTACTGATCGCTTGCCGCACTCAGAAGCAGTTTCAGGCCCAAGTGTTGTTACCGCATGAAGTGTGCTGTTGAGTAAAAAGCAAAGTGGGTGATGGGTAGCAGCTGTTGATGAGTAGACATATCACTGAGAGCCTGCTGAGAGCCTGCTCACTTAAATGCAGTTTCAGGCTCAGGGGTACCGGACTGAAGGTTATCTCAGTCACCGGATTCCGGGTGTTTCAGTGGGTGTTGGTGTGATATAAGTTGCGTTTTGAGTCTAAGTTTCGTTTTGAGTCGACTCAAAACGAAACTTATATCACAAGGGTACCGGACTAAAAGTAATCTCACTCACCGGATTCCGTGTGTTTCAGTGGGTATTTTCGCACTGAAGCAGTAGATGCGTGGCCCGAGTGAGGTTCGTCTTTCTTCCTTTCTTTGTTTTCCAGTTTTTTATGTAGAAGCAATCAAGTCTCAGGTAACAGCAGCGAGACGATTTTAGAGTGGACTTAAAAACCACCTTCGGGTAGCAGCAGTGAGACGAACGCAAAGTTGCTGTCTCCCATGTTCGTGCAGCAATTGTCATAAACACGCGTATCTCATTTTCTTCCCTGCCTTTGGATTACATATCGTCTACTTGGATCCATCCAATTACGTCTGCTTTCGTTCCTTCAACATTCACTCCCCTTCATCATCTATCTACCCTTTCGAGGTGACTCTTGAGTCGACTCAGAAGCCACCTCCTTCCTTCAATATTCACTCCTGTTCATCACCCATCTGCCCTTTCGAGGTGACTCTTAGTCGACTCAGAAGCCTTCCTTCAATATTCACTCTCCTTCATCACCCATCTACCCTTTCCTTTCCCATCTCAACCATTCCGTATGTCATATTTCCCGCACCATCTCAAAATTAACTCAAATTTCTTCTTTCCCCGTCCCTCCCTCCCAGCGTCCCACCTGAGGGGCGTGCTGGCAGCGGTGTTGGGCGAGTTTCACGATGCCGACACCATGGACGCCGCTGTTGAAATGGCGCAGCTCTGCCAGCTTCTCGCTGTCTCCGACCCGCATTCGTGAGTGTTAGAGATGCCCTAGAGCATGACAGTTGACGCCACGGACGCTGCTGCTGAGACGGCGCAGCTCTGCCAGCTGCTACCCGTGAATTTCCCGCACTCGCGCGTTTGTGCACACATGCCCGTTTCCAACCCCCCCCCCACCCCAGTCTGCCAAGTGCCGCGCCACAACTGCCCATCCGGAGTGAAACTGCCACATCCCGTCCCCCCCCTCTTCCCCTCCCCTCCCTCCCTCTCCCAGCCTCCCCAGGGCCGTGACCCACCTGTCAACCCGCGCATGGCACTGCCAGAAGCTGCGGTTGCCACTCACGCACCCACCTCCTTTCCACCTCTTCCCGTGCTCGTCTCCCCCCCCAGCTCTCCAACCTTCCCAGTGCTGCGACCCACCTATCAACGCGTGCGTGGCACTGCCAGCAGCTGCTGCGGCAACTCACCCACCTCCCTCGTGCACGGCTCTCCTCTCTGTGCCCTTCCCACTGCCAGTATCCCCAGCGCTGTGACCCACCTATCAACGCGCGCGTGGCACTGCCAGCAGCTGCTGCAGCAGATGAAACAGACCCAGGCGGGCTTGCAGGCGAGAGCGGAGGAGGTGGCTGCTCTTGCTGAGTGCGTTGAGAGGTAAGGGTGGGATATCAAGTGCTTCGGGGTAAGGCCCGGCCTGGACCACCAGGAGGGGTAGGCAGACCCATGCGTCCCTGCCTCGAGGGGTGTGGATGGAAGAAACGGACTGCTCTCGTCCCGCGTCCTCCCCGGGGTTACTTTCAGCCTTTTTTCCTTTCGCGCTTCTCCTGAACCCCTGCTTCGGGAATTTTCTCTGTGCCGCCTGCCTACTCCACCTGCCTCGTCCCACCCTCTTGTTACTCCCTCGCACTCTCGTGAATCTGTTTCCCTTCCCCTCGTGTCCTTGTTTTTGTTATTGTGCGTTCTGCTCTTTCCCCGCTCTCGTTGCTTGCCGGATTGTGTTGCCAGCTGGAAGGCGCAGCTGCCATCGGACGATGACATCAGCAGGGCCACGGATGACGTGGCAGACAGGACGAGGAGAATGGCGCAGGAGCAGCAGCAGCTGAGCCTGCAGCGGTCCGCGGCTCAGGTGGGGAAGGATGAAGGGGGGAAGGAGGAGGGGCGGGAAGAGAGGGGGGGATATTTATGGGGTATTTTGAGAATTCTCAAAAATACCCTGCAAATTAGAGGGGGGGATATTTATAGGGTGCATGCAGGTTACAGATGGAAAACAGGGAAGGGTGCATGGTGCAGGGGCAGGGGGGGGGAAGGGGGGGGGGGAGTGGTTGATAAAATGGGGGAGGTTGGGGTCAGGAGGAAGAAGAATGGGGACATTGGGGGAAGAATGGGGGCATTGGGGGAAGAATGGGGGCATTGGGGGAAGAATGGGGGCATTGGGGGAAGAATGGGGGCATTGGGGGAAGGATGGGGGCATTGGGGGAAGAATGGGGACATTGGGGGAAGGGTGGGGGCATTGGGGGAAGGATGGGGGCAATGGGGGAAGAATGGGGGCATTGGGGGAAGGATGGGGGCATTGGGGGAAGAATGGGGGCATTAGGGGAAGAAGGATGGATTGCTGGCTCCTTCTCGCCTCTCCTCTGGAAGTCGTCACTCATGGTCTTGGGAAGAGCAGCAGTGCGAAGTCAGTCGCTTGAGCAACAAGAACGAGAGTAAAAAATCCTAGGCAGAGATTTGCTTCGTAAAAACTCTTCACTCAAATTTACCAGGTCACAAACATGTTTCGGCTTACGGGGATCAAACCCGCCGAGCCTTCATCAGTGCTACTGGACATAAGAGATCACGAGTCTAGGCATGAGCTAAGTAACAACCCACACCCTCCAAAACAATTCTCAAGATTATCAACTACCCAGATTGCCTATCAATGGGCATTCGCCAACACAGCAGTGGGTAAAAACCCGAGGTTGCAGGTGTCAGTCTTCAGGAGGGTCTTCTTCCGAACTGTCGATAAGCCTTGGTAACTTGGCTCGCACAAGTAACTTTTGAAGGTTACGTGCACACCTCCATGCAATGAAAATATTCCCCATATAAAATCCGCGTGAGTTGAGACGATTTTTGAGGCGCCTCAAAAGGACCCCCAGCCTGAGACGTGCTGTTAACGGAGTAAACAGCGTCTTCAAGACAAGGGGCCCGCGGTCAGGGGGAGTAGAAATTCGGTGTGCCTGGCGAGCTTCAGTCTGCTCCAATAGGAGCGGGCGTTGTCGGAAGAGAACACTCTGGAAGATGGGTGTCAGAAAATCAGCCGGATAACCCCGATCTCTTAGCCGCTGGAAGAAAGCACGCTTAGAAGCAAAGTAGGTTTGAGCAGATGACGAGCGCAAGAGGTAACGCTTCAGCTCCGCCCGTATGAAACCTATCTTGCAGTGTCGGGGGTGGAATGACGAAAAAGGCAGGTACAGGTACCGGTTCATCGGTTTCTGAAAAGTTTTCAGATCCAGGGTACCCTGCTCGGCAAAACGTTGACCCTTGAAGATGACCAGGTCGAGGAAGTCAGCCGAACTGTCTGAAATGTGCCACGTGAGCTTGATGTTTGGATCGAGCGTGTTGAAAGTGTTCAGGTACTCCTCCAATTCGCTCTTCGATCCGGGCCAAATTATTAACCCGTCGTCGATGTAGCGCACGTGGCACAATGGTGTAGTTCCAGACCACCGCCTTGAAAGAATCTCGTCCAGCCAGCTCATGAAGAGGACAGCAAAGCATACTGCAGCAGGAGTTCCCATAGTAGTCCCTTGTGTCTGCTGGTAGATTCGGCTGTTGAACTCCACGAAAGAATTCATCATGACCCATTCCAGCAAGGCCATGACTGGTTGAGAATTCACGATTCTCCCTCGTTGAAGAAAATTGCCCACCGCATCGAGCCCTCGCCTTAGTGGGATGCTGGGATAAAGCGAGGTGACGTCGTACGTAGCTAGAAGTATTCCTTTAGGAAAGGCGGTCTTTTCCAGCATCAGTAGCAATGAGAGGGAGTCGCGCAGGTAGGTTGGCTGTTGAAGCACCAGTGGTCGAAGTTCCGCGTCCAACCAACGGCTAACATTCGAAGTCACCCATGAATGCGAAGCTGCGATAGGCCGCCCCGCGAGTTTCTTCTTGTGTAGCTTCAGAAGGATGTAGAACGCCGCCGGTCGCCATCCTCCGCGCGGTTTGTCAAAGAAAAATTTCCAAAGGCTCTCGGGAAAAGCAGGTCCCCACACGCTTTGCAGATCACGCAGCTTCCGCACGACGTCGGCGGTAGGATCTCGATGAACTGGAGTGTAGGTCGTCGCGTCGTCAAGATGGTCGAGATAGAGGCGAACGTAGTGACTCCGGTCCATGACAGTGATCCCGACGTTTTTGTCGGCAGGTTTCACTACCACGTGTCGATCCGCAGCGATGGAGCGCAGCGCCCGTCGAACACCAGACGAGATGTTCTGATGTCGGATCGGGCGGGTTGCCTTCAACAGGAAGGACAAGTCGAATGACGAATCCTTGAAGACCTGCTCTGGAATTTGAATCCGATCAGGAAGCCAGTCGGGATTCCGCACTCGAAAGCGCGAGTCCCCCTTCCGACCGCCGTCATCCTTGAAGAAAAGTCGAAGCGAAATCTGGCGTAGAAGCTGGTCGAGCTCCACAGCACCAGACAGAGAAACGGCAGGCGTTGGAATGAACTTCAGTCCCAACCCCAGCCCCTTCTTCTCGTCCGAAGACAAGACCTTGGAGCTAAGGTTATGTACTCCCCGGTTCCGGATCCGTGTCGACAGCTGCCGCACTGTCAACCGTCCGAACCAGCGGAGCGCCAAGTCGTGACTGGTTAGTTCTTGCGCGGCCCTTTTCCGGGGCCGCCTCCGCCGTTTTTTGGTCCCTTGGCCTTCTCAGATGTCTGGCCACCCGCTTGCTGGTATTTGTCGGTGCCGTTCTTCTTTTTGTTCTTCTTACCCCCGCGTTTCTTCTTCGGCTTCGAGTCCGTTGCCGTATTAGCCGAGAGGCGCTCCTGAGGATCAGGAGTGAAGGGCTTCGACGTTCCGGCAGACGATTTCTTTTGCTTCGAGTCAACAGCGGGGGCCCGGGAGGAGTCCTGTGCTCCGAGAGAAAGATTTTTCAGCAGCTTCTTCATCAGATTGGATTCAATTTTTGGCGCGAGCTCCCTCCAAAACTTGTCTTCAATCCGCTTCGTGTGCTTGTCCATAATCTTCTCAATCCCGGTCTCGGTTTCCATGTCATGCACCTCCTCGGACGCAGCAGCCTTCTTCAATTCTTCAGCAGCTACCTTCCGCTGTCGATCCAGCTCCTTGATGACGATGTCATCTTTCGCAGCTGCGATGTCGGAATTCGCCTTCGCAATGCATCTCCCCTTGAGCAGTCGAAACTTCTCCTTGGCGGTATCAGAAACCACCAGATCGGGGTTAGTGCTCAGGCTTTGAATATAATCTTCCATCGTTGCAGCTAGAGCGGTGACGTGCGAATTCGCCGCTGTCTGCAGCTCTTCAACCTCCAGTGCCTTTGAGGCGATGAAGTCCGCCTGCAGCCGTTTCTGGTTCGCCTCGTGAATCGCGGCGACGGATGCAGCAGATTTCTCTTTAACGGACGGAAGCTTCGTTTGGAACTCGACAGCCTTGGTGCGGATGCTGTGAAGCAAAACACCTTGAGCATCGAGATCCTTCATCTTCTTGAGCTTCTCTTTCGCCTTCAGCAAAGTCTTGAAGTCGTCGCGAAAGCTTTTGACAGCCGACTCCGTCCATCCCTTGAAAGGTTGAGGGATTAGAGAGGTGTCGGCAGCTTCCGCCATGACGCTTAGACGACTTGTCGACGGGCCGGTGGGATGAGCTTCAGCTTGCTTGCTTAGTAGAGTGGGTTCGTAGGTCAATGCCAGTGGAGGGATTCTCTTCCCAGCTCCAGATCGCCTGGCGTGTCTTGCGGAGCGTGATGATCCTCCCTCCCCACGAACGCGCTTAACCGAGCTGCGACCACTTGTACCGGCTTCTTCCTCGTCGGATGGAATCCAATCGAAGTCCCACGGGTCGTCGTCACTCATGGTCTTGGGAAGAGCAGCAGTGCGAAGTCAGTCGCTTGAGCAACAAGAACGAGAGTAAAAAATCCTAGGCAGAGATTTGCTTCGTAAAAACTCTTCACTCAAATTTACCAGGTCGCAAACATGTTTCGGCTTACGGGGATCAAACCCGCCGAGCCTTCATCAGTGCTACTGGACATAAGAGATCACGAGTCTAGGCATGAGCTAAGTAACAACCCACACCCTCCAAAACAATTCTCAAGATTATCAACTACCCAGATTGCCTATCAATGGGCATTCGCCAACACAGCAGTGGGTAAAAACCCGAGGTTGCAGGTGTCAGTCTTCAGGAGGGTCTTCTTCCGAACTGTCGATAAGCCTTGGTAACTTGGCTCGCACAAGTAACTTTTGAAGGTTACGTGCACACCTCCATGCAATGAAAATATTCCCCATGTAAAATCCGCGTGAGTTGAGACGATTTTTTAGGCGCCTAAAAAATTGGCTCCTTCTCGCCTCTCCTCTGGAAGTGGTTCAGAAGCTGGTCAACAGTGAACACCCCCGCCACCCCCTTTCTCTTCCCCCCTCCCCTCCCCTTCCCTTCCCTCTCCTCCTCCCTCTTCCCTCTTCCTGCAGGGCTCTCTCGAGGCGGCAAGCTACAGTGCTGATGTGGACATGGCCGCCCTGCTACAGCTGGCAGAGGAGGTGCAGGGGGAGGAGGAAGCGGTGGGGCGGCTGCAGCAGGATCTCGCGATCTACTCTGACTTGCCCACGGTACTGTGTGGTGTGGTGCTGTGAAGTGCAGCTTGGTGTGGTGAGATGTGCTGCAATGCTGTGACGGGTAATGGGAGGTGCAGGGGGAGGAGGAGGAGGAGGCAGTGGGGCGGCTGCGGCAGCAATACCTGGCAGTCTACTCTGACTCGCCCATGGCGCAGTGGTGTGGTGTGGTGTGGTGTGGTGTGGTGTGGTGTGGTGTGGTCATGTAAGGGTATCAGCAAGCGAGCTCTGTATCCTTTGTACCCATCTCGCTTCCTCTCCCCCTCAGGATGTGCCCCTGGCTCGTAAACACCTGGAGAGGGAGAGGGAGAGGCTGCTAGCACTGTCGAAGAAGCATTGTCTATCAGACTTAAACGGCGTGCCACCATCCCTCTGTATCCCTCTGCACCCGTCTGGACCCCTCTGTACCTCACTTTATCCCTCTACCTCTCTCCCTCAAGATGTCACCCTGGCTCGCAAACACCTCGCGAGGGAGGGGGAGAGGCTGTGAGCCCTCTCAAAGAAGCACCGTCTATCACATTGTAGTGGGGTGCCACTGTCCCTCTGAACTTCTCTTTATCTCTCGGTACCCCTCTGAATCCCTCTGTATCCCTCTGAACACCTCTGTATCCCGCTGTCCCTCTCCCCATCAAGACATCACCTGGCAAGGGAGAAAGAGAAGCTGCAAACTCTATTTAAGATGAACAGTCCATCAGATTTTAATGGCGTTCCACTGTCCCTCTGCATCTCTCTGAATTCCTCTGAATTCCTCTGTATCCCTCTGTATCCCTCTGCCTCTTCCCCTCAGCACATCACCCTGGCTCACACACACCTGCTGAGGGAGAGGGAGAGGCTGCGACTCAGCCTCAGTCTATCAGATTGTCATGGCGTGCCACTGCCCCTCGGTATCCTACTACAACCCTTTGTATCTCTCTGTATCCCTCTCTACCTCTCTGCCTCTCCCCCTCAGGACATCACCCTGGCTCACAAACACCTGGCGAGGGAGAGGGAGAGGCTGCGAGCGCTGTCAAAGAAGCTGCAGGCGTGGAGCATGGGGGAGATAGACGAGGGTGAGGGGCAGGAGGGTTACGTGCCTCCGTCTCCTGGGGAGGAAGAGACGGTGGGGGCGTGGGGCATGGGGGACGTGGGGGGGAGTGGGGGGCCTGTGGTGCCGTCTCCTGGATTCTAGGGGCGCAGGAGTCAGTTCAGCTCAGAAGCCACCTGGCGAGGGAAAGGCAGAGGCTGCGAGTTCTGTTGAGGAAGCTGCAGATGTGGAGCTTGGGGCAGCTGGAGGAGGGTGCGGGGCGTTAGGGGCATGAGGGGCATGAGGGGCATGAGGAGCATGGGGGGCATGAGGAGCATGAGGAGCATGGGGGGCATGAGGGGCCTGAGGGGTGTGAGGGCCGTGAGGGGCATTTTGGAGATGGAAGCCACCTGGCAAGGGAGAGGTAGAGGCTGTCAGGCTGTCGAAGAAGCATGGGGGAGATAGAGAGCCTGGGGTACGGGCCCAGGTCCCCAGGGGAGTGGGCCACGGGCAAGCTGGAGGACCTGAGCTGCCGAGACCCGGGGTCTAGGAGTGCAAGAGTTGGGCACATGGTGAGGGGCCTAGCGAAGCTGCAGCGTGGAGCATGGGGGGGCCGTGGGAGGGGCAGGGGCTCGCACTGAGGAGAAGGGGGGCTCGTATGGCTGTCCTGTCCTGGGTTCTAGGTCTACCGGAGCCTGTTCAAAGGGTGCCTGGTCGGGTGTTGAGGGGGGGCGGGGAGAGGGGGAGAAGAACTGTGTGCATGGGCGAGCTTGAGGAAGCCGAGGGCACGTGCTGCTGCTGTTTTCAGGGACCAGAAAACCTAGAAACGCATGCCATTATCGGTAGGTTTCAACTCCAATGAATGAATCGAGGTGCAGGCAAGAGTACAGTGTACACTTCATCCATAGCATGTCAGTCAGGGTGTGTCCAGCGCGTGCGTCTTTTTGTCAAAACCCTACCCAACCATTTTAGATTTGTTATCGATCTTTCTGACCAGTGAGGCACCTCACCTCACCCTACCGCAATCAAACGTACCGGTATGTGCCAGACACACCCTCAGAGTTCGTTCTAGATATGCTGCTGTGTGTTTCCACATAACCCAACCGTTGACTGAAATAAGCAATTACTATGTCAGTGTATGTACAGTACAGGATGATATGAAGAACAAGCTTCTGCCAACCAACCCTTTCATGCCCCGGGAACCACAACACCCAGACCACCGAGGCGACTTCTGAGGCGCATTCATCCTTGTCAGCGTGTCACCGGAAATGAGGACAAGCACCTCCCGTCCCGTCATCCCTCCCCTTCTTGCTTCTGGAATCGCGACGCCCTGACCACCTTCCCCGCTCCCTTGCCATGAGAGTGCGGGGACACTGGCGCCCTCCCCACGTGCCCTGGGAAACCACCACCACCAGCCAAGGGCGGCAACGGGGAGGGTGAACTGCAGTGGGGGGAGTTGGGCCTGGCTGCTCCCAGGTGGGATATAGGGGAGGCGCAACCACTGGAGGGGTGTTCCAGGGGAGGCAGGAGCTGGCTTGGGGAGAGCAGGCTGGGGGGTTGCAGGCTTGAAGGGAGCAGGCCTGGGGCGGGTTGTTTGTGGGCAAGCTGTGTACTGGAGATGTGGGAGGGGGGTGGGAGGGAGGGTGAGTGGAGCGAGGAGAGAAGTGTGGGGGAGAAGCAGGAGGACGGGGAGGAGGTGGAAGAAGCAGGGGAGGAGGAGGAGGAGGATGATGGAGAAAAGGAAGCAACGAGGGGGGAGTCAAAGGAGGAGGAGGAGGAGAGGGAGCCTGCAGTGGGCATGGGGGACTCTGAGGAGGGGGAGGGAGAGAAGGGGGAGTGAGGAGAGTTGGTGCAGCTTTTGCTGCTGCTGCTGCTTGAAAGGATGGAGATGGAGAGGGCTTTAAAGTTGAGCAGACCAAACCTGCGACTGCTGCTGCTGCCGCTGCTGCTGCCACTGCTGGCCCTGCTACTGCTGCTGGTGCTTCCACAGCTGCTGCTGATGCTGCTAGTGCTGCTGCCACTGCTGGCAGTCACCTCCTGATCCTTCCAGGAAGCATCCAGTGGTGCAGAGAACGGCTGGGGTAACGAATTCCAGAGGGAATTAGCCCTTGCATGCACCCAGGGCAATGGGCTAGGGTTTCTTCCAGCTATACACTCAGGCTTTGGCTCAACGCAAGAGGAACTAGTCCCACTCAAGTTGCTGCCTGGTAAACTCTCTCTGCTGCGCTGCCGCTCTCTGCTGCTCATACTCTTTAAAAGCGCTCTGGTTCTGCTACTGCTGCCACCTTGCGCGCTTTCCTGTGCAAGAGTACCAGCACTCCTCATACCATCACCGAAGCTGGCCTTTAAAGGGGATGGGGAGCACACGCGAGCAGCAGCACCTCCTGTATTTCCAGCACTGACCGAAGGAGTCGTATTTGGTGACTGGGCAGCTGAAAACGATCCTTTTCGGGCAGAGGCTGTAGCCGAAACTGTAGCAGGAGAGAGGGAAGGCAGGGGCATGCACAAATCCATGGTGCGGCGACGGGCGTGGCCGGGCCGAGACGAGACTGTAACAGGTGAGGTTATATTTGAATTTACTGTAACGGATGTGACTGTAGTGGGTGATTCGGCGGATTTGGTGGTGGGCGTGGTGGTGAGAGAGAGGAGGGGAGCGGGCAAGGAGGGGGAGAAGGGGGAGCGAGGGAGGGAGAGGGAGAGGGGTGAGAAGAAGCAGCGGGGGGAGTCCCAAAACGCCTCCTTGGCTTCACCCTCACTGTCGGCACTGTCAGCGCTGGTGGTGCTGCTAGGGGAGTCTGGGGAACAGTTAGTGTCACCCTCGTTACAGTCACCGCTGCTAACCACCCTATCACCACCTAAATAATCAGGTTTCAGTTGGGGGATATTATCAGTCCCGGTAGTGCCTTTTCCGTTACACGCTTCCCCCTCTTCCGCCTCCTCCCCCCCCTGCCTCTCCGCCTGCTCCGCTTCCCCGCCCCACCAAACCACCCTCCCCCCCCCTGTCCCCGTCTCCGTGTGGGAGTAGCACCGCCTCAGAGCCCTGCCAGCTGGCACTGCCACGTGGCACGCTCCCACAGGCTGGTCAACCGCGCTGACCCCTACACCTCCTCCTGCTGCGCCTCCCCCTGCCGCGTACTCCGCCAGGCGCGCCCTTGCGAGACTGAGGCTGCGCATGTGGTCACGGGGGAGGGCGGAGGCTGAGGCGGAGGCGGAGGCGGAAGGATAGGGGGAGGGATCGGCCCTCAGCCAGCCAGCGGGGGAAACAGCGGCGGTGGCGGAAAGGTTTCTGCGACGATGCGCCGCGCGCTGGTGCTGCTGCGACGGCTGTAGCTGCGATTGTTGTAGCTGCGAACGCTGAAGCTGGAGCTTGTTTTGACGTAGCGTGTGCTCTAGGGAGGCCCATTCAGCGCTCGTTGTAACGGGCCAACCAGCGATGGGTGCGTCACCCACAAGCGAGTCAGCCAATATCGGAGCATCGCCGAAGATTTCCGTGCGACTGCGCGCGTGACGAGGCGCGACGGGCCGGTCGCGCATGGGGGTGGTCGTGCGAAGGAATTGGCGGCGGTGCGCGACGGAGGAGCTTGTCGCCGGCGGTCGCTGAGCAGGTTGTACGTGAGAGGGAGCGGCCGAAGGATCGTTTGAGCGCGATATGGTGGGAGTCAGCGGTCTCCGAACTTGCTGGTTACCACTGCAGGGCAAGTCTTGCCTTGGCGAAGAAATCTGCGGGTTGGCGAACACGAGCGAGAGCGACCGAATATGAGAAGATCTGACAACTCCATCGGACGAAAACCGTTTGCTTTCGTTTGCAGCCGAAACCACCGCGGACAGGTTACCACTGTAACTGGAACCCACATCCGACCCGTTACACATAATGTCGTCGTTGCTAGAAAAAGTTCGCCAACTGCCCCCGGCGACGCTACTGCCCTCCACGCTACTGCTGATACTTGCACCGCTGGTACAGTAAATTTCGCGGCTTCGAATATCCTCGATATTGCAGCTGCTATTGTAGCTACTGCTGCTCCCCCTGCTGCTGCTTCTCCAATCGCCGACCGTTTCAGAAGCAGCAGCACCGAAGGAGAGACCATCGCGGTTCGAGAGATAATATGTCCCGCCCAATCGCAAGACCGTCTGAGGAGGGAGGATCGCGCCTTGAGGCTTCAACTCCTTATCTTGGGCTCTCGAGTCGCAGCCGTCGCACGCTCTCCCTTCGCACATTTCGCCAGCGACGATCACCGTGCAGCTGACGATGAGATCGGGGAAGTCGCAGGCGAGCTGTGCGACGGTCAGCTCCTCAGTGTACAAGCGCGCCGAGCCGTCGGGAAGCACCAGGAGCACGGCGGAGGGGGAAGCGGGGCTCGAGTGGCGGAAGGGGAGCGACCAGGTCGCGGCGCAAGGCGAGGGGGAGCGCTGGCGGGAAGTGGGATCGGCGGAGGCAGAAGCTAGTGGGGAATGCTCCGCCTTGGCGGAGTCGATAGCAGCAGCCATACTCGAACGAGGTTTCAGGGGAGCAGATCGACAAATGCTAATCTCGCTGCATGTGTGCTCGCGCGCTTCTTATTTGGGATTGACGTGGCGCGTTACTGGCTGGCGCTGCACGACAGCAGGAGAGTGAGACTGAGCAGCAGTGGTGGAGGAGATCACAGGAAACGCCTACAGCAATATGTGCTCTTGGCATGATTGCTCGTGCCGCGTTCCTTCCGAAATAAAGAAACGGACTGAGGTGGTGAGAGGAGGTGAACGTTATGAAGAGGAAAGTGGTTGAATCTACGACATGGACGTTCGTCACTTGCGAATACACGGTAGGTGTACGGTAAAGCAATGCTGCTCCATATTGCTGCTCGCTCTCCCAGACAGCTCCTGCTCGATTGTGGGCTCTCTGGTTTGCAAGTTCCAACACTTCTCAACATCCGCGAATGGGTGTAAGCGAGGCGAGGCGAGAGTTAGGCGACGCGAGGAGAGGAGAAGCGATGCGAAATAACCACACACCGCCCATGAAAAACTGTAACCGCTGCCACCCGCTCCCAGCCAATTGGAGAAGAGCCACATGCGCTTCAAGGTGCAGAATTTGGGAATGAAGCTGAGCAATTAGATGCGAGCCGACCATGCAGGCTTTTCGTAAAAAGCATACTCGACGATTTTATATGCCCATGATTACAGCCCCAAACCAAAAACAATTCAAAACAATTTTGGTTGGGTCTTGGTGAAATGAAAGTTATTTTCGCACTGGCTGACTGCCCATGATTCCTATTGTGCTGTGTACAAAAGTACTCGTGGAAATTGGGGGTTAAGCCCGGCTCCATGCCCGGCTCCATGGGGTGGGCTAGAAGTACGGTCAGCGGATCGGTCGGTGCATTGTCGTAACCTGGGCTTCCCAGGCACAGTAGCGGGCGGGTGGAACGCATATGCTATGCACTCACTCACCCTATTCTCCGCATGCGTTACACAGTTCCACCCGAGATCGCAAATATCGCCGAAGAAACACCTCGCCAGCCCCCAGACCTTCGCCAGATGGTTGTCCATGGCGTGGCTTCCACAGCTCCCTCCCTCCATTCCAGCCAAACCAAGGTTTAGGTTTGACCCCATGTCACATCACACACCTTCCCGCTAACATTTCCACTTCACCATAGCTCGTTCTTTCGCTGGTTGCCGACTCTCGGATGGCGGAGTCGAGGGGAGAATCTAGCAACTGTGCGATCAAGCCGTCAGCGTCGATGGCGGCAAGCAGAGAGTTACTCACCGTCGGCGGCGATTCCTTGCCTTTCTGTACGTCATCCTTTCGCCGAGCAGTCGCCTCCACGTTTCCACCTTCCAGCCTATATCGAGCGCAATAGGGGGTTCACGTCGCCACCATGAATATATCCGTTCCCACGCGTGAGGAGTCTATTTTTTAGGCGCCTCAAAAACCACGCGTGAGGAGTCTATTTTTGAGGCGCCTCTAAAACCACGCGTGAGGAGTCTAGTTTTGAGGCGCCTCAAAAATAGACGTCGCCACCATTAATATATCCGTTTCCACTTTCCCTTCTGAACCCAAGCTTAATCTGCCTCCTCTCACCATCCCTTCGCGATTTTGTTATTGTCGACTGAAGATAACCATCCCTCCGGTTCTCCTCCCCGCACCTATAACCCTCCAGTGGAGCGTCTCTTGAAGCAACCATGCAGAACGAACCAGCGCGCGCAGAAGCCGCCGCAGAATCCGCCAGGCGCGGGGCAAGCACCGCCATCGATGTTCACGACGCCCGTTGCGGAGAGCTCAGGTTCGTTGCGGCGCGAACATGAAGGGTTTGCCAAGGTTCGGGGTTCAGGCTTATACATAATACAGGATGCAAATGTGATACGGATATGCAATTCGGGTACAAATGCAATGCACCACGCTACCTGCCAGGCTGCTCAGTTCCGCTTGATAGAAACCTGGTGACTCTTTGGGTGCATATTGAAGAGGCTTATAAAGGGTTCAAATGCAAGTCTCCACGCCACCTACGAGGCTGGCTGCTCTGTGCCGCTTAAGGGAAACCTGGTGACATGCCAGGCTTACAAAGGGTACAAATACATTACACCACGCCACCTACCGTCCTGCTCCGTGTTGCCTAACAGCGACCTGTAAGCTGCTGGGGAGAGGGTTATCAAGTGTTCCGAGGTTAAAGAGTACCCGGATCAGCACATGTGTAGATATTGCATGCCTATCCGAATCCCCGCCAAGCTTCTTGCTAAACTATCCTCTAAGTCCTTTCTCTCCTTCCCCTTTCCATTGTGCTGGTGTGCTGACCTACTGCTGCTAGCCTCGTCCCTGCCATTTCTGCTCTAGAGGACATCACTCGAAGCAACAAGGCGGCAGTGAGTGCTCTCTCTCTCTCTCTCTCTCTCTCTCTCTCTCTCTCTCTCTCTCTCTCTCTCTCTCTCTCTCTCTCTCTCTCTCTCAAGCGGTCCATGTATTGATTGAGAACGTTGTACATACTAAACAAGTGGGCAGACTTCAAACCATATCGAAGGTACGTGCATGCTGGGGATGGGCAGCCGGACTACTGGAGCTCCCCGAGGGGCTCCGCTATGGCAAAACAGTCCCCTAGGCCCATGATGGCGTCAGGGGTACCCACGGGGGGGTACTCTGCCGGGGCAGCCTCGTTGACTTTTCCGAGGTAGGCCAGGGCCTGTGCCCGCTGGAGCGTGATGGACCAGCGCTGGCGGAACTGATGCAGCAGCTTCGCCGCCTGGTAGGAGCTCGGGTCCGCGTTGAAAAGCCGCCTTGCCCCTGTGTCCGCCAGGAGCTTCAGAAAGCTGGGGACCTCGGCGCAGGGGCAGCCATAGGTCTCCACGGCCAAGGGGAAGAAGCCAACATAAGGTGCGCGGTTACGGTAGTGATCAATCTTCTTATCGGCCTGTTCCCGGGCCATATATCCCCGCCCCTTGCGTGCGTGCGGGTCCCGGGTGCTGATGGGGTCCGTGACAGTGACGTCACAGATCCAGACGGCACCGGAGTCTCTGTCGCGCATGGCGAGGTCGGCCTTATGGCCGTCCACCGGGCTGTAGGTAGTGGTCTCCTTGGTAACGATGAACCCGGCATCTCGCGCCATACGAATGCACTCATCGCGGAGTGCGTTGTGGGTGTCTGTCCGGCCATGTCCCGTGCCGCAGCGGAAGAGGTGGTTGGGCAGCCGGGGGTCAGGGATCTCAGTCTCGTCTGCGCAGTTGCAGTTGCGTGGGGCTGGGAAAGGGAGGCCGAGGCGGAAGGCGAGGGCGATGGCAAAGTGCGGTGGTCCGAGGCGGAGAGAGGGGAAGATGGGGATGGCATGGATCCAATCCCCTGCCCCGTAGCCTGCAAGGGAGAACAGACGCTGGGTGTGGCCGGAGCTGGGGTTCAGCTCCATCCCGCGGGACGCTGCCACCTGGTCCGCATATCGGGCGGCGTGGACTTCTAGGGAGAGCCGGTGCTGGAGGGGGTTTCCGGATGGTTCCTGGCGTTCGGAGCGCAGGAGCTCTAGTGCATGGGTAGGCATGGCTGCCTCACACCCCGCCAGCCAGGTATGGAGATGGTTGGGGCTGGAGAAGGGGGGGGTGAGGGGGCGCAGTGCGGACGCCAGGGGCCCATCGGCTGCTGCTGGCAGGGCGGCGAGGAGGTGCTGCGCCTGGGTGACGCTGGTCAGGAAGGCTGGGGGGCCTTCAATGGCAGGATCGGAGAGGCCCAGCCCGCCGAGCGAGGGCGGAAGTGAGGCTTGGGCCCAGGTGCGCGCGCGTTCGGCTTCCCCTCGAGGAAGTTGGAGGTTGCACGCGTGAAGGAGGGTGTGGAAAAGCCCCCGTCCCCACTCCGACCACTCGGGTTGTGGGAGGAAATCCAGGGGCGTGGTGCGGGTCAGGTAACTGACCCGCCGCGAGATGCAGCGCGTAAGGAGGAGCGACGCTATTTGGGGGTCCATGGAGGCGATGGTGGGGAGTGGTTCGGCCAGCGAGGCCAGCTGGGCGCGGAGGAAACCAGCTGAGCCCTCCGCTGTCCCGACAAAACTCCCCAGCACCCGTAGCCCCGCGCTGTGGAAGGGGACGTCCGGGGGAATGGCGTCGGGCGGGGGAGGGGTGGGGGACCACGCACCACATTTCGAGGGGTTGTGCGTGAGGCCGATGGCCCCGACTGCGCCCGTGAAGTGGTGGAAGGCCGCTGTGCAGGCGGCCGGATCACCCACGAACGTCACGTCGTCCGCGTAGGCTAGACAGAGGACGTCGGGGTGGGCGACAGCTGTTGATTGGAGCGCGGGGTGGATGGCTGCGGCGAAGAGCAGGGGGCCCATGGGGTCCCCTTGTCGAACGCCCCGTGCACTCTGGAGTGGGGGGCTGGCGAAACCGTCATCGAGGTAGAGGAGCGAGGGGGAGCCGTAGGAGAAACGGATAAACGGTAACAGCGAACGAAGGGGCGAGGCGTCGATAGCGGTGATGATTGCCCCTCGCTCAACGCTGTTAAACGCGTTAGTGAGGTCCACTTGGACGATCACAGAGCTGGGACGAGCGGAGGTGAAAGCCCGAGTGGCGTGGATGATTGCCTTCCCGCCGCTCCGAATTGCGACGCCGAACTGAAGTGGCAGAAAGTATTCTTGTGCGGGCTGAGTTGTTGAGATGAGGGCTGCTTTGGCGGTAAGGCGATGGAGGCATTCGCCGATGGCGATGGGGCGTGTTCCGCCATCGGGTTTGCGAAGGGCCAGCAGACGTGACGCGGTTAACAGCCCGCTGACCTCCTGGGGCAGGTTACCGGCGAGGAGCAGCTGCACAATTTCGTGTAGGAGCTTAGCGACGTGCGGATTGGTGAGCGAGGCGTCCCGCAGGTGTTCGAACGTCATCCCCGAAGGACCGGCGCCCACCCCATTTTCGCTACGCGAAAGTAGGCGAATGAAATGGGCGAAGTCGAGCGTCGGTGGGTTGACGTCGTCCAGAGAGGGCCACGTGAGGTCCTCGGTCAACGGCCTCGGGTGTTTGGACTTCAGCGAGTCAAGAACCTCTGGGGTTGACTCGCTGACTGGGGTTGACTGGAGTGCCAGCAGGGCTCGGCGAAGGCTGCCTCTTCGCACCAGCCCCTCAGCTCGGGAGATTTTCCCGAGGTCGTCACGAACGTGGCGAGGGGGTGCGGGCAATGCGACAGCAGCAGCTGCTGACTGGTAGAGGGCGTCCCACTGGCCCGCGAGGAACTGCCGTAGACGAATCTCCATCGCTGGCCAGTCCGGGCGTTTGGGCGATGACATGCGAAGAGTTAGGCGGGGGAGAAATAGTAACAACCGCCAGCCCCCGATTGAGGTTGGATTTTCGCGAGAAAAAGGAGGGGCGTCAGCAGGGCTAACGCGAACAGCTGGCGAATAGTGGGGGTAGTCGCCTTGAAAGAGGGGGCTGGCGACTGTCGCACAACACCGCAATATCCCAGCTGGCTAATTGGGCAAATCGTGAGGCATCGCGGGCCAGTTCCTCTGGGGATAATTGCCTGGCTGCCTGGGAGGGATTGTCCAGCGTGTGTGCAGCTGGTGGGCTCCGCTGCTCGAAGCCCCTGGATCTGGGAGAGGGGTTTCGATTCGCGCTCCCCACCCGCCTCGGTGCCCGTTCCCCCAGTGCGCCACTGGACTCGTCTGTGGTAGATTCCATGTGCGAATCCTGGATATAAGTACCATCTCGTCTTTCTTCCTCATCAGTTGCCTCCCGCAGTCCCATCTCCCTTAAAGCCCTATTCGCAGCTTGCTGGAAGCCATTCAGCGGGCCGCCGTCGCGTTCCAAGTCGCCTGTCCTTAGGCGCCCGCCCCCGCGCCCACCACTACCTCGGCCCCTGGTTCCGCTATCCCCGCCTCCGCCGCGTCCCCTCCGCGTGGCGCTGCCCCGTGCAGCGGGGCGTGGAGTAGGCGGACGTTCGCCACGCTGCCTCGCTGGGCCCGCTCTAGGGCGCATCGGCGAAACGGATGGCTGACCGGGCTGATCGTGCTCGGAGAGAGCGTTCCGTCGACCGCGAGAGTTCGGGGGAGAACGCCCTCCCCCGAGGTCGGTCGAGCTCCCCCCCCCTGACGGACCGGCGGTGGGCACGCGGGCTCCCAGCGCCGTCCACAAGCGCGCCCGCGTCCCCCAGTCGGATGCGGGCGGCGACGCCGCCTCGGTTGGAGGGGCGGGCTGCGGTGGCGGGCGTAGAGGTCCGCCAGTGTCCTCCGGCTGAGTTGTCGACGCCCGCTGAATCCCATGCGGCGGGCCCTCGCCCCCCCCGGTGTTGCCGTCTCGGCCCCATCCGCAACAGCCGCGTGCGCCAAACGGCCCCTCGGGGCGTGGTGGCACGCGCCGGGGGCGGAGGGGGAGCGCACTGGAGAGACGGCTGGCGCGGACTGCCGCAACGTTGGAGGGGATACTCGAGCGGGCTGGCACTGGGCTGCTCCCATCGCCCCCGCAGCGGGAGCCGCCCCGACAGCTCCCCCATCAAACCCAGCCTCTATTTCCGCCGCGAGTCCTTCCACCGACCCTGCCCGACCAGCCTGCACGTGATGGAGCGTTTCCCCCTCCGCTGCGGCCTCCGGCGGCGCTGCTCCCAACTGCGCCGCCGCCTCCGTGGCAGCATGTGCCGCCTGGGGGCCCGTATGCTGCCCTGCACTCCGCTGCGCATCCGCCGCCTGTACCCGCGCCGGTCCTCCCACCCCCGGGGTACTACGACCTGCCCCACCGGTCCCTGCCAGCGCCCCCGATAGGCAGCCCCGCGTCATCCGCCGGTACACTCCCGGAGTGGCGTCCCCCCTCGTCCTGGGCTGGGGCGGTGGAGTGGTCCGATCCCCGGGTGGGGCTCTACCGCGGAGGGGGTGTGGTTGGTCCGTTCGTTCCCCCTCGGCAGCGGGCGCCATCCCCACGGGGTGTAGAGGCGGGGGCAGAAGCAGCGGAGACGGGGGGCGCGGAGTCGCCAGGGGAGGGGTCTCCACGTCGAGCTCATGGGGCCGGGGAGGCGACACGGAGGAGGACGCCGACGGTGGGGCCACTGACGGCGGCTCCTGCGGAGATAACGGTCCCAGCCGCCACACTCCGTCGCCTTGGACACGCTCGGAGGGGGACGGAGATACTGTTGACGATTCTGGCGGCGGCGAGCTCCGCGCTGGGGAGCTCAGGGGGCCAGTCAATGGCCCCGTACTTCCCCCTTCAGGGCTGCATGGAAGCAGCCATAGATCTCGCTGTGGAGGCTGCACGCGCGCGGCCCGGGCCCGCCCGGGGAACAGGCACGGACCCGCACCTTCTCGCCGCTCTCCGCCAGGTGTCGGCGAGCATAGACTCGGCGTCAGCTGCAGGGCTTGTAGCTGGCGCCGTGTCCACGCTGCAGGTCCTGTTGTCATACCAGGCCGTGTTGCTGGAGGAGGCTGGGCTGGCGGCTGTCGCGGAATAGCGGAGCGGCGGGAGTAGGTGCGGCCGGGCGGTGAGTCCTGCAGGCTGAGCGCCCCCGCACGGCGCATCAGGTGCTCCATGTGGGCTTGTGTGTGCTATGGTGGGGCCCGGTAGGCCAATGTCTTATACGCCCGTCAGGTCCTAGTCTAGAGATGGGGGGGCGCCATCATGCCTGCCTTGTACTTGCTGCGATATAGTTGAATGGTGGTCTTGCCACCCCCTCCCGCGCGGCCGAAGGCCGCGCTGCGAGCGTCGGCGGCCGAAGGCCGCCGACGCGAGCCGCCACCAAGGGTTGGAGAAAAGAAAGAACTGGAAACTAAACAGGAAGAATGAGGGAGGGAGAGAGCTTATATAGCTGGAGAGGGACTCATGCTCTCTCTCTCTCTCGCTCTCTCTCTCCTCTCTCTCGCCACCAAGGGTGGGAGAAGATGAAGAACTGGAAACTAAACAGGAAGAATGAGGGAGGGAGAGAGCTTATATAGCTGGAGAGGGACTCATGCTCTCTCTCTCTCTCTCTCTCTCTCTCTCTCTCTTTCTCCCCCTATTCCCTACTTCCCCAGCCTACCCCCCCCCCTTAATAGAAGGGGAAGCAGACTCCCACCCCCCCCCTTGCTCTTCCCCTCTCCCCCCCCCTTAATAGAGGGGGAAGCAGACTGAGTGCGCTTCCCCTCTCCCCCCCCCTTAATAGAGGGGGAAGCAGACTGAGTGCGCTTCCCCTCTCCCCCCCCCTTAATAGAGGGGGAAGCAGACTGAGTGCGCTTCCCCTCTCCCCCCCCCCTTAATAGAGGGGGAAGCAGACTGAGTGCGCTTCCCCTCTCCCCCCCCCTTAATAGAGGGGGAAGCAGACTGAGTGCGCTTCCCCTCTCCCCCCCCCTTAATAGAGGGGGAAGCAGACTGAGTGCGCTTCCCCTCTCCCCCCCCCTTAATAGAGGGGGAAGCAGACTGAGTGCGCTTCCCCTCTCCCCCCCCCTTAATAGAGGGGGAAGCAGACTGAGTGCGCTTCCCCTCTCCCCCCCCCCTTAATAGAGGGGGAAGCAGACTGAGTGCGCTTCCCTCCCCCCCCCCTTAATAGAGGGGGAAGCAGACTGAGTGCGCTTCCCCTCTCCCCCCCCCTTAATAGAGGGGGAAGCAGACTGAGTGCGCTTCCCCTCTCCCCCCCCCTTAATAGAGGGGGAAGCAGACTGAGTGCGCTTCCCCTCTCCCCCCCCTTAATAGAGGGGGAAGCAGACTGAGTGCGCTTCCCCTCTCCCCCCCCCTTAATAGAGGGGGAAGCAGACTGAGTGCGCTTCCCCTCTCCCCCCCCCTTAATAGAGGGGGAAGCAGACTGAGTGCGCTTCCCCTCTCCCCCCCCCTTAATAGAGGGGGAAGCAGACTGAGTGCGCTTCCCCTCTCCCCCCCCCTTAATAGAGGGGGAAGCAGACTGAGTGCGCTTCCCCTCTCCCCCCCCCTTAATAGAGGGGGAAGCAGACTGAGTGCGCTTCCCCTCTCCCCCCCCCTTAATAGAGGGGGAAGCAGACTGAGTGCGCTTCCCCTCTCCCCCCCCCTTAATAGAGGGGGAAGCAGACTGAGTGCGCTTCCCCTCTCCCCCCCCCTTAATAGAGGGGGAAGCAGACTGAGTGCGCTTCCCCTCTCCCCCCCCCTTAATAGAGGGGGAAGCAGACTGAGTGCGCTTCCCCTCTCCCCCCCCCCTTAATAGAGGGGGAAGCAGACTGAGTGCGCTTCCCCTCTCCCCCCCCCCTTAATAGAGGGGGAAGCAGACTGAGTGCGCTTCCCCTCTCCCACCGCCTGAATGGCGGACCCGTCTGTTGTTTCTCCTCTACAATCCTTCTTGGTAGTTCGAGCATGTTCTGACTGGTATTTCCAGGATCCGTTTTCGTTCTCAACGTCCGAATCCCCCCCGCCCCGTCACTCATCCACCCCCCCCCCACGTCTACCCACCTTCCCGCTGCTCTCTGCCTCCCTGCTCTGCCGCGCCCCATGCCTTGGCGCCGCCTGCAGCTGAAGCTGAAGCAGGAGGACCAGTCACGGGTCTCACAGGCGAACAGTCACGTGAGGAGTCAGGGTGCTCGGAGATTAGAATTGTCGGTCAATTCGCGGATCATGGCGGAAGCGAAGTCTCAGGCCCAGGGGTACCGTACCGAAGGTGATCTCACTGATCGAAAAGCAAGTAGCTTACTGATCGCTTGCCGCACTCAGAAGCAGTTTCAGGCCCAAGTGTTGTTACCGCATGAAGTGTGCTGTTGAGTAAAAAGCAAAGTGGGTGATGGGTAGCAGCTGTTGATGAGTAGACATATCACTGAGAGCCTGCTGAGAGCCTGCTCACTTAAATGCAGTTTCAGGCTCAGGGGTACCGGACTGAAGGTTATCTCAGTCACCGGATTCCGGGTGTTTCAGTGGGTGTTGGTGTGATATAAGTTGCGTTTTGAGTCTAAGTTTCGTTTTGAGTCGACTCAAAACGAAACTTATATCACAAGGGTACCGGACTAAAAGTAATCTCACTCACCGGATTCCGTGTGTTTCAGTGGGTATTTTCGCACTGAAGCAGTAGATGCGTGGCCCGAGTGAGGTTCGTCTTTCTTCCTTTCTTTGTTTTCCAGTTTTTTATGTAGAAGCAATCAAGTCTCAGGTAACAGCAGCGAGACGATTTTAGAGTGGACTTAAAAACCACCTTCGGGTAGCAGCAGTGAGACGAACGCAAAGTTGCTGTCTCCCATGTTCGTGCAGCAATTGTCATAAACACGCGTATCTCATTTTCTTCCCTGCCTTTGGATTACATATCGTCTACTTGGATCCATCCAATTACGTCTGCTTTCGTTCCTTCAACATTCACTCCCCTTCATCATCTATCTACCCTTTCGAGGTGACTCTTGAGTCGACTCAGAAGCCACCTCCTTCCTTCAATATTCACTCCTGTTCATCACCCATCTGCCCTTTCGAGGTGACTCTTAGTCGACTCAGAAGCCTTCCTTCAATATTCACTCTCCTTCATCACCCATCTACCCTTTCCTTTCCCATCTCAACCATTCCGTATGTCATATTTCCCGCACCATCTCAAAATTAACTCAAATTTCTTCTTTCCCCGTCCCTCCCTCCCAGCGTCCCACCTGAGGGGCGTGCTGGCAGCGGTGTTGGGCGAGTTTCACGATGCCGACACCATGGACGCCGCTGTTGAAATGGCGCAGCTCTGCCAGCTTCTCGCTGTCTCCGACCCGCATTCGTGAGTGTTAGAGATGCCCTAGAGCATGACAGTTGACGCCACGGACGCTGCTGCTGAGACGGCGCAGCTCTGCCAGCTGCTACCCGTGAATTTCCCGCACTCGCGCGTTTGTGCACACATGCCCGTTTCCAACCCCCCCCCCACCCCAGTCTGCCAAGTGCCGCGCCACAACTGCCCATCCGGAGTGAAACTGCCACATCCCGTCCCCCCCCTCTTCCCCTCCCCTCCCTCCCTCTCCCAGCCTCCCCAGGGCCGTGACCCACCTGTCAACCCGCGCATGGCACTGCCAGAAGCTGCGGTTGCCACTCACGCACCCACCTCCTTTCCACCTCTTCCCGTGCTCGTCTCCCCCCCCAGCTCTCCAACCTTCCCAGTGCTGCGACCCACCTATCAACGCGTGCGTGGCACTGCCAGCAGCTGCTGCGGCAACTCACCCACCTCCCTCGTGCACGGCTCTCCTCTCTGTGCCCTTCCCACTGCCAGTATCCCCAGCGCTGTGACCCACCTATCAACGCGCGCGTGGCACTGCCAGCAGCTGCTGCAGCAGATGAAACAGACCCAGGCGGGCTTGCAGGCGAGAGCGGAGGAGGTGGCTGCTCTTGCTGAGTGCGTTGAGAGGTAAGGGTGGGATATCAAGTGCTTCGGGGTAAGGCCCGGCCTGGACCACCAGGAGGGGTAGGCAGACCCATGCGTCCCTGCCTCGAGGGGTGTGGATGGAAGAAACGGACTGCTCTCGTCCCGCGTCCTCCCCGGGGTTACTTTCAGCCTTTTTTCCTTTCGCGCTTCTCCTGAACCCCTGCTTCGGGAATTTTCTCTGTGCCGCCTGCCTACTCCACCTGCCTCGTCCCACCCTCTTGTTACTCCCTCGCACTCTCGTGAATCTGTTTCCCTTCCCCTCGTGTCCTTGTTTTTGTTATTGTGCGTTCTGCTCTTTCCCCGCTCTCGTTGCTTGCCGGATTGTGTTGCCAGCTGGAAGGCGCAGCTGCCATCGGACGATGACATCAGCAGGGCCACGGATGACGTGGCAGACAGGACGAGGAGAATGGCGCAGGAGCAGCAGCAGCTGAGCCTGCAGCGGTCCGCGGCTCAGGTGGGGAAGGATGAAGGGGGGAAGGAGGAGGGGCGGGAAGAGAGGGGGGGATATTTATGGGGTATTTTGAGAATTCTCAAAAATACCCTGCAAATTAGAGGGGGGGATATTTATAGGGTGCATGCAGGTTACAGATGGAAAACAGGGAAGGGTGCATGGTGCAGGGGCAGGGGGGGGGAAGGGGGGGGGGGAGTGGTTGATAAAATGGGGGAGGTTGGGGTCAGGAGGAAGAAGAATGGGGACATTGGGGGAAGAATGGGGGCATTGGGGGAAGAATGGGGGCATTGGGGGAAGAATGGGGGCATTGGGGGAAGAATGGGGGCATTGGGGGAAGGATGGGGGCATTGGGGGAAGAATGGGGACATTGGGGGAAGGGTGGGGGCATTGGGGGAAGGATGGGGGCAATGGGGGAAGAATGGGGGCATTGGGGGAAGGATGGGGGCATTGGGGGAAGAATGGGGGCATTAGGGGAAGAAGGATGGATTGCTGGCTCCTTCTCGCCTCTCCTCTGGAAGTCGTCACTCATGGTCTTGGGAAGAGCAGCAGTGCGAAGTCAGTCGCTTGAGCAACAAGAACGAGAGTAAAAAATCCTAGGCAGAGATTTGCTTCGTAAAAACTCTTCACTCAAATTTACCAGGTCACAAACATGTTTCGGCTTACGGGGATCAAACCCGCCGAGCCTTCATCAGTGCTACTGGACATAAGAGATCACGAGTCTAGGCATGAGCTAAGTAACAACCCACACCCTCCAAAACAATTCTCAAGATTATCAACTACCCAGATTGCCTATCAATGGGCATTCGCCAACACAGCAGTGGGTAAAAACCCGAGGTTGCAGGTGTCAGTCTTCAGGAGGGTCTTCTTCCGAACTGTCGATAAGCCTTGGTAACTTGGCTCGCACAAGTAACTTTTGAAGGTTACGTGCACACCTCCATGCAATGAAAATATTCCCCATATAAAATCCGCGTGAGTTGAGACGATTTTTGAGGCGCCTCAAAAGGACCCCCAGCCTGAGACGTGCTGTTAACGGAGTAAACAGCGTCTTCAAGACAAGGGGCCCGCGGTCAGGGGGAGTAGAAATTCGGTGTGCCTGGCGAGCTTCAGTCTGCTCCAATAGGAGCGGGCGTTGTCGGAAGAGAACACTCTGGAAGATGGGTGTCAGAAAATCAGCCGGATAACCCCGATCTCTTAGCCGCTGGAAGAAAGCACGCTTAGAAGCAAAGTAGGTTTGAGCAGATGACGAGCGCAAGAGGTAACGCTTCAGCTCCGCCCGTATGAAACCTATCTTGCAGTGTCGGGGGTGGAATGACGAAAAAGGCAGGTACAGGTACCGGTTCATCGGTTTCTGAAAAGTTTTCAGATCCAGGGTACCCTGCTCGGCAAAACGTTGACCCTTGAAGATGACCAGGTCGAGGAAGTCAGCCGAACTGTCTGAAATGTGCCACGTGAGCTTGATGTTTGGATCGAGCGTGTTGAAAGTGTTCAGGTACTCCTCCAATTCGCTCTTCGATCCGGGCCAAATTATTAACCCGTCGTCGATGTAGCGCACGTGGCACAATGGTGTAGTTCCAGACCACCGCCTTGAAAGAATCTCGTCCAGCCAGCTCATGAAGAGGACAGCAAAGCATACTGCAGCAGGAGTTCCCATAGTAGTCCCTTGTGTCTGCTGGTAGATTCGGCTGTTGAACTCCACGAAAGAATTCATCATGACCCATTCCAGCAAGGCCATGACTGGTTGAGAATTCACGATTCTCCCTCGTTGAAGAAAATTGCCCACCGCATCGAGCCCTCGCCTTAGTGGGATGCTGGGATAAAGCGAGGTGACGTCGTACGTAGCTAGAAGTATTCCTTTAGGAAAGGCGGTCTTTTCCAGCATCAGTAGCAATGAGAGGGAGTCGCGCAGGTAGGTTGGCTGTTGAAGCACCAGTGGTCGAAGTTCCGCGTCCAACCAACGGCTAACATTCGAAGTCACCCATGAATGCGAAGCTGCGATAGGCCGCCCCGCGAGTTTCTTCTTGTGTAGCTTCAGAAGGATGTAGAACGCCGCCGGTCGCCATCCTCCGCGCGGTTTGTCAAAGAAAAATTTCCAAAGGCTCTCGGGAAAAGCAGGTCCCCACACGCTTTGCAGATCACGCAGCTTCCGCACGACGTCGGCGGTAGGATCTCGATGAACTGGAGTGTAGGTCGTCGCGTCGTCAAGATGGTCGAGATAGAGGCGAACGTAGTGACTCCGGTCCATGACAGTGATCCCGACGTTTTTGTCGGCAGGTTTCACTACCACGTGTCGATCCGCAGCGATGGAGCGCAGCGCCCGTCGAACACCAGACGAGATGTTCTGATGTCGGATCGGGCGGGTTGCCTTCAACAGGAAGGACAAGTCGAATGACGAATCCTTGAAGACCTGCTCTGGAATTTGAATCCGATCAGGAAGCCAGTCGGGATTCCGCACTCGAAAGCGCGAGTCCCCCTTCCGACCGCCGTCATCCTTGAAGAAAAGTCGAAGCGAAATCTGGCGTAGAAGCTGGTCGAGCTCCACAGCACCAGACAGAGAAACGGCAGGCGTTGGAATGAACTTCAGTCCCAACCCCAGCCCCTTCTTCTCGTCCGAAGACAAGACCTTGGAGCTAAGGTTATGTACTCCCCGGTTCCGGATCCGTGTCGACAGCTGCCGCACTGTCAACCGTCCGAACCAGCGGAGCGCCAAGTCGTGACTGGTTAGTTCTTGCGCGGCCCTTTTCCGGGGCCGCCTCCGCCGTTTTTTGGTCCCTTGGCCTTCTCAGATGTCTGGCCACCCGCTTGCTGGTATTTGTCGGTGCCGTTCTTCTTTTTGTTCTTCTTACCCCCGCGTTTCTTCTTCGGCTTCGAGTCCGTTGCCGTATTAGCCGAGAGGCGCTCCTGAGGATCAGGAGTGAAGGGCTTCGACGTTCCGGCAGACGATTTCTTTTGCTTCGAGTCAACAGCGGGGGCCCGGGAGGAGTCCTGTGCTCCGAGAGAAAGATTTTTCAGCAGCTTCTTCATCAGATTGGATTCAATTTTTGGCGCGAGCTCCCTCCAAAACTTGTCTTCAATCCGCTTCGTGTGCTTGTCCATAATCTTCTCAATCCCGGTCTCGGTTTCCATGTCATGCACCTCCTCGGACGCAGCAGCCTTCTTCAATTCTTCAGCAGCTACCTTCCGCTGTCGATCCAGCTCCTTGATGACGATGTCATCTTTCGCAGCTGCGATGTCGGAATTCGCCTTCGCAATGCATCTCCCCTTGAGCAGTCGAAACTTCTCCTTGGCGGTATCAGAAACCACCAGATCGGGGTTAGTGCTCAGGCTTTGAATATAATCTTCCATCGTTGCAGCTAGAGCGGTGACGTGCGAATTCGCCGCTGTCTGCAGCTCTTCAACCTCCAGTGCCTTTGAGGCGATGAAGTCCGCCTGCAGCCGTTTCTGGTTCGCCTCGTGAATCGCGGCGACGGATGCAGCAGATTTCTCTTTAACGGACGGAAGCTTCGTTTGGAACTCGACAGCCTTGGTGCGGATGCTGTGAAGCAAAACACCTTGAGCATCGAGATCCTTCATCTTCTTGAGCTTCTCTTTCGCCTTCAGCAAAGTCTTGAAGTCGTCGCGAAAGCTTTTGACAGCCGACTCCGTCCATCCCTTGAAAGGTTGAGGGATTAGAGAGGTGTCGGCAGCTTCCGCCATGACGCTTAGACGACTTGTCGACGGGCCGGTGGGATGAGCTTCAGCTTGCTTGCTTAGTAGAGTGGGTTCGTAGGTCAATGCCAGTGGAGGGATTCTCTTCCCAGCTCCAGATCGCCTGGCGTGTCTTGCGGAGCGTGATGATCCTCCCTCCCCACGAACGCGCTTAACCGAGCTGCGACCACTTGTACCGGCTTCTTCCTCGTCGGATGGAATCCAATCGAAGTCCCACGGGTCGTCGTCACTCATGGTCTTGGGAAGAGCAGCAGTGCGAAGTCAGTCGCTTGAGCAACAAGAACGAGAGTAAAAAATCCTAGGCAGAGATTTGCTTCGTAAAAACTCTTCACTCAAATTTACCAGGTCGCAAACATGTTTCGGCTTACGGGGATCAAACCCGCCGAGCCTTCATCAGTGCTACTGGACATAAGAGATCACGAGTCTAGGCATGAGCTAAGTAACAACCCACACCCTCCAAAACAATTCTCAAGATTATCAACTACCCAGATTGCCTATCAATGGGCATTCGCCAACACAGCAGTGGGTAAAAACCCGAGGTTGCAGGTGTCAGTCTTCAGGAGGGTCTTCTTCCGAACTGTCGATAAGCCTTGGTAACTTGGCTCGCACAAGTAACTTTTGAAGGTTACGTGCACACCTCCATGCAATGAAAATATTCCCCATGTAAAATCCGCGTGAGTTGAGACGATTTTTTAGGCGCCTAAAAAATTGGCTCCTTCTCGCCTCTCCTCTGGAAGTGGTTCAGAAGCTGGTCAACAGTGAACACCCCCGCCACCCCCTTTCTCTTCCCCCCTCCCCTCCCCTTCCCTTCCCTCTCCTCCTCCCTCTTCCCTCTTCCTGCAGGGCTCTCTCGAGGCGGCAAGCTACAGTGCTGATGTGGACATGGCCGCCCTGCTACAGCTGGCAGAGGAGGTGCAGGGGGAGGAGGAAGCGGTGGGGCGGCTGCAGCAGGATCTCGCGATCTACTCTGACTTGCCCACGGTACTGTGTGGTGTGGTGCTGTGAAGTGCAGCTTGGTGTGGTGAGATGTGCTGCAATGCTGTGACGGGTAATGGGAGGTGCAGGGGGAGGAGGAGGAGGAGGCAGTGGGGCGGCTGCGGCAGCAATACCTGGCAGTCTACTCTGACTCGCCCATGGCGCAGTGGTGTGGTGTGGTGTGGTGTGGTGTGGTGTGGTGTGGTGTGGTCATGTAAGGGTATCAGCAAGCGAGCTCTGTATCCTTTGTACCCATCTCGCTTCCTCTCCCCCTCAGGATGTGCCCCTGGCTCGTAAACACCTGGAGAGGGAGAGGGAGAGGCTGCTAGCACTGTCGAAGAAGCATTGTCTATCAGACTTAAACGGCGTGCCACCATCCCTCTGTATCCCTCTGCACCCGTCTGGACCCCTCTGTACCTCACTTTATCCCTCTACCTCTCTCCCTCAAGATGTCACCCTGGCTCGCAAACACCTCGCGAGGGAGGGGGAGAGGCTGTGAGCCCTCTCAAAGAAGCACCGTCTATCACATTGTAGTGGGGTGCCACTGTCCCTCTGAACTTCTCTTTATCTCTCGGTACCCCTCTGAATCCCTCTGTATCCCTCTGAACACCTCTGTATCCCGCTGTCCCTCTCCCCATCAAGACATCACCTGGCAAGGGAGAAAGAGAAGCTGCAAACTCTATTTAAGATGAACAGTCCATCAGATTTTAATGGCGTTCCACTGTCCCTCTGCATCTCTCTGAATTCCTCTGAATTCCTCTGTATCCCTCTGTATCCCTCTGCCTCTTCCCCTCAGCACATCACCCTGGCTCACACACACCTGCTGAGGGAGAGGGAGAGGCTGCGACTCAGCCTCAGTCTATCAGATTGTCATGGCGTGCCACTGCCCCTCGGTATCCTACTACAACCCTTTGTATCTCTCTGTATCCCTCTCTACCTCTCTGCCTCTCCCCCTCAGGACATCACCCTGGCTCACAAACACCTGGCGAGGGAGAGGGAGAGGCTGCGAGCGCTGTCAAAGAAGCTGCAGGCGTGGAGCATGGGGGAGATAGACGAGGGTGAGGGGCAGGAGGGTTACGTGCCTCCGTCTCCTGGGGAGGAAGAGACGGTGGGGGCGTGGGGCATGGGGGACGTGGGGGGGAGTGGGGGGCCTGTGGTGCCGTCTCCTGGATTCTAGGGGCGCAGGAGTCAGTTCAGCTCAGAAGCCACCTGGCGAGGGAAAGGCAGAGGCTGCGAGTTCTGTTGAGGAAGCTGCAGATGTGGAGCTTGGGGCAGCTGGAGGAGGGTGCGGGGCGTTAGGGGCATGAGGGGCATGAGGGGCATGAGGAGCATGGGGGGCATGAGGAGCATGAGGAGCATGGGGGGCATGAGGGGCCTGAGGGGTGTGAGGGCCGTGAGGGGCATTTTGGAGATGGAAGCCACCTGGCAAGGGAGAGGTAGAGGCTGTCAGGCTGTCGAAGAAGCATGGGGGAGATAGAGAGCCTGGGGTACGGGCCCAGGTCCCCAGGGGAGTGGGCCACGGGCAAGCTGGAGGACCTGAGCTGCCGAGACCCGGGGTCTAGGAGTGCAAGAGTTGGGCACATGGTGAGGGGCCTAGCGAAGCTGCAGCGTGGAGCATGGGGGGGCCGTGGGAGGGGCAGGGGCTCGCACTGAGGAGAAGGGGGGCTCGTATGGCTGTCCTGTCCTGGGTTCTAGGTCTACCGGAGCCTGTTCAAAGGGTGCCTGGTCGGGTGTTGAGGGGGGGCGGGGAGAGGGGGAGAAGAACTGTGTGCATGGGCGAGCTTGAGGAAGCCGAGGGCACGTGCTGCTGCTGTTTTCAGGGACCAGAAAACCTAGAAACGCATGCCATTATCGGTAGGTTTCAACTCCAATGAATGAATCGAGGTGCAGGCAAGAGTACAGTGTACACTTCATCCATAGCATGTCAGTCAGGGTGTGTCCAGCGCGTGCGTCTTTTTGTCAAAACCCTACCCAACCATTTTAGATTTGTTATCGATCTTTCTGACCAGTGAGGCACCTCACCTCACCCTACCGCAATCAAACGTACCGGTATGTGCCAGACACACCCTCAGAGTTCGTTCTAGATATGCTGCTGTGTGTTTCCACATAACCCAACCGTTGACTGAAATAAGCAATTACTATGTCAGTGTATGTACAGTACAGGATGATATGAAGAACAAGCTTCTGCCAACCAACCCTTTCATGCCCCGGGAACCACAACACCCAGACCACCGAGGCGACTTCTGAGGCGCATTCATCCTTGTCAGCGTGTCACCGGAAATGAGGACAAGCACCTCCCGTCCCGTCATCCCTCCCCTTCTTGCTTCTGGAATCGCGACGCCCTGACCACCTTCCCCGCTCCCTTGCCATGAGAGTGCGGGGACACTGGCGCCCTCCCCACGTGCCCTGGGAAACCACCACCACCAGCCAAGGGCGGCAACGGGGAGGGTGAACTGCAGTGGGGGGAGTTGGGCCTGGCTGCTCCCAGGTGGGATATAGGGGAGGCGCAACCACTGGAGGGGTGTTCCAGGGGAGGCAGGAGCTGGCTTGGGGAGAGCAGGCTGGGGGGTTGCAGGCTTGAAGGGAGCAGGCCTGGGGCGGGTTGTTTGTGGGCAAGCTGTGTACTGGAGATGTGGGAGGGGGGTGGGAGGGAGGGTGAGTGGAGCGAGGAGAGAAGTGTGGGGGAGAAGCAGGAGGACGGGGAGGAGGTGGAAGAAGCAGGGGAGGAGGAGGAGGAGGATGATGGAGAAAAGGAAGCAACGAGGGGGGAGTCAAAGGAGGAGGAGGAGGAGAGGGAGCCTGCAGTGGGCATGGGGGACTCTGAGGAGGGGGAGGGAGAGAAGGGGGAGTGAGGAGAGTTGGTGCAGCTTTTGCTGCTGCTGCTGCTTGAAAGGATGGAGATGGAGAGGGCTTTAAAGTTGAGCAGACCAAACCTGCGACTGCTGCTGCTGCCGCTGCTGCTGCCACTGCTGGCCCTGCTACTGCTGCTGGTGCTTCCACAGCTGCTGCTGATGCTGCTAGTGCTGCTGCCACTGCTGGCAGTCACCTCCTGATCCTTCCAGGAAGCATCCAGTGGTGCAGAGAACGGCTGGGGTAACGAATTCCAGAGGGAATTAGCCCTTGCATGCACCCAGGGCAATGGGCTAGGGTTTCTTCCAGCTATACACTCAGGCTTTGGCTCAACGCAAGAGGAACTAGTCCCACTCAAGTTGCTGCCTGGTAAACTCTCTCTGCTGCGCTGCCGCTCTCTGCTGCTCATACTCTTTAAAAGCGCTCTGGTTCTGCTACTGCTGCCACCTTGCGCGCTTTCCTGTGCAAGAGTACCAGCACTCCTCATACCATCACCGAAGCTGGCCTTTAAAGGGGATGGGGAGCACACGCGAGCAGCAGCACCTCCTGTATTTCCAGCACTGACCGAAGGAGTCGTATTTGGTGACTGGGCAGCTGAAAACGATCCTTTTCGGGCAGAGGCTGTAGCCGAAACTGTAGCAGGAGAGAGGGAAGGCAGGGGCATGCACAAATCCATGGTGCGGCGACGGGCGTGGCCGGGCCGAGACGAGACTGTAACAGGTGAGGTTATATTTGAATTTACTGTAACGGATGTGACTGTAGTGGGTGATTCGGCGGATTTGGTGGTGGGCGTGGTGGTGAGAGAGAGGAGGGGAGCGGGCAAGGAGGGGGAGAAGGGGGAGCGAGGGAGGGAGAGGGAGAGGGGTGAGAAGAAGCAGCGGGGGGAGTCCCAAAACGCCTCCTTGGCTTCACCCTCACTGTCGGCACTGTCAGCGCTGGTGGTGCTGCTAGGGGAGTCTGGGGAACAGTTAGTGTCACCCTCGTTACAGTCACCGCTGCTAACCACCCTATCACCACCTAAATAATCAGGTTTCAGTTGGGGGATATTATCAGTCCCGGTAGTGCCTTTTCCGTTACACGCTTCCCCCTCTTCCGCCTCCTCCCCCCCCTGCCTCTCCGCCTGCTCCGCTTCCCCGCCCCACCAAACCACCCTCCCCCCCCCTGTCCCCGTCTCCGTGTGGGAGTAGCACCGCCTCAGAGCCCTGCCAGCTGGCACTGCCACGTGGCACGCTCCCACAGGCTGGTCAACCGCGCTGACCCCTACACCTCCTCCTGCTGCGCCTCCCCCTGCCGCGTACTCCGCCAGGCGCGCCCTTGCGAGACTGAGGCTGCGCATGTGGTCACGGGGGAGGGCGGAGGCTGAGGCGGAGGCGGAGGCGGAAGGATAAGGGGAGGGATCGGCCCTCAGCCAGCCAGCGGGGGAAACAGCGGCGGTGGCGGAAAGGTTTCTGCGACGATGCGCCGCGCGCTGGTGCTGCTGCGACGGCTGTAGCTGCGATTGTTGTAGCTGCGAACGCTGAAGCTGGAGCTTGTTTTGACGTAGCGTGTGCTCTAGGGAGGCCCATTCAGCGCTCGTTGTAACGGGCCAACCAGCGATGGGTGCGTCACCCACAAGCGAGTCAGCCAATATCGGAGCATCGCCGAAGATTTCCGTGCGACTGCGCGCGTGACGAGGCGCGACGGGCCGGTCGCGCATGGGGGTGGTCGTGCGAAGGAATTGGCGGCGGTGCGCGACGGAGGAGCTTGTCGCCGGCGGTCGCTGAGCAGGTTGTACGTGAGAGGGAGCGGCCGAAGGATCGTTTGAGCGCGATATGGTGGGAGTCAGCGGTCTCCGAACTTGCTGGTTACCACTGCAGGGCAAGTCTTGCCTTGGCGAAGAAATCTGCGGGTTGGCGAACACGAGCGAGAGCGACCGAATATGAGAAGATCTGACAACTCCATCGGACGAAAACCGTTTGCTTTCGTTTGCAGCCGAAACCACCGCGGACAGGTTACCACTGTAACTGGAACCCACATCCGACCCGTTACACATAATGTCGTCGTTGCTAGAAAAAGTTCGCCAACTGCCCCCGGCGACGCTACTGCCCTCCACGCTACTGCTGATACTTGCACCGCTGGTACAGTAAATTTCGCGGCTTCGAATATCCTCGATATTGCAGCTGCTATTGTAGCTACTGCTGCTCCCCCTGCTGCTGCTTCTCCAATCGCCGACCGTTTCAGAAGCAGCAGCACCGAAGGAGAGACCATCGCGGTTCGAGAGATAATATGTCCCGCCCAATCGCAAGACCGTCTGAGGAGGGAGGATCGCGCCTTGAGGCTTCAACTCCTTATCTTGGGCTCTCGAGTCGCAGCCGTCGCACGCTCTCCCTTCGCACATTTCGCCAGCGACGATCACCGTGCAGCTGACGATGAGATCGGGGAAGTCGCAGGCGAGCTGTGCGACGGTCAGCTCCTCAGTGTACAAGCGCGCCGAGCCGTCGGGAAGCACCAGGAGCACGGCGGAGGGGGAAGCGGGGCTCGAGTGGCGGAAGGGGAGCGACCAGGTCGCGGCGCAAGGCGAGGGGGAGCGCTGGCGGGAAGTGGGATCGGCGGAGGCAGAAGCTAGTGGGGAATGCTCCGCCTTGGCGGAGTCGATAGCAGCAGCCATACTCGAACGAGGTTTCAGGGGAGCAGATCGACAAATGCTAATCTCGCTGCATGTGTGCTCGCGCGCTTCTTATTTGGGATTGACGTGGCGCGTTACTGGCTGGCGCTGCACGACAGCAGGAGAGTGAGACTGAGCAGCAGTGGTGGAGGAGATCACAGGAAACGCCTACAGCAATATGTGCTCTTGGCATGATTGCTCGTGCCGCGTTCCTTCCGAAATAAAGAAACGGACTGAGGTGGTGAGAGGAGGTGAACGTTATGAAGAGGAAAGTGGTTGAATCTACGACATGGACGTTCGTCACTTGCGAATACACGGTAGGTGTACGGTAAAGCAATGCTGCTCCATATTGCTGCTCGCTCTCCCAGACAGCTCCTGCTCGATTGTGGGCTCTCTGGTTTGCAAGTTCCAACACTTCTCAACATCCGCGAATGGGTGTAAGCGAGGCGAGGCGAGAGTTAGGCGACGCGAGGAGAGGAGAAGCGATGCGAAATAACCACACACCGCCCATGAAAAACTGTAACCGCTGCCACCCGCTCCCAGCCAATTGGAGAAGAGCCACATGCGCTTCAAGGTGCAGAATTTGGGAATGAAGCTGAGCAATTAGATGCGAGCCGACCATGCAGGCTTTTCGTAAAAAGCATACTCGACGATTTTATATGCCCATGATTACAGCCCCAAACCAAAAACAATTCAAAACAATTTTGGTTGGGTCTTGGTGAAATGAAAGTTATTTTCGCACTGGCTGACTGCCCATGATTCCTATTGTGCTGTGTACAAAAGTACTCGTGGAAATTGGGGGTTAAGCCCGGCTCCATGCCCGGCTCCATGGGGTGGGCTAGAAGTACGGTCAGCGGATCGGTCGGTGCATTGTCGTAACCTGGGCTTCCCAGGCACAGTAGCGGGCGGGTGGAACGCATATGCTATGCACTCACTCACCCTATTCTCCGCATGCGTTACACAGTTCCACCCGAGATCGCAAATATCGCCGAAGAAACACCTCGCCAGCCCCCAGACCTTCGCCAGATGGTTGTCCATGGCGTGGCTTCCACAGCTCCCTCCCTCCATTCCAGCCAAACCAAGGTTTAGGTTTGACCCCATGTCACATCACACACCTTCCCGCTAACATTTCCACTTCACCATAGCTCGTTCTTTCGCTGGTTGCCGACTCTCGGATGGCGGAGTCGAGGGGAGAATCTAGCAACTGTGCGATCAAGCCGTCAGCGTCGATGGCGGCAAGCAGAGAGTTACTCACCGTCGGCGGCGATTCCTTGCCTTTCTGTACGTCATCCTTTCGCCGAGCAGTCGCCTCCACGTTTCCACCTTCCAGCCTATATCGAGCGCAATAGGGGGTTCACGTCGCCACCATGAATATATCCGTTCCCACGCGTGAGGAGTCTATTTTTTAGGCGCCTCAAAAACCACGCGTGAGGAGTCTATTTTTGAGGCGCCTCTAAAACCACGCGTGAGGAGTCTAGTTTTGAGGCGCCTCAAAAATAGACGTCGCCACCATTAATATATCCGTTTCCACTTTCCCTTCTGAACCCAAGCTTAATCTGCCTCCTCTCACCATCCCTTCGCGATTTTGTTATTGTCGACTGAAGATAACCATCCCTCCGGTTCTCCTCCCCGCACCTATAACCCTCCAGTGGAGCGTCTCTTGAAGCAACCATGCAGAACGAACCAGCGCGCGCAGAAGCCGCCGCAGAATCCGCCAGGCGCGGGGCAAGCACCGCCATCGATGTTCACGACGCCCGTTGCGGAGAGCTCAGGTTCGTTGCGGCGCGAACATGAAGGGTTTGCCAAGGTTCGGGGTTCAGGCTTATACATAATACAGGATGCAAATGTGATACGGATATGCAATTCGGGTACAAATGCAATGCACCACGCTACCTGCCAGGCTGCTCAGTTCCGCTTGATAGAAACCTGGTGACTCTTTGGGTGCATATTGAAGAGGCTTATAAAGGGTTCAAATGCAAGTCTCCACGCCACCTACGAGGCTGGCTGCTCTGTGCCGCTTAAGGGAAACCTGGTGACATGCCAGGCTTACAAAGGGTACAAATACATTACACCACGCCACCTACCGTCCTGCTCCGTGTTGCCTAACAGCGACCTGTAAGCTGCTGGGGAGAGGGTTATCAAGTGTTCCGAGGTTAAAGAGTACCCGGATCAGCACATGTGTAGATATTGCATGCCTATCCGAATCCCCGCCAAGCTTCTTGCTAAACTATCCTCTAAGTCCTTTCTCTCCTTCCCCTTTCCATTGTGCTGGTGTGCTGACCTACTGCTGCTAGCCTCGTCCCTGCCATTTCTGCTCTAGAGGACATCACTCGAAGCAACAAGGCGGCAGTGAGTGCTCTCTCTCTCTCTCTCTCTCTCTCTCTCTCTCTCTCTCTCTCTCTCTCTCTCTCTCTCTCTCTCTCTCTCTCTCAAGCGGTCCATGTATTGATTGAGAACGTTGTACATACTAAACAAGTGGGCAGACTTCAAACCATATCGAAGGTACGTGCATGCTGGGGATGGGCAGCCGGACTACTGGAGCTCCCCGAGGGGCTCCGCTATGGCAAAACAGTCCCCTAGGCCCATGATGGCGTCAGGGGTACCCACGGGGGGGTACTCTGCCGGGGCAGCCTCGTTGACTTTTCCGAGGTAGGCCAGGGCCTGTGCCCGCTGGAGCGTGATGGACCAGCGCTGGCGGAACTGATGCAGCAGCTTCGCCGCCTGGTAGGAGCTCGGGTCCGCGTTGAAAAGCCGCCTTGCCCCTGTGTCCGCCAGGAGCTTCAGAAAGCTGGGGACCTCGGCGCAGGGGCAGCCATAGGTCTCCACGGCCAAGGGGAAGAAGCCAACATAAGGTGCGCGGTTACGGTAGTGATCAATCTTCTTATCGGCCTGTTCCCGGGCCATATATCCCCGCCCCTTGCGTGCGTGCGGGTCCCGGGTGCTGATGGGGTCCGTGACAGTGACGTCACAGATCCAGACGGCACCGGAGTCTCTGTCGCGCATGGCGAGGTCGGCCTTATGGCCGTCCACCGGGCTGTAGGTAGTGGTCTCCTTGGTAACGATGAACCCGGCATCTCGCGCCATACGAATGCACTCATCGCGGAGTGCGTTGTGGGTGTCTGTCCGGCCATGTCCCGTGCCGCAGCGGAAGAGGTGGTTGGGCAGCCGGGGGTCAGGGATCTCAGTCTCGTCTGCGCAGTTGCAGTTGCGTGGGGCTGGGAAAGGGAGGCCGAGGCGGAAGGCGAGGGCGATGGCAAAGTGCGGTGGTCCGAGGCGGAGAGAGGGGAAGATGGGGATGGCATGGATCCAATCCCCTGCCCCGTAGCCTGCAAGGGAGAACAGACGCTGGGTGTGGCCGGAGCTGGGGTTCAGCTCCATCCCGCGGGACGCTGCCACCTGGTCCGCATATCGGGCGGCGTGGACTTCTAGGGAGAGCCGGTGCTGGAGGGGGTTTCCGGATGGTTCCTGGCGTTCGGAGCGCAGGAGCTCTAGTGCATGGGTAGGCATGGCTGCCTCACACCCCGCCAGCCAGGTATGGAGATGGTTGGGGCTGGAGAAGGGGGGGGTGAGGGGGCGCAGTGCGGACGCCAGGGGCCCATCGGCTGCTGCTGGCAGGGCGGCGAGGAGGTGCTGCGCCTGGGTGACGCTGGTCAGGAAGGCTGGGGGGCCTTCAATGGCAGGATCGGAGAGGCCCAGCCCGCCGAGCGAGGGCGGAAGTGAGGCTTGGGCCCAGGTGCGCGCGCGTTCGGCTTCCCCTCGAGGAAGTTGGAGGTTGCACGCGTGAAGGAGGGTGTGGAAAAGCCCCCGTCCCCACTCCGACCACTCGGGTTGTGGGAGGAAATCCAGGGGCGTGGTGCGGGTCAGGTAACTGACCCGCCGCGAGATGCAGCGCGTAAGGAGGAGCGACGCTATTTGGGGGTCCATGGAGGCGATGGTGGGGAGTGGTTCGGCCAGCGAGGCCAGCTGGGCGCGGAGGAAACCAGCTGAGCCCTCCGCTGTCCCGACAAAACTCCCCAGCACCCGTAGCCCCGCGCTGTGGAAGGGGACGTCCGGGGGAATGGCGTCGGGCGGGGGAGGGGTGGGGGACCACGCACCACATTTCGAGGGGTTGTGCGTGAGGCCGATGGCCCCGACTGCGCCCGTGAAGTGGTGGAAGGCCGCTGTGCAGGCGGCCGGATCACCCACGAACGTCACGTCGTCCGCGTAGGCTAGACAGAGGACGTCGGGGTGGGCGACAGCTGTTGATTGGAGCGCGGGGTGGATGGCTGCGGCGAAGAGCAGGGGGCCCATGGGGTCCCCTTGTCGAACGCCCCGTGCACTCTGGAGTGGGGGGCTGGCGAAACCGTCATCGAGGTAGAGGAGCGAGGGGGAGCCGTAGGAGAAACGGATAAACGGTAACAGCGAACGAAGGGGCGAGGCGTCGATAGCGGTGATGATTGCCCCTCGCTCAACGCTGTTAAACGCGTTAGTGAGGTCCACTTGGACGATCACAGAGCTGGGACGAGCGGAGGTGAAAGCCCGAGTGGCGTGGATGATTGCCTTCCCGCCGCTCCGAATTGCGACGCCGAACTGAAGTGGCAGAAAGTATTCTTGTGCGGGCTGAGTTGTTGAGATGAGGGCTGCTTTGGCGGTAAGGCGATGGAGGCATTCGCCGATGGCGATGGGGCGTGTTCCGCCATCGGGTTTGCGAAGGGCCAGCAGACGTGACGCGGTTAACAGCCCGCTGACCTCCTGGGGCAGGTTACCGGCGAGGAGCAGCTGCACAATTTCGTGTAGGAGCTTAGCGACGTGCGGATTGGTGAGCGAGGCGTCCCGCAGGTGTTCGAACGTCATCCCCGAAGGACCGGCGCCCACCCCATTTTCGCTACGCGAAAGTAGGCGAATGAAATGGGCGAAGTCGAGCGTCGGTGGGTTGACGTCGTCCAGAGAGGGCCACGTGAGGTCCTCGGTCAACGGCCTCGGGTGTTTGGACTTCAGCGAGTCAAGAACCTCTGGGGTTGACTCGCTGACTGGGGTTGACTGGAGTGCCAGCAGGGCTCGGCGAAGGCTGCCTCTTCGCACCAGCCCCTCAGCTCGGGAGATTTTCCCGAGGTCGTCACGAACGTGGCGAGGGGGTGCGGGCAATGCGACAGCAGCAGCTGCTGACTGGTAGAGGGCGTCCCACTGGCCCGCGAGGAACTGCCGTAGACGAATCTCCATCGCTGGCCAGTCCGGGCGTTTGGGCGATGACATGCGAAGAGTTAGGCGGGGGAGAAATAGTAACAACCGCCAGCCCCCGATTGAGGTTGGATTTTTCGCGAGAAAAAGGAGGGGCGTCAGCAGGGCTAACGCGAACAGCTGGCGAATAGTGGGGGGTAGTCGCCTTGAAAGAGGGGGCTGGCGACTGTCGCACAACACCGCAATATCCCAGCTGGCTAATTGGGCAAATCGTGAGGCATCGCGGGCCAGTTCCTCTGGGGATAATTGCCTGGCTGCCTGGGAGGGATTGTCCAGCGTGTGTGCAGCTGGTGGGCTCCGCTGCTCGAAGCCCCTGGATCTGGGAGAGGGGTTTCGATTCGCGCTCCCCACCCGCCTCGGTGCCCGTTCCCCCAGTGCGCCACTGGACTCGTCTGTGGTAGATTCCATGTGCGAATCCTGGATATAAGTACCATCTCGTCTTTCTTCCTCATCAGTTGCCTCCCGCAGTCCCATCTCCCTTAAAGCCCTATTCGCAGCTTGCTGGAAGCCATTCAGCGGGCCGCCGTCGCGTTCCAAGTCGCCTGTCCTTAGGCGCCCGCCCCCGCGCCCACCACTACCTCGGCCCCTGGTTCCGCTATCCCCGCCTCCGCCGCGTCCCCTCCGCGTGGCGCTGCCCCGTGCAGCGGGGCGTGGAGTAGGCGGACGTTCGCCACGCTGCCTCGCTGGGCCCGCTCTAGGGCGCATCGGCGAAACGGATGGCTGACCGGGCTGATCGTGCTCGGAGAGAGCGTTCCGTCGACCGCGAGAGTTCGGGGGAGAACGCCCTCCCCCGAGGTCGGTCGAGCTCCCCCCCCCTGACGGACCGGCGGTGGGCACGCGGGCTCCCAGCGCCGTCCACAAGCGCGCCCGCGTCCCCCAGTCGGATGCGGGCGGCGACGCCGCCTCGGTTGGAGGGGCGGGCTGCGGTGGCGGGCGTAGAGGTCCGCCAGTGTCCTCCGGCTGAGTTGTCGACGCCCGCTGAATCCCATGCGGCGGGCCCTCGCCCCCCCCCGGTGTTGCCGTCTCGGCCCCATCCGCAACAGCCGCGTGCGCCAAACGGCCCCTCGGGGCGTGGTGGCACGCGCCGGGGGCGGAGGGGGAGCGCACTGGAGAGACGGCTGGCGCGGACTGCCGCAACGTTGGAGGGGATACTCGAGCGGGCTGGCACTGGGCTGCTCCCATCGCCCCCGCAGCGGGAGCCGCCCCGACAGCTCCCCCATCAAACCCAGCCTCTATTTCCGCCGCGAGTCCTTCCACCGACCCTGCCCGACCAGCCTGCACGTGATGGAGCGTTTCCCCCTCCGCTGCGGCCTCCGGCGGCGCTGCTCCCAACTGCGCCGCCGCCTCCGTGGCAGCATGTGCCGCCTGGGGGCCCGTATGCTGCCCTGCACTCCGCTGCGCATCCGCCGCCTGTACCCGCGCCGGTCCTCCCACCCCCGGGGTACTACGACCTGCCCCACCGGTCCCTGCCAGCGCCCCCGATAGGCAGCCCCGCGTCATCCGCCGGTACACTCCCGGAGTGGCGTCCCCCCTCGTCCTGGGCTGGGGCGGTGGAGTGGTCCGATCCCCGGGTGGGGCTCTACCGCGGAGGGGGTGTGGTTGGTCCGTTCGTTCCCCCTCGGCAGCGGGCGCCATCCCCACGGGGTGTAGAGGCGGGGGCAGAAGCAGCGGAGACGGGGGGCGCGGAGTCGCCAGGGGAGGGGTCTCCACGTCGAGCTCATGGGGCCGGGGAGGCGACACGGAGGAGGACGCCGACGGTGGGGCCACTGACGGCGGCTCCTGCGGAGATAACGGTCCCAGCCGCCACACTCCGTCGCCTTGGACACGCTCGGAGGGGGACGGAGATACTGTTGACGATTCTGGCGGCGGCGAGCTCCGCGCTGGGGAGCTCAGGGGGCCAGTCAATGGCCCCGTACTTCCCCCTTCAGGGCTGCATGGAAGCAGCCATAGATCTCGCTGTGGAGGCTGCACGCGCGCGGCCCGGGCCCGCCCGGGGAACAGGCACGGACCCGCACCTTCTCGCCGCTCTCCGCCAGGTGTCGGCGAGCATAGACTCGGCGTCAGCTGCAGGGCTTGTAGCTGGCGCCGTGTCCACGCTGCAGGTCCTGTTGTCATACCAGGCCGTGTTGCTGGAGGAGGCTGGGCTGGCGGCTGTCGCGGAATAGCGGAGCGGCGGGAGTAGGTGCGGCCGGGCGGTGAGTCCTGCAGGCTGAGCGCCCCCGCACGGCGCATCAGGTGCTCCATGTGGGCTTGTGTGTGCTATGGTGGGGCCCGGTAGGCCAATGTCTTATACGCCCGTCAGGTCCTAGTCTAGAGATGGGGGGGCGCCATCATGCCTGCCTTGTACTTGCTGCGATATAGTTGAATGGTGGTCTTGCCACCCCCTCCCGCGCGGCCGAAGGCCGCGCTGCGAGCGTCGGCGGCCGAAGGCCGCCGACGCGAGCCGCCACCAAGGGTTGGAGAAAAGAAAGAACTGGAAACTAAACAGGAAGAATGAGGGAGGGAGAGAGCTTATATAGCTGGAGAGGGACTCATGCTCTCTCTCTCTCTCGCTCTCTCTCTCCTCTCTCTCGCCACCAAGGGTGGGAGAAGATGAAGAACTGGAAACTAAACAGGAAGAATGAGGGAGGGAGAGAGCTTATATAGCTGGAGAGGGACTCATGCTCTCTCTCTCTCTCTCTCTCTCTCTCTCTCTTTCTCCCCCTATTCCCTACTTCCCCAGCCTACCCCCCCCCCCTTAATAGAAGGGGAAGCAGACTCCCACCCCCCCCTTGCTCTTCCCCTCTCCCCCCCCCCTTAATAGAGGGGGAAGCAGACTGAGTGCGCTTCCCCTCTCCCCCCCCCTTAATAGAGGGGGAAGCAGACTGAGTGCGCTTCCCCTCTCCCCCCCCCTTAATAGAGGGGGAAGCAGACTGAGTGCGCTTCCCCTCTCCCCCCCCCTTAATAGAGGGGGAAGCAGACTGAGTGCGCTTCCCCTCTCCCCCCCCCTTAATAGAGGGGGAAGCAGACTGAGTGCGCTTCCCCTCTCCCCCCCCCTTAATAGAGGGGGAAGCAGACTGAGTGCGCTTCCCCTCTCCCCCCCCCTTAATAGAGGGGGAAGCAGACTGAGTGCGCTTCCCCTCTCCCCCCCCCTTAATAGAGGGGGAAGCAGACTGAGTGCGCTTCCCCTCTCCCCCCCCCCTTAATAGAGGGGGAAGCAGACTGAGTGCGCTTCCCCTCTCCCCCCCCCTTAATAGAGGGGGAAGCAGACTGAGTGCGCTTCCCCTCTCCCCCCCCCTTAATAGAGGGGGAAGCAGACTGAGTGCGCTTCCCCTCTCCCCCCCCCTTAATAGAGGGGGAAGCAGACTGAGTGCGCTTCCCCTCTCCCCCCCCCTTAATAGAGGGGGAAGCAGACTGAGTGCGCTTCCCCTCTCCCCCCCCCTTAATAGAGGGGGAAGCAGACTGAGTGCGCTTCCCCTCTCCCCCCCCCTTAATAGAGGGGGAAGCAGACTGAGTGCGCTTCCCCTCTCCCCCCCCTTAATAGAGGGGGAAGCAGACTGAGTGCGCTTCCCCTCTCCCCCCCCTTAATAGAGGGGGAAGCAGACTGAGTGCGCTTCCCCTCTCCCCCCCCCTTAATAGAGGGGGAAGCAGACTGAGTGCGCTTCCCCTCTCCCCCCCCCCTTAATAGAGGGGGAAGCAGACTGAGTGCGCTTCCCCTCTCCCCCCCCCTTAATAGAGGGGGAAGCAGACTGAGTGCGCTTCCCCTCTCCCCCCCCCCTTAATAGAGGGGGAAGCAGACTGAGTGCGCTTCCCCTCTCCCCCCCCCTTAATAGAGGGGGAAGCAGACTGAGTGCGCTTCCCCTCTCCCCCCCCCCTTAATAGAGGGGGAAGCAGACTGAGTGCGCTTCCCCTCTCCCCCCCCCTTAATAGAGGGGGAAGCAGACTGAGTGCGCTTCCCCTCTCCCACCGCCTGAATGGCGGACCCGTCTGTTGTTTCTCCTCTACAATCCTTCTTGGTAGTTCGAGCATGTTCTGACTGGTATTTCCAGGATCCGTTTTCGTTCTCAACGTCCGAATCCCCCCCGCCCCGTCACTCATCCACCCCCCCCCCCACGTCTACCCACCTTCCCGCTGCTCTCTGCCTCCCTGCTCTGCCGCGCCCCATGCCTTGGCGCCGCCTGCAGCTGAAGCTGAAGCAGGAGGACCAGTCACGGGTCTCACAGGCGAACAGTCACGTGAGGAGTCAGGGTGCTCGGAGATTAGAATTGTCGGTCAATTCGCGGATCATGGCGGAAGCGAAGTCTCAGGCCCAGGGGTACCGTACCGAAGGTGATCTCACTGATCGAAAAGCAAGTAGCTTACTGATCGCTTGCCGCACTCAGAAGCAGTTTCAGGCCCAAGTGTTGTTACCGCATGAAGTGTGCTGTTGAGTAAAAAGCAAAGTGGGTGATGGGTAGCAGCTGTTGATGAGTAGACATATCACTGAGAGCCTGCTGAGAGCCTGCTCACTTAAATGCAGTTTCAGGCTCAGGGGTACCGGACTGAAGGTTATCTCAGTCACCGGATTCCGGGTGTTTCAGTGGGTGTTGGTGTGATATAAGTTGCGTTTTGAGTCTAAGTTTCGTTTTGAGTCGACTCAAAACGAAACTTATATCACAAGGGTACCGGACTGAAAGTAATCTCACTCGCCGCATTCCGTGTGTTTCAGTGGGTATTTTCGCACTGAAGCAGTAGATTCGTGGCCCGAGTGAGGTTCGTCTTTCTTCCGTTCGTTGTTTTCCAGTTTTTATGTTGAAGCAATCAAGTCTCAGGTAACAGCAGCGAGACGATTTTAGAGTCGACTTAAAAACCACCTTCAGGTAGCAGCAGTGAGACGAACGCAAAGTTGCTATCTCCCATGTTCGTGCAGCAATTGTCATAAACACGCGTATCTCATTTTCTTCCCGGCCTCTGGATTACATATCGTCTACTTGGATCCATCCGAGCACCTCTGCTTTCGTTCCTTCAACATTCACTCCCCTTCATCATCTATCTGCCCTTTCGAGGTGACTCTTGAGTCGACTCAGAAGTCACCTCCTTCCTTCAACATTCACTCCCCTTCATCACCCATCTACCCTTTCCTTTCCCATCTCAACCATTCCGTATGTCATATTTCCCACACCATCTCAAAATTAACTCAAATTTCTTCTTTCCCCGTCCCTCCCTCCCAGCGTCCCACCTGAGGGGCGTGCTGGCAGCGGTGTTGGGCGAGTTTCACGATGCCGACACCATGGACGCCGCTGTTGAAATGGCGCAGCTCTGTCAGCTTCTCGCTGTCTCCGACCCGCATTCGTGAGTGTTAGAGATGCCCTAGAGCATGACAGTTGACGCCACGGACGCTGCTGCTGAGACGGCGCAGCTCTGCCAGCTGCTACCCATGAATTTCCCGCACTCGCGCGTTTGTGCACACATGCCCGTTTCCACCCCCCCCACCCCAGTCTGCCAAGTGCCGCGCCACAACTGTCCATCCGGAGTGAAACTGCCACATCCCGTCCCCCCCTCTTCCCCTCCCCTCCCTCCCTCTCCCAGCCTCCCCAGGGCCGTGACCCACCTGTCAACCCGCGCATGGCACTGCCAGAAGCTGCGGTTGCCACTCACGCACCTACCTCCTTTCCACCTCTTCCCGTGCTCATCTCCCCCCCCAGCTCTCCAACCTTCCCAGTGCTGCGACCCACCTATCAACGCGCGTGTGGCACTGCCAGCAGCTGCTGCGGCAACTCACCCACCTCCCTCGTGCACGGCTCTCCTCTCTGTGCCCTTCCCACTGCCAGTATCCCCAGCGCTGTGACCCACCTATCAACGCGTGCGTGGCACTGCCAGCAGCTGCTGCGGCAGATGAAACAGACCCAGGCGGGCTTGCAGGCGAGAGCGGACGAGGTGGCTGCTCTTGCTGAGTGCGTTGAGAGGTAAGGATGGGATATCAAGTGTTTCGGAGGAAGGCCCGGCCCAGACCACCAGGAGGGGCAGGCAGACCCATGCGCCCCTGCCTCCAGGGGTGTGGATGGAAGAAACGGACTGCTCTCGTCCCGCGTCCTCCCCGGGGTTCTCCTGTACCCCGGAGTGCTCAGTCTCTCTTCCTTCCGTGCTTCTCCTGAACCCCGCTTCGGGAATTTTCTCTGTGCCGCCTGCCTCCTCCACCTACCTCGTCCCACCCTCTTGTTTCTCCCTCGCACTCTCGTGAATCTGTTTCCCTTCCCCTCTTGTCATTTTTGTCCTTGTGCGTTCTGGCCTTTCCCCGCTCTCGTTGCTTGCCGGATTGTGCTGCCAGCTGGAAGGCGCAGCTGCCATCGGACGATGACATCAGCAGGGCCACGGATGATGTGGCAGACAGGACGAGGAGAATGGCGCAGGAGGAGCAGCAGCTGAGCCTGCAGCGGTCCGCGGCTCAGGTGGGAAAGGATGAAGGGGGGGAAGGGGGAGGGGCAGGGAAGAGGGGGGAATATTTTTACATGCATGCAGGGTGGTGCATGCAGGTTATAGATGGAAAACAGGGAAGGGTGCACGGTGCAGGGGCGGGGGGGGGAAGGGGGGGGGGTTGAGTGGTTGATAAAATGGGGGAGGTTGGGGTAAGGAGGAAGAAGAATGGGGACATTGGGGGAAGAATGGGGACACTGGGGGAAGGATGGGGGCATTGGGGGAAGGATGGGGACATTGGGGGAAGAATGGGGGCATTGGGGGAAGAATGGGGGCATTGGGGGAAGGATGGGGGCATTGGGGGAAGGATGGGGGCATTGGGGGAAGAATGGGGGCATTGGGGGAAGAATGGGGGCATTGGGGGAAGAATGGGGGCATTGGGGGAAGGATGGGGACATTGGGGGAAGAATGGGGGCATTGGGGGAAGAATGGGGGCATTGGGGGAAGGATGGGGGCATTGGGGGAAGGATGGGGGCATTGGGGGAAGAATGGGGGCATTGGGGGGAGAATGGGGGCATTGGGGGAAGAATGGGGGCATTGGGGGAAGAATGGGGACATTGGGGGAAGAATGGGGGCATTGGGGGAAGAATGGGGGCATTGGGGGAAAAATGGGGGCATTGGGGGAAGAATTGGGCCATTGGGGGAAGAATGGGGGCATTGAAGAAGAATGCTGGATTGCTGGCTCCTTCTCGCCTCTCCTCTGGAAGTAGCTCTCAACAGTGAACACCCTCCCTACCCCCTTTCTCTTCCCCCCTCCCCTTCCCTTCCTTTTCCTTTCCTCCCCCCTCTTCCCACTTCCTGCAGGGCTCTCTCGAGGCGGCAAGCTACAGTGCTGATGTGGACATGGCCGCCCTGCTACAGCTGGCAGAGGAGGTGCAGGGGGAGGAGGAGGCGGTGGGGCGGCTGCAGCAGGATCTCGCCATATACTCTGACTTGCCCACGGTACTGTGTGGTGTGGTGCTGTGAAGTGCAGCTTGGTGTGGCGAGATGTGGTGCAATGCTGTGACGGGTAATGGGAGGTGCAGGGGGAGGAGGAGGAGGAGGAGGAGGCAGTGGGGCAGCTGTGGCAGCAATACCTGGCAGTCTACTCTGACTCGCCCACGGTGCAGTGGTGTGGTGTGGTGTGGTGTGGTGTAAAGGTATCAGCAAGCGAGCTCTGTATCCTTCTGTACCCATCTCGCTTCCTCTCCCCCTCGGGATATTCCCCTGGCTCGTAAACACCTGGCGAGGGAGGGGGAGAGGCTGCTAGCACTGTCGAAGAAGCACCGTCTATCAGACTTAAACGGCGTGCCACCATCCCTCTGTATCCCTCTGGACCCGTCTGGACCCCTCTGTACCTCTCTTTATCCCTCTACCTCTCTCCCTCAAGATATCACCCTGGCTCGCAAACACCTAGCGAGGGAGAGGGAGAGGCTGTGAGCCCTCTCAAAGAAGCACCGTCTATCACATTGTAGTGGGGTGCCACTGTCCCTCTGAACTTCTCTTTATCTCTCGGTACCCCTCTGAATCCCCCTGTATCCCTCTTAACACCTCTGTATCCCGCTGTCCCTCTCCCCATCAAGACATCACCTGGCAAGGGAGACAGAGAAGCTGCGAACTCTATTTAAGATGGACAGTCCATCAGATTTTAATGGCGTTCTACTGTCCCTCTGCATCTCTCTGAATTCCTCTGTATCCCTAATCCCTCCGCCTCTCCCCATCAGGACATCACCCTGGCTCACTAACACCTGGCGAGGGGAGGGAGAGGCTGCGACTCAGCCTCAGTCTATCAGATTGTCATGGTGTGCCACCGCCCCTTGGTATCCCTCTACAACCCTTTGTATCTCTCTGTATCCCTCCCTACCTCTCTGCCTCTCCGCCTCTCCCCCTCAGGACATCACCCTGGCTCACAAACACCTGGCGAGGGAGAGGGAGAGGCTGCGAGCGCTGTCAAAGAAGCTGCAGGCGTGGAGCATGGGGGAGCTGGAGGAGGGTGAGGGGCAGGAGGGGTATGTGCCTCCGTCTCCCGGGGAGGAAGAGACGGTGGGGGCGTGGGGCATGGGGGACGTGGGGGGGAGTGGGGGGCCTGTGCTGCCATCTCCTGGATTCTAGGGGCTCAGGAGTCAGGTCAGTTCAGAAGCCACCTGGCGAGGGAAAGGCAGAGGCTGCGATTTCTGTTGAGGAAGCTGCAGATGTGGAGCCTGGGGCAGCTGGAGGAGGGTGAGGGGCATGAGGGGCATGGGGGGCATGAGGGGCATGGGGGGCATGAGGGGCATGGGGGGCATGGGGGGCATGAGGAGCATGGGGGGCATGGGGGGCATGAGGAGCATGGGGGGCATGAGGAGCATGGGGGGCATGGGGGGCATGGGGGGCATGAGGAGCATGGGGGGCATGGGGGGCATGAGGAGCATGGGGGGCATGGGGGGCATGAGGGGCATGGGGGGCATGAGGAGCGTGGGGGGCATGAGGAGCGTGGGGGGCGTGAGGAGCATGGGAGGCGTGAGGGGCGTGAGGGGCATTGTGGAGATGGGAGCCACCTGGCGAGGGAGAGGTAGAGGCTGTGAGGCTGTCGAAGAAGCATGGGGGGGATAGAGGAGAGCCCGGGGTACGGGCCCAGGTCCCCAGGGGAGTGGGCCACGGGCAAGCTGGAGGACCCGAGCTGCCGAGACCTGGGGTCTAGGAGTGCAAGAGTTGGGCACATGGTGAGGGGCCTAGCGAAGCTGCAGCGTGGAGCATGGGGGGGCCGTGGGAGGGGCAGGGGCTCGCACTGAGGAGAAGGGGGGCTCGTATGGCTGTCCTGTCCTGGGTTCTAGGTCTACCGGAGCCTGTTCAAAGGGTGCCTGGTCGGGTGTTGAGGGGGGGCGGGGAGAGGGGGAGAAGAACTGTGTGCATGGGCGAGCTTGAGTTAGCTGAGGGCACGTGCTGCTGCTGTTTTCAAGGACCAGAAAACCTAGAAACGCATGCCATTATCGGTAGGTTTCGACTCCAATGAATGAATCGAGGTGCAGGCAAGAGTACAGTGTACACTTCATCCATAGCATGTCAGTCAGGGTGTGTCCAGCGCGTGCGTCTTTTTGTCAAAACCCTACCCAACCATTTTAGATTTGTTATCGATCTTTCTGACCAGTGAGGCACCTCACCTCACCCTACCGCAATCAAACGTACCGGTATGTGCCAGACACACCCTCAGAGTTCGTTCTAGATATGCTGCTGTGTGTTTCCACATAACCCAACCGTTGACTGAAATAAGCAATTACTATGTCAGTGTATGTACAGTACAGGATGATATGAAGAACAAGCTTCTGCCAACCAGCCCTTTCATGCCCCGGGAACCACAACACCCAGACCACCGAGGCGACTTCTGAGGCGCATTCATCCTTGTCAGCATGTCACCGGAAATGTGGACAAGCACCTCCCATCCCGTCATCCCTCCCCTTCTTGCTTCTGGAATCGCGACGCCCTGACCACCTTCCCCGCTCCCTTGCCATGAGAGTGCGGGGACACTGGCGCCCTCCCCACGTGCCCTGGGAAACCACCACCACCAGCCAAGGGCGGCAACGGGGAGGGTGAACTGCAGTGGGGGGAGTTGGGCCTGGCTGCTCCCAGGTGGGATGTAGGGGAGGCGCAACCACTGGAGGGGTGTTCCAGGGGAGGCAGGAGCTGGCTTGGGGAGAGCAGGCTGGGGGGTTGCAGGCCTGAAGGGAGCAGGCCTGGGGCGGGTTGTTTGTGGGGAAGCTGTGTACTGGAGGTGTGGGAGGGGGGTGGGAGGGAGGGTGAGTGGAGCGAGGAGAGAAGTGTGGGGGAGAAGCAGGAGGACGGGGAGGAGGTGGAAGAACCAGGGGAGGAGGAGGAGGAGGAGGAGGAGGATGGAGAGAAGGAAGCAACGAGGGGGGAGTCAAAGGAGGAGGAGGAGGAGAGGGAGCCTGCAGTGGGCATGGGGTACTCTGAGGAGGGAGAGGGAGAGAACGGGGAGTGAGGAGAGTTGGTGCAGCTGTTGCTGCTGCTGCTGCTTGAAAGGATGGAGATGGAGAGGGCTTTAAAGTTGAGCAGACCAAACCTGCGACTGCTGCTGCTGCCGCTGCTGCTGCCACTGCTGGCCCTGCTACTGCTGCTGGTGCTTCCACAGCTGCTGCTGATGCTGCTAGTGCTGCTGCCATTGCTGGCAGTCACCTCCTGACCCTTCCAGGAAGCATCCAGTGGTGCAGAGAACGGCTGGGGTAACGAATTCCAGAGGGAATTAGCCCTTGCATGCACCCAGGGCAATGGGCTAGGGTTTCTTCCAGCTATACACTCAGGCTTTGGCTCAACGCAAGGGGAACTAGTCCCACTCAAGTTGCTGCCTGGTAAACTCTCTCTGCTGCGCTGCCGCTCTCTGCTGCTCATACTCTTTAAAAGCGCTCTGCTTCTGCTACTGCTGCCACCTTGCGCGCTTTCCTGTGCAAGAGTACCAGCACTCCTCATACCATCACCGAAGCTGGCCTTTAAAGGGGATGGGGAGCACACGCGAGCAGCAGCACCTCCTGTATTTCCAGCACTGACCGAAGGAGTCGTATTTGGTGACTGGGCAGCTGAAAACGATCCTTTTCGGGCAGAGGCTGTAGCCGAAACTGTAGCAGGAGAGAGGGAAGGCAAGGGCATGCACAAATCCATGGTGCGGCGACGGGCATGGCCGGGCCGAGACGAGACTGTAACAGGTGAGGTTATATTTGAATTTACTGTAACGGATGTGACTGTAGTGGGTGATTCGGCGGATTTGGTGGTGGGCGTGGTGGTGAGAGAGAGGAGGGGAGCGGGCAAGGAGGGGGAGAAGGGGGAGCGAGGGAGGGAGAGGGAGAGGGGTGAGAAGAAGCAGCGGGGGGAGTCCCAAAACGCCTCCTTGGCTTCACCCTCACTGTCGGCACTGTCAGCGCTGGTGGTGCTGCTAGGGGAGTCTGGGGAACCGTTAGTGTCACCCTCGTTACAGTCATCACTGCTAACCACGCTATCACCACCTAAATGATCAGGTTTCAGTTCGGGGATATTATCAGTCCCGGTAGTGCCTTTTCCGTTACACGCTTCCCCCTCTTCCGCCTCCTCCTCCCTCTGCCTCTCCACCTGCTCCGCTTCCCCGCCCCACCAAACCACCCTCCCCCCCCCTGTCCCTGTCTCCGTGTGGGAGTAGCACCGCCTCAGAGCCCTGCCAGCTGGCACTGCCACGTGGCACGCTCCCACAGGCTGGTCAACCGCGCTGACCCCTACACCTCCTCCTGCTGCGCCTCCCCCTGCCGCGTACTCCGCCAGGCGCGCCCTTGCGAGACTGAGGCTGCGCATGTGGTCACGGGGGAGGGCGGAGGCTGAGGCGGAGGCGGAGGCGGAAGCATAGGGGGAGGGATCGGCCCTCAGCCAGCCAGCGGGGGAAACAGCGGCGGTGGCGGAAAGGTTTCTGCGACGATGCGCCGCGCGCTGGTGCTGCTTCGACGGCTGTAGCTGCGATTGTTGTAGCTGCGAACGCTGAAGCTGGAGCTTGTTTTGACGTAGCGTGTGCTCTAGGGAGGCCCATTCAGCGCTCGTTGTAACGCGCCAACCAGCGATGGGTGCGTCTCCCACAAGCGAGTCAGCCAATATCGGAGCATCGCCGAAGATTTCCGTGCGAGTGCGCGCGTGACGAGGCGCGACGGGCCGGTCGCGCATGGGGGTGGTCGTGCGAAGGAATTGGCGACGGTGCGCGACGGAGGAGCTTGTCGCCGGCGGTCGCTGAGCAGGTTGTACGTGAGAGGGAGCGGCCGAAGGATCGTTTGAGCGCGATATGGTGGGAGTCAGCGGTCTCCGAACTTGCTGGTTACCACTGCAGGGCAAGTCTTGCCTTGGCGAAGAAATCTGCGGGTTGGCGAACACGAGCGAGAGCGACCGAATATGAGAAGATCTGACAACTTCATCGGACGAAAACCGTTTGCTTTCGTTTGCAGCCGAAACCACCGCGGACAGGTTACCACTGTAACTGGAACCCACATCCGATACGTTACACATAATTTCGTCGCTGCTAGAAAAAGTTCGCCAACTGCCCCCGGCGACGCTACTGCCCCCGGCGACGCTACTGCCCTCCACGCTACTGCTGATACTTGCACCGCTGGTACAGTAAATTTCGCGGCTTCGAATATCCTCGATATTGCAGCTACTTTTGTAGCTACTACTGCTCCGCCTGCTGCTGCTTCTCCAGTCGCTGACCGTTTCAGAAGCAGCAGCACCGAAGGAGAGACTATCGCGGTTCGAGAGATAATATGTCCCGCCCAATCGCAAGACCGTCTGAGGAGGGAGGATCGCGAATTGAGGCTTCAACTCGTTATCTTGGGCTCTCGAGTCGCAGCCGTCGCACGCTCTCCCTTCGCACATGTCGCCATCGACGATCGCCGTGCAGCTGACGATGAGATCGGGGAAGTCGCAGGCGAGCTGTGCGACGGTCAGCTCCTCAGTGTACAAGCGCGCCGAGCCGTCGGGAAGCACCAGGAGCACGGCGGAGGGGGAAGCGGGGCTCGAGTGGCGGAAGGGGAGCGACCAGGTCGCGGCGCAAGGCGAAGGGGAGCGCTGGCGGGAAGTGGGATCGGCGGAGGCGGAAACTTGTGGGGAATGCTCCGCCGTGGCGGAGTCGATTGCAGCAGCCATACTCGAACGAGGTTTCAGGGGAGCAGATCGACAAATGCTTATCTCGCTGCATGTGTGCTCGCGCGCTTCTTATTTGGGATTGACGTGGCGCGTTACTGGCTGGCGCTGCACCACAGCAGGAGAGTGAGACTGAGCGAACGACGACGAGGGCAGTGGTGGAGCGATAACAGGAAACGCCTACAGCAATATGTGCTCGTGGCATGATTGCTGGTGCCGCGTTCCTTCCGAAATAAAGAAACGGACTGAGGTGGTGAGAAGAGGTAAACGTTACAAAGAGGAAAGTGGTTGAATCTACGACCTCGACGTTCGTTACTTGCTACTACACGGTACGTGTACGGCGAAGCAATGCTGCTCCATATTGCTGCTCGCTCTCCCAGACAGCTCCTGCTCGATTGTGGGCTCTCTGGTTTCCAAGTTCCAACACTTCTCAACATCCGCGAATGGGTGTAAGCGAGGCGAGGCGAGAGTTAGGCGACGCGAGGAGAGGCGAAGCGATGCGAAATAACCACACACCGCCCAAGAACAACTGTAACCGCTGCCACCCGCTCTCAGCCAATTGGAGAAGAGCCACATGCGGTTTAACAAGGTGCAGAATTTGCGAATGAAGCTGAGCAATTACACTCTAAACCTCGTTAAGCTCAAATTTTTGGGCAGGGCGGTCTCGTTTGTTTCTAGCGAAATTTGACAATACATGACTGCCCGTGTAACCGGCCGCTGTTGGTATTTCCCTACACTCCAGAACAGGTCTCGGGGTGGACCCGGGAGCCGAGCGGTCAAACGCCTTGGTAAGGGCGAACACTCAAACAGAATGGAATTGCAAACCATCGCGCACGCGCGCGCGCTTCCCATCCCATCGCGTGGATTGTTTGTTTGCAAATTGGGACTGGAGAAACGGGTCTGATTTAACCCGTTTTCGTCTTTTGATGCTTGGAATTAAAGCCACATTCGGTACATGGAACTCCGAAATTGGGTGGACGCAATTTGATCAGAAGCCGATCTCATCATTGACGTTACGTGATTTTTGATCCTACTTGACTCGACCGTATCGAGGTTTAGAGTGTAGATGCGAGCCGACCATGCATGCTTTTCGTAAAAAGCACACTCGACGATTATATATGCCCGTGATTACAGCCACAAACCAAAGACAATTCAAAACCATTTTGGTTGGGTCTTGGTGAAATGTAAGTGATTCTCGCACTGGCTGACTGCCCATGATTCCTATTGAGCTGTGTACAAAAGTACCCGTGGATATCGGGGGTTACGCCTGGCTCCATGTCGGAAATCCGGGGGTGGGCTAAGAGTAACGTCAGCGAAACGGTCGGTGCATTGTCGTAACGTGGGCCCCCCAGCCACTGTAGCGGACGGGTGGAACCCCTATGCTACAGCCTGAGCCCGAGAGAGGAACGCCACTTTTTCAAGCCGCGGGGGCTTCTGTCGATTTGGTATTTCGCCGGCTTTCGCTGCTAGAAGCGAGGGATTCAGGGTGAGCTCGTTGGTAACTATTTTTGTCGCAATAGGGGAAGGTTGGGTGGCAGAGTTCAGATTGCGTATGTAACCACGGTTACGCTGTTTTGCACTGCGACGATCAGAAACAACCCCGAGTGCTGTTTACTTAGCTCAAACAATAGGTCACGAACATGACATCTGCTCACAATTTGTGCGGCTTCGATAAGTGGCAGTTGTTTCGACCGAATAGGGCTCTAGTTCAGTCAGTTGCCAAGGGGTCATGCTATGCTGAGTCATCGAGGTGTTTCCCGTTTGCGGTGTTCCGTAGATTTCCATTGCGCTCGTGTCCTTCGCGGCTTCGCGAAAAACGCGAAAGGTCATTTGGGTCTGGACGAACCGCCCTCGCGACGCCGTCCGAAAATATGTGGCGAAAACCAGAAGGCTGCAACTGCTTCGTCGCTGTCCGCATGTTCATCCCCGCTGTCATGATGACTCAGCACAGTAGCCGGCGCGGGGGACTCTCTCGAAACGGATACTGCCCGTAAACGTCTGCTATTGGGCGAGGGGGTGCAATTGGGATTTGTTTTGGGCAGAGCACTTTGCGGACATCGTTTGTATGCACTCACCCTATTCTCCGCATGCGTTACAGAGTTCCACCCGATATCGCAAATATCGCCGAAGAAACACCTCGCCAGCCCGCAGAGCTTCGCCAGAAGCCGTCCATGGCGTGACCTCCACAGCTCCCTCCCTCCATCCTGCCAAACCAAGGTTTAGGTTTGACGCTGTTCAATTTACCCCGTGTCACATCACACACCTTCCCGCTATCATTTCCACTTCACCATAGCTCGTTCTTTCGCTGGTTGCCGACTCTCGGATGGCGGAGTCGAGGGGAGAAGCTAGCAACTGTGCGATCAAGCCGTCAGCGTCGATGGCGGCAAGCAGAGAGCTACTCACCGTCGGCGGCGATTCCTTGCCTTTCTGTACGTCATCCTTTCGCCGAGCAGTCGCCTCCACGTTTCCACCTTCCAGCCTATATCGAGCGCAATAGGGGGTTCACGTCGCCACCATTAATATATCCGTTCCCACGCGTGAGGAGTCTATTTTTGAGGCGCCTAAAAAATAGACGTCGCCACCATTAATATATCCGTTTCCACTTTCCCTTCTGAACCCAAGCTTAATCTGCCTCCTCTCACCATCCCTTCGCGATTTTGTTATTGTCGACTGAAGATAACCATCCCTCCGGTTCTCCTCCCCGCACCTATAACCCTCCAGTGGAGCGTCTCTTGAAGCAGCCAGGAAGAGCCAACCAGCGCGCGCAGAAGCCGGCGCAGAAACCGCCAGGCTCGGGGCAAGCACCGCCATCGATGTTCACGACGCCCGTTGCGGAGAGCTCAGGTTTGTTGCGGCGCGAACATGAAGGGTTTGCCAAGGTTCGGGGTTCAGGGTTCAAGGCTCAGGGTTCGGGGTTCTTCAGGGTTCGGGGCTCAGGCCTTTGGTGAACCCGAAAACCTCGAAATGATAATTTTGTCCTGGCGTGAACTCTGTCGCAGGCTTTTCCTTCGCGTCGTCTCCTTTCCTCGGTCACGCACCCCATCTCTCCGCATCTGCTGGAGTAAGCTCTACCGTGAGACCTCTCCGCCCCTTGCGCCTCCTTCACTTCTTCCCTCCCTCGTGTTCGCTTGCAGTGCTCGCTCGGCTGCGGGGCTTCTTGCCGCAGATGGAGCAGGAGAACCAGAAGCTGCAGCGCGCCATCGAGGTAAGGACGGGTGAATAGAGGTAGCAAGCAGGCATTTAGAGGCACAAGATTGGCGTCCAACGGAGTTCGGATTGGGGCATCTTGCCCCAGATGGAGCATTAACCAGAATCTGCAGCGAGCTATCGAGGTGAGGATGGGCGAGTAGTTGTAACGAGCAGGCGCTTAGAGGCACTAGAAGGGCCTCCACGGGACTCAGAATCAGGGCTTCTTGCCCCAGATTGAGCAGGAGAGAACCAGAAGCTGCTGCGAGTGATAGATTGAAGGACGGGAGAATAGAGGCACTTAGAAAGACAGATTGGGCGTTCAAGGCAGTTAGAATCAAGATTAGATGGAGCAGAAGAACGAGGAGCAGAAGAACGAGGAGCTCCATAGAGGTGTTAGAGATTGATATGGGTGTTGGAGAGCGCTTGGCACTACCACCCAGAGGTGCGTGAACATGAGATGGATCCACAACTTTGCCTTACCCACCAGAGGAGCAGCGGCAGGAGGCGGTGAGCCCGCAAGCAGGGGCACGTTTGTTCCTTTTCCTTGTGACCAATCCCCGCCTTTACTTTTGTTGCGACACCAACTCGCACCCCAACAGGAGCAGGGGCAGGAGGCCGTGAGCATGGAGGCAGTGGCACTTCCGTTCCTTCTCCTTGTGGCTAATCGCCCCTGGCTCCTTCTCTTATCAACTCCAAATCACACACCAACAGGAGCAGGGGCAGGAGGCCGTGAGCATGGAGGCAGTGGACGACTCGCAGCAACACATAGAGATGGTGAGTCAGCATGTCGTGATGGTGAGTCAGCACGTAGAGATGGCGAGTCAGCACGTGGAGATGGTGAGTCAGCATGTAGAGATGGTGAGTCAGCACGTGGAGTTGGTGTATAGTGGCACTTTGAGGCGCCGCACCTCCCACTTCCCCATTGCCCCACTGCCATCATTCCTATTCCTCATTCCTTTACAGGATGGTGGCATTTAGGGGTAGGATGGTGCGGTTTTCTTTTATGTGCCTTGGTATATCCTCATGCGCTCTGACCTCACTCCTATTCCTCCCCATGGCAGGACCTATCACTGGGTCTCGTTGACTTGCGCACGCCTGATGCGGTGGTGGCAGCAGAGAGGGCGCTGGTTGGTGGCGCTGGACAGGGGGGCTCTGCTGGCAGACGGGAAGGGGAGGGGGAGGGGATGGGGGAGGGGGTTTCTGGGAGCAGCGAGTCGGACTCAGAGTTGGAGTCTGAGAGTGAGAGCTCTGATGGTGATGAGGGTGGTATACGGAGGGCCAATGCACACGGGGGTGGGCGTTTGGGAGGTGAAGGCAGGAGTGCTGCCATGGAGGAAGATGGGGCGGGCGGGCTTTCTCAAGGGGGTTTGGCGCAGAATGGAGGTGCTGCAGGGGATATTGGCATGTTTCTCGGCCGTCCATTTGGCAATGGTGCAGCTGCTGGGGATGATGGTGCTGGAGGTGGGGATGGTGGGGTGTTTCGTGTCGGGGTGGGAGGAGAGAAGGGAGGTCAAGGGGCAAATATGCACCCAGGTCAGCACAAGGGTGGATATGGTGGCAGAAAAAAGAAGGGATTGGGGAAAGCTAAGAAGGGTGTTAGGGGCAGAGGAAGTTCAAAGAATGGTAAGGCTAAGCCAAAGATTGTAGAGATCTCGTAGTGGTGATTTCTGCCACACAAAGGCCAGTTGGAAGCTGCACGTTCAATTGTAGGCCCCATAGTTATGCTTTGCTGTAATTGTTTGTAGAGAAAGGTATGAAAGCTTTGTTGACCTTACATGAGTGAAGCGTTTGAGAAAGTACAGGAGTTTATGGGTAGTAGTATAACACTTCGTTTCGATAAAGCTTAACGGCCGTACAGTTCTATGCAAAGTCTTATACCGCGATCAAAAGCAACTACCCTGAACCTTGGGAACGCCGCTCGTTTTCGTAAAATCTAGGCCACAAGCAGCGGGAGGTGTGAGAGGGATGCCATTCAACAATTTCTGATCAAAATGGAACTGAAGCTTGTCGAAGGTCAACCATGCAGCACCGTACTCTAGCGTACCGCACCGTGTATTGCCCAGTCTAATGAGGCAGTATGGTCCCCCTCAAAACCGCGAATGCACCACACCCTGAATCCAAGCTCCTCCAAACTCAAGCTTTGGCTCCTTCCGCGACCGACCGCGCCATTCGCCACTCCCCTCCAGAATCTTTCTCACCCGTAACCTCTGCGTATAGTAGTCACCAGTAATCAAATACTTCGTGTATTCTATGAAACTATAACCTTCTCGCTCGTGCCGTGAATAACGCGGCAGTCGATATGACTTTGCCCATTGCAAGCAGGCCCCATTGTGAGCTCCCCTGTGCAACTAATTCGTCCGATACCGCATCGTCTTGTAACGCGTATCCCAATGAAACTCGCACTAACGGAGCTGCCGTTGATATGACGACCGACAGCTTGGCTGACGGAACGTTAACTGACGGAGGACTACAGGCAGACGGACCGTTTGTGTTCACAGACGACATGTACGACGGAGGCGTGGGAGCGCCAGGGTTACCCGGTTACAACGAAATGGGGAAATCTCCGTTAAGAGAAGGGGAGCTGACATATAGGGGGATGAACATCCTCGCGCCGATGGTTAGAGTGGTACGTGAGGCTCTTTCAAGCGTCTCGGTCCCTCCCGGAATTTCTGATGGTTAAAAGCTCATTCCCTCAATGCCTTCATGTCCGTTCTTTGTCTAAACCCTTGAAATTCCACGTCCCTTGTTATCCCTTAACACTTGTCCGTTTTATTCCTTCCCTCCCTGGAGAGCCTCTTGCTGAAATTTCCCTCCGGTTCTTGTCACACGCCATTCCAGAGCACCCTCGCATTCCCGCTGCAAGCTATGGACTGTGGCGCGGACATGATGTACACTGAGGGCACAATTCTACACCTTAAACCTCGAAGACCGTCATATATATATATATATATATATATATATATATATATTTCTTCTTCTTCTTCTTCTTCGTCTTCTCATCCATTTCAGAACACCCTTGCATTCCGGCTGCTAGCTCTGGACTGTGGCGCGGACATGGTGTACAGCGAGGAGGTGATAGACCACCGCTTCATACAGTGCAAGAGAGTGGTGAACAGTAAGTGATTTAGAGTGTATTATTAATTACATTCGAGGCCTCGAAGTGCAGAATGAACTTGCTGCACAGTGAGAAGGTGGTAGAATACCACTTTCTACAATCGTAAGTGAAGGGCTGTTCAATCGCACTACATTTTTGCATAGAGCGTTGAGTGGTGTGAAAGTTTTGCATGGAGCGTTTAGTGGTGTGAACTGAGGGCGCATGAGTGCTGGTGTTTGGTGGCATTAGGCACTGGCTGCTGGTGCTGGTGTTGCGTGAGTGAGGCACCTAAAGGCAAATATCACTCTGTCTTGCACAACTAACTCCATTTATGTACCTCCCTTCTGACACTTCCTCTGTCTCCCTCCCTGCCCTTCCTCCCCTTCCCCACCCCCTCCCTTTCCCCCATCCCCAGCGGCGGTGAATTCCGAGGAATTTGTTGAACCGGGCACAGGCACCATGGCCTTACCCTTTCTTCCCCTCTCCCTATCCCCTCCCATCCCCAGCGGCGGTGAATTCCGTGGACTTTGTAGAGCCAGGCACAGGCATCGTGGTCTTCCGCACATGTGCAGCGGAGCGAACCCGAGTGGCCTTTCAGATGGGCACAGCTGACGCCGTCAGAGCACTCAAGGCCGCAGAGCTTGTGTGAGTGCTGATGCCACCAGGGCTTTAAAGGGCGCAGAGCGTATGTGAGTCGTTGTTGTGAATTTTGTGCTTGGTTTTCTGTGCGTGTGCAGCGAAGCGACCAGGGTTTATCCTAAACAGCCGAAACCCCAAACCCCAAATTTCAAACCTTGTATTACCCATATCCCTGTATTACCCCTATCCCTAAGTCTCACTCGTCCACCATCCCTAGCTGCAACGACACGGCAGCCATCGCCGTCAATATGGGGTGGGGTGCTCCGAGCCTTGCTCAATCTCTCTCCCATCCCCTACCCCATGTCTCATCTCGCCCCTGCATTGCCATCTCCAGCTGAAACGACGTGGTGGCCATAGGCATCAGCATGGGGAGCCCCAAGCCGTTCTCACGCCCTCTTCCACTCCGTGCCCCGTGTCTCATCCATCCCTCCATGCCATGCCATGCCATGCCATGCCATGCCATGCCATGCCCCATCAGCTGCAGCGACGTGGCAGCCATGGGCATCAACATGGGATGCCATTGCTTGCTCCTCGCTCACCCCTCTATTACCCATATCCCCCACATGTCCCGATCCCTATGCGTCATCCCATCCCCAGCTGCAACGACGTGGCAGCCATCGACATCAACATGGGGTGCCCCAAGCCCTTCTCCACCAGTGGTGGCATGGGCTCCGCCCTGCTCTCCAGGCCGGAGACTGCATGTGATGTGAGTTACTGTGGTGTGCCGCATGCCATGTGGTGTGACTGCATATGGCATGGGCGCTGCTCTGCACTGCTCTCTGCGTAGAGATTGGCTACGATGTAAGTTTAGGGTGTGAGTTGAGGGTGTGAGTATTGACAGTTGCCAACCCCCTCCTGCCTTGTCACACCGCTTGCATACCGTCTCACATGCCGCACCCCTCCTCAGATCCGCTTCAGTCTGCATGCCCGCCTCACTCCCAGTCACCTCCAGCATCCACATCAACACTTGCCCGTGTTTCCCCACGCCTCATCCACACACCCCCTCTTATCACCCCCCCCTGGTCACCCCCCCAGTCATCCCTCTCTTGCCCCCCTCCCTGCCATCCTCAGATCCTCTCCACCCTGCGTCGCAACCTGCCTGCTTCGATTGCAGTCACCTGCAAAATCCGTCTGCTGGACTCACCCCACCGCACACTTGACTTCGCCAGGGCTGTTGAAAGCACGGGCATTTCAGCTCTGGGCATCCACACAAGGTGAGTGAGAGATGGAACACACTGTGGGAGTAGGGGAAGGTATGATGCACACTTTGAGCCAAGTTCCATCTGCTGACTCGCCATGCTGTTGAGAGCACAGGCACAACTGCTTTGGGCATGCATGCACTGTATGATGCAAGGGGAATATGAGGTGACTTTTGAGTCGAATCAAAGGTCACCTTGCTTTGGGCATGCGTGCACTATATGATGCCAGGGGAATATGAGGTGACATTTGAGTCGACTCAAAGGTCACCTTGCTTTGGGCATGCGTGCACTATATGATGCCAGGGGAATATGAGGTGACATTTGAGTCGACTCAAAGGTCACCTTGCTTTGGGCATGCGTGCACTATATGATGCCAGGGGAATATGAGGTGACATTTGAGTCGACTCAAAGGTCACCTTGCTTTGGGCATGCGTGCACTATATGATGCCAGGGGAATATGGGGAAGCAGTTTGCTTTGCCCTCTTTGAGGCAAAATCCATGTGGTGGTCATCGTTTCCTTCTATTTATTCTGCGCCTCCTCCTCCGTGCTTTCCAAGAAGCTTCCACCACCTCTTCCGCTTCTCCTCCAACCTGCGCCCGCCATCCACACCCCGTTCCCCTTCCAATATTTTCGCCCCCTTCTTCAACGGCGCCTTCCAGGAAGGTTCCTCACCGCCCAAGCATGAAGGCGCAGTGGGAGGCGCTCCCTGCAGTGGTGTCGTCGCTCTCCCTCCCCGTCATTGCCAACGGTGACGTGTTTTGCCACAGTGACTTCGACTCCATTCGAGCAGCCACAGGTGAGCCAAGGGAAGCACTTCTGGTATTTTCAAGTTGGCTCAGAATGCGCTCCCTGCAGTGGTGTCGTCTCTCTCCGTCCCGGTAATTGCCAATGGCGATGCCTTTAGCCACAACGGCTTCCACTCCATCCGTGTAGCGGCAGGTGGGAATAAGGGAAGCTACGGTGCTGCCTGCGGTGCTCTATTCTCTCTCCCTCCCCGTCATTGCCAGCGGGGATGTCTTCTGCCACAGTGGCTTCACTCCGTTCGCGCAGCAACGGGTGAGGAGGGGGGAGTAAGGAGGAATCCTCGCTGCTCACCTGCCTTGTCATGTCGCAATCATCGTCACCATGTCAGCAGAATCCGATTCGTCCACATCCCTCGAATCAAACTACCTTTTTCCAGGCATGAGAGGTTTGTCGTATGCCACATAAGGCGGAGGTTAGTCCTAAACCACATTAGGACGAGGTTAGTCCTAAACCACAATAGGAGGAGGTTAGTCCTAAACCACATTAGGAGGAGGTTAGTCCTAAACCACATGAGGAGGAGGTTAGTGGTACGCCACATGAGGAGGAGGTTAGTGGTGGCAGCTCTGCGGTGGAACTCAGTGCGGTAGAAGCACGGCCAACCCTGTCAAGCACCCCAGCTGGTCCCACGTTCCTCCCTCCTCTTGCTCTCTCCTCTGGCCCCACTCTCTCTCTCTCTCTCTCTCTCTCTCTCTCTCTCTCTCTCTCAAGCGGTCCGTTTATTGCTTGGAAAACTGGGTACAGGCTAGGCAGGCAAGGGGCAACAAGTCAAGGTACGTGCATGTTTAAGGGCTCGAATCTACTCGAGCTCCCCTAGGGGCTCTGCTATGGCAAAGCAGTCCCCAGGTGCCATGTCGGCGTCAGGGGTGCCCACTGGGGTGTGGGGGGCCGGGGAGGCTTCATTAACTTTTCCCAGGTAAGCCAAGGCCTGTGCCCGCTGCAGCGTCACTGACCAGCGCTGGCGAAACTGGTGGAGCAGTTTCGCTGCCTGGTAGGAGCTGGGGTCTGCATTGAAAAGTCTCCTGGCCCCTGTGTCAGCCAGCAGCTTCAAGAAGGTAGGGACCTCGGCGCAGGGGCAGCCGTATGTCTCGACTGCCAGTGGGAAAAATCCGACATAGGGAGCCCGATTTCGGTAATGGGAGATTTTCTTGTCAGCTTGTTCCCGGGCCATGTATCCGCGTCCTTTTCTTGCGTCCGGGTCCCGGCTGCTGATGGGATCTGTGACGGTGACGTCACAGATCCAGACAGCTCCGGAACTGCGGTCTCGGAGGGCGAGGTCGGCCTTGTGGCCGTCTACGGGGCTGTAGATGGTGGTCTCCTTGGTGACTATAAAGTCAGCATCTCGGGCCATCCGTATGCTCTCGTCCCGCAGGGCATTATGGGTGTCAGTCCGTCCGTGCCCGGTGCCACACCGGAGCAGGTGGTTGGGCAGCCTGGTGTCGAGGATTTCGAATTCCTCGGCGCAGTTGCAAGTGCGGGGGGCTGGGAATGGAAGGCCGAGGCGGAAGGCCAGGGCAATGGCGAACTGTGGAGCTTCGAGGCGGAGGGATGGGAAGATGGGGATGGCATGAAGCCAGTCCCCTGCTCCATATCCAGCCAGGGAAAAGAGGCGTTGGGTGTGCCCAGAGAGTGGGTTTGGGTCCATTGTCCGCGTGGCTGCCACCTGGCCGGCGTATCGCACAGCCTGGACTTCGAGGGATAAGCGGTGTTGGAGTGGGGAGCCGGAGGGTTCCCTCCTCTCGGAGTGCAGGAGCTCCCGGGCTCGTGGGGGCATCGCCGTTTCACACTTCGCCAGCCAGGTATGCAAGTGGGTGGGGCTGGTGAAAGGCGGCGTGAGGTGCCGGACAGCGTCGGCCAGGGGCCCTCCTGACGCTGCTGGTAGGGCAGCCAAGAGGCCCTGGGCTTGGGTGAGGCTGGTGAGGTAGGCTGGGTGTCCCTCAATGGCGGGGTCGGTTAGACCCAGTCCTCCAAGAGAGGGAGGGAGGGACGCTTGAGCCCAAGTGCGCACCCGCTCCACCTCGCCTCGGGGTGGTTGGAGGTTGCAGGCACGCAGGAGGGTATGGAAGAGCTCCCTACCCCAGTCGGACCAGACGTCCAGGGGAAGGAAGTCAAGGGGGGTGGTGCGGATTAAGTATGAGACACGCCGAGAAACGCAGCGTGTGAGGAGGAGGGATGAGGACTGGGGGTCCATTGTGGCCAGTGTGGCGAGGGGTTCGGCTAGCAGGGACAGCTGGGTGCGGAGGAATGCAGCTGTGCCCTCGGCTGTGCCTATAAAGCTGCCAAGTACGCGGACGCCTTCTGTGTTGAAAGGTATGCCTGGGGGAAGGTGGTCAGGTGCAGGGCGTTCGGCTGACCACGCCGCGCATTTCGCGGGGTTGTGGGAGAGACCGATGCGGTCCATGGCCGCTGTGAAGTTGAGGAACGCCGAGGTGCAGGCGTCCGGATCGCCGACGAAGGTGATGTCGTCGGCGTACGCGAGGCAGAGGACCTCGGGGTGGGCCGCGGCGGTTGTTCGGAGCGCTGGGTGGATGGCGGCTGCGAAGAGGAGGGGGCCCATGGGGTCCCCTTGGCGAACTCCCCGCGCACTGAGTAGGGGTGGGCTGTCGAATTCGGCGTCGAGGTAGAGCAGCGACGGTGCTCCGTAGGAGAATTGAATGAAGGGGAGGAGCGGGCGCAGGGGCGAGGTGTTAATGGCGTGGATGATGGCCGTGCGGTCAACGCTATTAAAGGCGTTTGAAAGGTCGACTTGTAGGATGAGTGAGCCCGGGCGCGCTGAGGTAAAACCCCTGGTGGCATGGATAATGGTTTCTCCGCCGCTCCTGATGGCTACCCCGTATTGGTGTGGTAGGAAGTAGTCTTGCGCGGATTGCGTGGAGGAGATTAGCGCGGCTTTTGCCGCTAGCCGAAGGAGACACTCTCCTATTGCGATGGGGCGGGTACCCCCATCTGGCTTGGTAAGGGCCAGGAGGCGTGAGGAGGTAACGAGCTGGCTGACTTCGTGCGGCAGGTTACCCGCCAGTAGCCGCTGGACGAGCTTGTGGAGGTTTGTGGCGACGGTGGGGTTGGACAGCGAGGCGTCGCGAAGGTGCTCGAAGGTCATCCCCGAGGGGCCTGCCCCAACTCCATTTTCGGAGCGAGAGAGGAGCTTCGCGAACGTAGCGAAATCGACTGTCGGCGGCCTGCAGTTTTCGTCAAGCCGTGGCCAGGTGAGGCTTTCGACAAGCGGAGGGGGGTGTTTTGACTTCAGCGCGTCCAGCACCGTGGGGGTGGACTTGCTGACTGGGGTCGAAGTCAACGCGAGTAGAGCCCGTCGCAAACTGCCTCGGCGTACCAAGCCCTCGGCGCGGGATATTTTCCCAAGAGTGTCAGGTACGTGGCGGGGAGGGGGTGGCATGGTGACAGCAGAGGCAGCTGCTTGATACAGTGTGTCCCAATGGCCCGCGAGAAATTGTCGAAGTCGTCTTTCCGTCGCGGGCCAGTCAGGGCGTCGTGGTGAGGGTAGGCGAAGTGTGAGGCGCGGGAGGTAAAGTAACAGGATCCAACCCTCAATGGAGGTTGGATGTTTGGCGAGGAAAAGGAGGGGTGTCAGAAGGGCGAGCGCGAAAAGTTGACGGATTTGGGGGGGTAACCGGCGGGAGAGAGGGGGTTGGCGACTGTCGCAGAGGGCCGCGACGTCCCAAGTGGCGATGACGGCGAATCGGGAGGGGTCATTCGCCAGTTCTTCCGGGGACAACTGCGGGACTGCCTGGGGATGGGTGTCCAGCGGTGCCCGAGTATTGTGCATGCGGCTGGACCCTCGTCCCCTAGATCTGGGAGTTGGGTCAGTCTCTCGTCCTCCAGCGCGCCTGTTTGTTTCGACGTTTTCCTCCTCACTGGAGGTCTCAGGCGTGGGGTCTCCCTGGTCCCCTGGTATATAAGTTCCGTCTGCCCGTTCCTCCTCATCAGTTGTTCGTTGCAGTTCCGAGGCACTTAAAGCCCTGTTCGCTGCCTGCTGGAATCCGTTCAGCGGTCCTCCGTCGGAGGACAGATTGCCACGCCTTGCAGCCCCGCGACCGCGCCCTCCGGCCGTCCGTGTATTGAGGCTTCCGCGTCCGCCTCCGTGGTTTCGGCGGCCCTGGTCGTCGTTCGGCTTTTGTGCCGAGTCGTGGGGGGTGCCGAGTGCGGCGCGCCTCCTCGGGATGGAGCGACCAGCGCGGGAGCGTTCTGCCGATTTGGAGAGTACTGGGGACAGCGAGTCCCCCCAAGGTCGGGCGAGTCCTCCAGCACTGTCGAACCGAGATTGGGAGCGCGGGCTCCTCGTCCCCTCGACGGCTCGCCATCAGACTCCCGAGCGGATGCGGGGGCAGTCGCGGGGCAGGACTGCCGCGCCCCAGAGACACGAGGAGAAGTCCCCTGAGCGCGCCTTGGATATTGGACGTGAACCAGTGGCGCATGGCGAGGAGCATCAGTCACCGCGCCAGCAGCGTCCCTCTCGCCGAGGGACGCCTCAGCGCCGCCCCCAGGCGGGGCCGGGGCAGCAGCGCCGGACTCCGCAGGCGCCGCGCGGGCGTGCGGGCCAGCGCGTCGGCTGGAGGGCTGGCGGGGGGAGTAACCGTGGGTCCGCAGCGGAGAGGCGCCTAGGGCGGGCCGCGGCGACTCTCGAGGGCTTGTTCCGCAGTGTCGCCCAACCCCAGCAGGCTCTGGCGTATTCTCCGCAGCTTTTGGCGTCCCAGCAGTACCAGCCGGCGCACTCGCAGCCCGTGCGGTTACCCCTTCCTCAGGCG